TTGAATCTAAACTACCTGAGGATGATCCCATATAAATATGACTTATCATGGTTTTGCTGTTCTTGAGAAGAAAATGTTTAAAGTTTTTTCCTAATGGTTCTATATAAAACTTTGATCCTCCATTGTGGCCCCACCCTACCCCTAGAGGTCATGATTGGAACAAACTTGAATCTTCACTGCCTGAGGATGCTTCCAAATAAATATGACCAATCAGGGCTTTGCTGTTCTTGAGAAGAAGATTTTTAAAGATTTTTCCTATATGTTTCTATGTATAACTTTGATCCTCCATTGTGGCCTCGCCCTACCCCCAGGGGTCATGATTTGAACAAACTTGAATCTACACTACCTGAGGATGTTTCCACATGAGTTTCATCTTTCCTGACCCTGTGGTTCTTGAGAAGAAGATTTTTAAATGATGCTATTCATTTTTCACAAATTCTTAATTATCTCCCCTTGAAAGAAGGCGTTCTTCATTTGAAGAAACTTGAACCCCCTTTACCCAAGGATGCTTTGTGGCAAGTTTGGTTGAAACTGGACCAGTGGTTCTGGAGAAGAAGTGGAAATTGTGAAAAGTTTACAGACAGGCAGACAGCTAGACAGACGGACTACAGACAAATGATCAGAAAAGCTCACTTGAGCTTTCAGCTCAGGTGAGCTAAAAATGATACTACAAATACATGCCTGCATTATACAAAAAAATAGAAAGAAAACAAAAAATGCAACTCTAGAATAATTGAGCACGGCATTACATGGGCAGTGTTGACTTTTGTTATTATTGTTTTTAAAATAAACACGTTTTGGTCACCTGAAATTTATTTTGAATTCCCCCCCCCCCCGAGCATGCAGTCATTATGCATGATATCGTTTCCCACTATAACTTACATATTTTAAACTGTACAAATTATACAAAACTAATAAATATGTTTAACTTACAATATATGGTAATAATGTTAACAAATTGTTCATATAGTAATACCAATCTAAATGAGTGGCTAATATTTGACAGTGACCTGAAATGGCGGCGGGAAATTTCGAGTACTCACCGATGTTCACGTTTTCAACAAAAACATTGTATATGGTCACAAATTAAGGATTACAACAAAAATACACTTACCTAAATCTGAAGTAATCTTCTTCTGTGTCTTTTACTGGTGAAAGAATGCTTTGATAGATTGCTTGGAAGGCTTTTGCAAAAGCAAATGCAGATCACTGGTATTGTCAGCTAGGCTTTCAATCTCAGTGTGAGGAATTCTCGTTCAGGGTCAGCTCACGTGATCATTGCTGGTCAATAGAGCGTGATAAACAGTGAAAGGAGAGAGAGAGAGAGAGAGAGATTTACAGAAAGTTTTATTCAATTTAGTTGTTATATAAATAACAAACATAAAAAAGATCGGGTGCGTATTTAAATTGTTTAAAATTCGATGATGGGTAGGAGGCAGTGTTTAAGGGACATGGCTCTAACCATATAAGCTTCTCATTAGAGTCAAGATTAGGGAAATTGGTACATACCTAATTCTGAGACAGATTTTAAAGCTATATATGGCGTGTCTGAGCTAAAAAAAAAAATAATAATAAAAATACGAGATATAGTTTAGGTGAACATGCTATTTATTATTAGAAATTAAAAGTTTCACCGATTTTGAACTTGAATAACTCCGTTTCTTTAGTTAAATTGACTTTAAACTGTGTCTGATATTTAAATGCAGAGTCGGTAAATAAATCGGTTATTGTTTTAAATTTCTAATATCTATGAGAAGCGATTGATTTAAATTGTGTAATTTACAGGAAAGTCCTATCTTTATATAAAGTAATGAAACAAACAGAAAGATCTTTTTAATTTTAGTTAGTCTTAACTTTTCAAAAATACGCCAAATATGACTTTAAGAAAAATTCTCGTTCATCTTTGAATTTAGTGCAATTCAAGAGAAAATGTATTTCGTCCTTCACCTCATATATATCTTCAGGCCCGTAAAATTAAGAGAAAGATCCATCCAACCCCCAACCCCCCACGAAATAGGCTTTTCGAGTTTGGGTAGTTTACGTTTTTTTTATTATTATTTATTTTAGATTACCCCCCCCCCTTTTTTTAAGGAAAAAAACTGCTGAGAGAGAAGCGAACGGCAACTCTCATAGAAGATTGCTACGAAGTTGATCTTTTCGTAAGTAAAAACAACTCTTTTGTTACCCTATCTCTCAATTCTGACTCTCTCGTGCAGTATTCCATTTTAAGATATTAGATTTCAGGTATCATTCCGAGAACATCTTCCTCAACATTTATTTTGATTTGCCCTTGAACGACCCTAGATTAAAACATTTTTGTTTAAATTTATTTACTGGTCATATGATATGGGGGAGGGGTGGGTAAAACAAACAAGCAAAGAGGAATAATTGGTTAATTTGTTTTTCAGTCGGCCAGGGAGAGCAAACTTTCAAAAAATGTTGTACCTAATTGATTGGTATATCAGAACGAGTCCATATTTTCGGCGAAAGTTTAGTTATCACATATAGTACTTTTTTTTGGGGGGGGGGGGGCTTTTTTGCTAGGACAATGTTTTGCTTTTCATTTAGAATGGAAATTTTTACTGACAGCCCCCCCCCCCCTCTTTGTTGTAGTATGGTCAATTCATACAAGGTGAATGATATCCTATGAAAAAAATTCCTATCGCAGAGTTGGAACAGTTGCTGTTAATTTAATACCCCCCTCCCCCGATAAAGATTGCTTGAGTTTGGATAATTTCCAATTTGCTCCTTTTTTGAGGGGGGGGGGGTGCTGTTAATTTAGTATGAACATTTTCACTGACAGTCACCCCCACCCCTCTTTTTTTGCGGTATGGTAACCCAAGAACAACCCCACTCCCGAAAAAAGTTTTTCAACTTTTGGCAATATCCAATTTTCTTTTTTTTTTCTTTTTTATTTGTCAAAATTTTATGACTGTCCAACCCCTTTCAAAAATTATGGTCACGCTACGTACGTGCCTGAATTATATTGACAAAACAATAACCGATTTATTTACCGACTCCGCAATTAAATAACAGACACAATTTAAAGTCAATTTAACTATACAAACATGAGGTTATTCAAGTTCAAAATCGGTAAAAATTTTAATTTGAACGTAAATAACATATATCATGTTTATCTACACTCAACCTTGTGTTTTCATTTTTTAGCTCAGATATGCCATATATAGCTTTAATATAAAATAATGTCTTTCCATTTTTGGATATAACGCCTTTTTCAAACAGACCGGTAGTGCGAGTGGGGGGGGGGGGAGGGGGGGGCTTCCCCTCCCTACTTTTTGGGAGAATAGTCTTGCTATAGTTTAAATATAAAAATTCATCTACTGGCTGCTTGGTCCCTGAAAATTTTATTGCAGTAGGGTCAAACTCTGACAAATTATTGCATTAATATAAAAAGTTTTGCCAATAAGTTAGAAAAAGATGTCCTCGAGTTTAGGCAACTTAGTTTTTCTTCGGGGGGCGGGGGGGGTGTCTTGTATTTAGTTTGCTTGTCTTTTTTTTGGGGGGGGGGGGGAAGGGGGGAGGTTGCCCTCCTTCAAAAGCAATGACCTGTCAAAGGCATAATAATGGCTATTCAAAAGGCATAATAATGCCTTCTGGAAAGGCGTAATAACGCCTTTTAATTTTTGTCCTCCATAGATTGATCCTAATAGGCTTTCGTACAAAAGCACTCAGGAATTAAAAGGTTTTTGGTTCGATCCTCGCATGTAGTGTTAAGGTCAGACGACACGATCCCCAAATATATATTTTGTATACCTTGGTATTATATCAAAATTTATTAAATGTCATTCTCTCGTGATTTCTAACTTGTTTTCAATATGTTTGTAATAATAAGTACACCAAAAATTGTGACATCGGCAATTTAAAAGATTGCCCATAAGGATTATACAAGAAATATCGCCCTCTGGTATCTTGCCCAAATGCCTGGTAAGGTACCTCAATTTTCGATGAGGAAACTTGTTTAGGAAGTTAAACTTCAATGACTAGTTCTTGGAAAAAATTATATATTTTCTAGGAACGTGTCGTCTGACCTTAATTTTTTATGCAATCAATTAAGTCGTTTGTCAGGTTAATTTTATTTACTAATTTATTACAATAGAATAAATAAATTTTGGTTCAGTTGCACCTATATCGAAAGCAATTCTTCCAACATACTGAAACTTTAATATAATTGCATTTAACTATACCCTTCTATCTTATGGGTGTGTATTATTTATATATCTGAAGTGTTACCTTGTTATCGTGACTTCTAAAATAAGCGGAAATATCACAATTTGACAAGGTATTTCATTGCAAATATAACATTCTCCTATGTGTGTGACTGTAAAGTCTGTCCAGCTGTGGTCAGCCGACCAATGGTGGACATTAAAACTACACGTTTTGTATTTATAAATGACTCTGGCCTGCAGATCACATGCCAGATACGCCCATCTTCTCCGGACAAATTAAATATATCTGTATGAATTTTCCTTCCCAGAGAGCTACAGTTTTGCAAAGATACTTAAAACAAAGTTGAGGAAAAGGGGTGGAGTTGGGGATTCGGGTGCAGAGGCTTACAAAAGGAAGAGAAGCTGCAAAAAACAGTCATGGAGATTGAAATGCTGTGCAGCGTTATGTACAAATGTTCTTTTCTATGCTTCTTAAATTCAGCATCACAATCTAATTCTTTCCATTCTATGATCATATGGAAAGCTTGAGTTGTTACTAGTATACTCAGACTTTCAGAACTCCAAATACTGAATTTACTCAAATCTTTAATACTTTTTTTTAAAACAGTCTCTTCAAAATCATTTTTAAATTTTTGAAATGTGAAACCCACTGGTCTATTTTGTCAGTATGATTACATATGAAATACTGTATTCATTGCATTGTAACCATTTTATTTTAATTTTAGATTCACAGGGCTCCTGTATTTGTCCTTCAATAGATAATTCAGTATTTATAAGTGTCATTTACATGACAATGAAGTTATGTGAAATTCATTTCTGCATTCAAACATTTATTTCATGTAAAAAAAAAAAACCTTACCTGACAATTTGTAACTCGAGGAGATGTAAAAAATGACAATTAAATCTGTGATACAGTGAAACAGAATTACAATGAACACAGAAATGCACATAGCAAATAATTGCTTAAAGCAAAGTTAAATTTTGACACTACAAAGTTCATACCACTGAATGTCAAAAAGATATAAATTACATATGAAACAAAATGATTTTTCCTATGCTTAGCATCCCATTTTTTGTACATGTTTTACTGCACATTGTTCGTAAAGCATGTTAAGAAAATAAAATACAAGTACTGAATATGTTTAAAATGTCACAAAATTGGGTGACTGGAACACTAGAGCAATTGAACAAATTGATGGTTTGGAAAAGAATCTAATTAATCTGCTCACAAAAGTCACTGACACATATGCTGCATATTTTCCTGATAAATTTTATCCATCAAGATCTCCATTATTTGACTGTCTCAGAATAATCCTCCAATACTCCATCCAAATGCTCATTGTGCTTCTTAAATGTTTTTCTTTTTCCGCCGCCTTTCTTGCGTTTAATTTGAGCTGCTTTTTTCAATCCAACATCCTGCATAGAGGAAATTCCCTGTTTTTCTAAATATTCTTCTATTTTCTTGTCATCAAGTCCATCTACTGAAACCCCTCTCCAAAGTTTCTGAAATTCTTCATCAACTTTGTATCTGCAATACTTGTCATTATAAAACAGAATCTCTTTTTTGTCATTTGGTCTAACTATTGTGATGATGTGTTCCCCCAAACTTTTGAGAGCTTTCTCAGCATTAGGAAGTGACTCTTCTACATCCTCTTTCAGCACACCACCTAATCCATGCAGGTCTTGATACTTCAGTAACTTCATTAGACTTGTTTTATCACGAATGTCAAACTTGGGCTTAAAAGCATATTTCTGCCCATTTTCAACAACTTTGATTTTAGGATTGTTGTTCAGTGCTTCAGTGATAAGCCAATGTTTAATCTTGCTGCCCACATCCAACTGATTTGTTTCATCTAGAATCTCATCAATTGTCAAAGGATGTGTGTCTCCATTTAAATGTCGGGATTTCATGTATTTCACTATCTTTGCCAAAATAGCGAATTTGAACTGAGAGCTACCAGAGGAACTCTTATAATCAAATGGGGCTGAATTGGACTCACTCTTTGGTTTGAATGAAGAACTGGACTTGTGCTTTTTTGCTGCTCTGTCCTCTGAAACATCTTTGCCTTTCTTTCTTTTTTCGACCACAGGCTGGGCCTTAGCTCGGTCTATAAAAGCCTTCCTCTCTTTTAACAAAGCTGGATCCATTTTTAGGTCACTGTAATAAATTGTATACAATGTAAATGATTGCATTTATTTCAACAGAAAATGCACTGTCATGCAAGATCTTTTTTTCCACACTGATAGTTCATCATGACTATAACAATTTTAATTTTTGGGGGATAGGGGGTATCCTTGTTTTAAATAATTGATGATTTTAGTAAATTTTTGTGTTCAAATTGTTTTGTGTGTGTGTATGTGTGTGTGCGTGATAAAATTAATCATGTTTTACTTATTAATAGGGAATAAAATGACATTTATATTTAAAGGTACATACCACAAACAAATTTTATTATCTCCCACACATACACACACAAAATGCATTGCAATTTTTCAATATTTCTTTCAATTTAATGTCTAATTAGGAAATTCTAATTGTGTAAAATGTAAATATAGAATTTTACAAATGTTTCCCAGAAACTTTACAGTAACAAATCCTCATATATTTTGAAAACTTTGTAATAAAATTATTGAACTGAAAGTTGTAATTTTTCCCATGATTTTCACCAAATTATGTGTCTCTGTCAAACACAATGTTGTTTAAATAAATAGATATCACAAATTATGTGTCTCTGTCAAACACAATGTTGTTTAACTGAATAGATATCACTTCTTTACTGAGCATGGTGAGAGAGGTACTATTTATAAGTAAAGATACTTGAATTTTGGAAGGAAGATTTTTTTGGTATTATTTATCCTTTAAAATGTATTAATAAGTGATATCAATATTATAAGTTTAAAAAAAGGAATTTAAACATTTATTTTCACGACAAAATGTCGCGAATTTAAAGCGTCACGCGCAAAATCCCCCATGGGAATTTTCAAAAGTTGGCATGTAGGAAATAGTCTGACATTTAGATCAGAGGAAACAAGAGAGTAATTTTTATTTAATTTATTTTCGGAAGTTAACACTTTTGCAGTCATATCTCCATTAAGAAATGTTTATGAAGACTACTGGTAAGTTATTTTAAAATGTTTTGTCAACCCTGTGTTTCTTACCAAGTTAATAGTCTTCCATTTTGATTGAGGTAAAAGTGGGAATATTAGTAAATCTGCATTTTTTCCTTTAGAAATTCAACATTGTTATTCTAAAATTAAAAATATTAATCTTGAATATAAAAACTACTGGATAAGAACATTTTAAATAATATGGACACTCGAGGATAATATGGACAATAATATGGACAGTTTGGAGTTTGCCCCCGAAACAATAAAGTACAACTTCTCTATTGCCATTTTTGATATTCTAAAAGTCGGGTAGAGTTCGGCTGAACAATTCCCACAAGCAGACGCCAGAAGATGGAAGAGGATGAATTAGACAGGTTAAAGCTTCCGAAAACACGTCAAGTGGCTAGAGAACGAGAGATCGATATATCAGGTCTAAAAAATATTGGTGAAATTCGCTGTACCCTGAAACGCCATTTATTGAAGGATAGAAAGTCGCGTGATAGTGTGAGTTATCAATCTGTGCAGCTAACGGCTTCTTTCACTTTGTCTGAACATTGAACCACAACGATATAATTTGCATATAATTTTTGTTTGTTGCATTTTTTTTTTTCAGGTAATACAAGGTCTATCATCTGATGCTGAAAATGACAGCATCCTTCGGATGAGGCTTGGTGAAATTTATGTGTCTACCCTTCAGGCTCTTCATGATTTAAAACAGAGTGGTGACACGCTTTTGGATCATCTTGATCATTGCTTTCCTAGCCTGATTACTAATCTGGAAAATGAACAATCCAAGTTACTCAGCAAAAATATGACCTGTCCAATCATGGTGTTAGGTAAGATAAAATGTTAACAAGGTTAATGGGTATTTTATGAAGACCAGAATTCAAAGTTTAACTGCTTAGGCCTTTTTCTCTCGAGTTGCAACAATTTGTGGCTAGATGTTGGAACTTCTCAAAGCCACATTAGTTCATGCAAGCAAACTTTTGGTGGGTTGAAGTGGGCAAAGCTGTACCTGCACCATATTTAAGCATTCAGATACTAGAATATCAATAATGTGTGATTTTTTATACCACCCTGCACACAAAGTTTTCCTTGGGGGGGGGGGGGGGGGGTATATAGTAGTGTTGTACCGATAATCAGAAAACATCGATTGTCGACGAAAAAATGCTACCGATTCCGATGATCGATTATAATGTTTCATAATCGATCATCGGAAACATACTTCTAATACAATACATTCCGGAATATCCATTTCTGGTTTAAAATTTATTTTAAAGAAAATGGCGTCTGCATCTGATACTAGCCAACTAGCACGAAGCAGAGGTGATTAAGAACCGAAAGGTGCATATTCAGAAAGTGTAAAAGAAGCAAAACAACAAAGAAAATAATATATTATATATTTTATATATAAATGTGAAAGAAATAATATGAAATAATTGTACTAGTCTGCTTTTTATATACAAAACTATGACATCCGATTATAATCGGTAAAATCGCATCGGAAGCAGTAACCGATTCCAACCGATGATTGATTATGAAAATTAACCGATGTCCCATCACTAGTATATAGGAATCACCTTGTCCGTCTGTCCATCCGTCTGTCTGTCTAGCTGTCTGTGCAAACGTATCCGGTCCATATCTTTCTTACAGAGGAACATTAAAATCTACTGCTTTACACAAAGATTGTTCATGACCTGAGGGTGTGCCCTGACCTTGACCCAAGGTCATTTGGGCAAGTTCAAGGTCACTGAAAGAAAAAGTTCATAATCCATGTCCAGTCCATATCTTTCTTATGGATAAACTTGGTGAGTTCCCATTTTACACAAAGATTGCTTATGACCTGAGGGTGTGTCATGACCTTGACCCAAGGCCATTTGTGCAAGTTCAAGGTCACTGACAGGAAAAGTTCATAATTCGTGTCCGGTCGGTATATTTCTTAAGGAGAATAATGTTGGGATATTGGGAGTTTCCACTTCATATAAAAATTGCCTATGACCTGAGGGTGAGTCATGATCTTGACCTATAGTCACTGTAAAAAAAAAATGGATAAATAATGCATCCATACTTTTATCTTTACTTTTAATAGAGAAATACTAAAAATGTAATGAACAGTTACTGATAAACTTTCACTCTAAATGTTTAAACAAATTGTCAACACCTCTTAGATCCATCAAATACTAGTATTAGTGACTTGGCACCTTCTATAAAAAAAACAGTGGGGGTATTTGTCCATTTTGGACAGTTCTAGTTTTTAATTTACAGGCCTTGAAACTTGCAAAAGTCAAAGTCAAGAGTTCTTTTTTTTTTAAAAAAAGTCAAAGTCTGCAGCTGGACCTGATATAGCCTAATGGATAGAGTTTTCTCCTCTCCATACTATTAATAATTACTCCTTAATATTTAATTGTATTACAGGAATCTTAAGTTATCTTAAGTTAAAGTTAAGGATATTTTACATGATATTTTTGAACTTTATTTATTTGGATTTCAGCACATGTTAAAATTTAATTAATTTGGTCAAAAATATATTGAACTGGACAGTTGCATCAGTACCTTAAAGAAATCTTTTACCAGTGTTTGATGTATCCTGTGAAAAAAAAGTTTATTGGTTAATAAAGGTTGTAAAATTTAATGTTAGATATTTCTCTACCAGGGATAATCATTCCCTTCACTTGACTTTCAGGCAAGTAAAGTTTAAAACATTATTGTCTGATTCTTATTTTGTATTGCCTAATCTAGTAAAGGGACCAAAAAAAGAGATAAATAAAGTTTATCTAATAGATGGGATGAAATATGAGAACAAATGTGATCTCTATAAAAATTTCTGTGAAGAAGAAAGCTCAGTCTGTAGATATTATGTTGTGTAATTTGTTATTTTATACTTTCATGTAAATAAGTTGAATCTGATAGGTCGAGAAACATTTATTAAAAAACACTATTACCCGTTGAATATTAAGCCACGTCCTCTAGCGTAGCAACAGTCAACATTGCTTGACGACAGGTGATACTCCAAAAAATATTGACTGTGCAGAATTTATGTGCTCAAGGTTCACTGTATTATGTATTTATATAAAACATTCAGTATAATATAATAAATATTACTGGTACATGTGGTTGAGTGTAACATTGACAATTTTCACCCCAAGAAAACCATTGTCAACCGAGGCACAGCCAAGGTTGACAATGGTTTTCTTGGGGTGAAAATTGTCAATGTTACACTCAACTACATGCAATATTTATATATTGTTTCTCATTGTATTCTACTGAATCCATCATTTAACATAAAGATCTCTAAGGATTCATAACAGAAATTTATAGTAGTTTGCATGAAGTAAGCACCACATCATCAAACCTGTTTTTTTAAACTTTTATGTGAATCAGTTTGCTATTCTATACCTCATAGTCGAAACTGAAATCATAGAATACAATTTATATAAACAGTGAACCTCCCCCCCCCCCCCCCCCCCCCCGAAAAAAAAACAAAAAAACAATGTGTCTGAGAATAATGTAATATTGAATTGTATTGGAGTATTTCATAATAACTGGTTCTTTTGTATTGTTTTGATTGGAATGAAATGAATCAATGCTGTTTGCTGATACATTTTAATCTTGAAGTTGTAACTGCTAATATTTTTAAGAAAGTACATGCGTATATTATAAATGAGAAATTTAATTGTAAAAGTAGTACTGGTATATGAGCCCTTAAATAGGTGTTAGTAGGTTTTATTTGTCCAATAAAAAGTTTTAGTGTTCATGTACTAGAGTAGTTAGTGTAAATTCTAATTGTATGCTTTGTTACAACGCACTTTGAAAAATTACGCACTTTGAAAAATTTTTTCAAAGTGCGTTAATTTTGGGACCACGTTAACGCACTTTGAAAAAAAAAAATTTCTTTTCAAAGTGCGTTAATATCGACCATACTAACGCACTTTGAAAAAATGTGCACAGCTTGGTCAATATATTCTTGCAAATTTTAGGTATGATAAATAATTATAATAATTCTTTGAACCTGGTTGGACAACTTTTCGATGATGACGTCAGAATCTGAGATGTAGACGTTTTAAAGATTTTTAGGAGTTGTCTTGTTTCCAAAGGCTCTCGTAACTGTTATAAAAGGGAAATGGGTCTTAGAAGTAATGGAGGAATGATTGTTTAATAGCACAGTTTTTTTTCTTTTTTAAATTTTATCCAGTCTTTAATAAGTTTGGTAGATGTAGGTGTCGATAACTGACTTAAAGTATCTCATTTTTCTTAGGAAAAAGGGAGCAATTATGATTTTTCCATGCCATGAAAATTCTCTCTCTCTCTCTCTCATCTATTTTTCTATCATATTCATCTATCTATTATGAACATATATGAAACAATGGTTGACTCATTTATTTGATGGTAAGAAAATAAACCTTAGCCACATTACTCACTCGACTGAAATTTTTACCTCGTTCACTAATTTTTTTTCTCAAAAAAGTTATGCAGTCAGATTACTTCCAAATCTGTAATTTGATATCATAAAAATGCTCCGGTATATACATGTCAAAAAGCATGTTTTAATTACCATGTAAATGCATTTTTTCTGAGGAATCAGTGTGGATACATTTTGAATAAAGGTTATGTGGCTTTCTTCTTTATTATAATAGGGTGCGTAATTATTTTTTTTTCAGAAAAGCTCATATAAATTTTTTATCTATTATTTGTTCACTCAAATTTATTCAGAGAAATAATAACAATGTCATACCAATTATGTAAATACAAATATTTGTGTAGGAAAGATAGAGTTGGGCTGAGGGACCTACTACATGTCTTCTCCTCGTTCTCGATGAGGGTAGATCAATTCATCAGTTTTTCGGAAGAAATAGAACAAATTAATGCTGTCTATTTTGAAAATCTAAGTCCAGAATTTTTGTTTTATACGTATTTTTTCAAAGTGCGTTAAGTGTCTCCATCGTAAAAAATGTTGATGTACAATCTTAACGCACTTTGCAAAAAATGTTCAAAGTGCGTTGATTTTGTCCAAAATTTAACGCACTTTGAAAAATTTTTTCAAAGTGCGTTGATTTTGTCCCAGTTTTAACGCACTTTGAAAAAATTTTTCAAAGTGCGTAATTTTTTCAAAGTGCGTTGCCACAATGCTTTGAATTTTTGATATTTCAAACCATTTGGGAAAGATTTAAAAAATATTATGCAATAAAGATGGAAACCTGAAACGATACTTTACGCATTACATGATATACAGAGAAAGGTAAAACTTATTCATCAAAACACATGAACATTACACCACAACAGATGATAAGGAAATCTGAAGTTCACACTTTCATATAAGGAAGTTATTAAGTTGGGTTATGAATTATAAGTGACAGTATATGTTGCTGAGTGAAAAAAACAAAAGTAAAGTTTCTCGTTTTTAAATAAAATATTGAGTCTTCCAAAGCATTGCTTTGAAGTTTCAGGACAGAATTAAATGTTCATAAACCTTACTTTAAGCTAGAAGGATTTTAAATTAATTAATGCATATCATAAAAACTTAGCATGCAAAAACCAGAGATTTATTTAATGTTAAGGGAAATGTAGTCATTATACAATAATGGATGGGGAAGGCTAGTCTACCTCGATAGTTCAGATCAAGTGTTACCCACTTAAATTTAGAGCATTATATTCCTGTCATTAACATATCTCTTTTGTATACAATTTACTATTGAAATTACTAGTTCTGCACTGAATATTTCAGGAGAGACAGGATCAGGAAAATCCTCCTTTATTAACCTACTCTTGGGATGTGAGCTGTTGCCTCACTCTTTACTAAGTAACACAAATACCATTTGTGAAATACAGTACGGAGATGATTATAAAGCCTGCTTCCATCCCATTGACAATGCTGAGTCTAAGATGGAGATAGGCTTTGGAAGTTTACAAGAAATGCAAGGAGCTCTAAGTGACAAGATACAGAAGAAAGGAGAACAAAAGTCTCTCTATAAAAGGGTGGAAATTTTTCTACCGAGTGACATTTTGAAGGTATTAATTTAATGACAGACATGGAATGTTAAGATCCATATACTTAGTAACCATAAACTAGCTAATTTCACAAAATCCTGATATCAAAGTAGATTGCTACAATTAATTGTCTTTTTATCAACAAATGGACAATGTTAAAAGAATCATTCCAATATGGTTTTATTTTAATATCTTGAGACACCTGTGCTTGTTAGTGATCAAATTCTCTAATCTGAGTGATATTAGATGGACATTAAACTTCATACACATACACTGGCTGTCCTAGATAAAAGATAAGTAGGTTGACAGTAGGTTTGATGCTATACCTATGTCAACTGTTCAGATCTGTATCTTTGGAACACTTGTTTTGCGGTTGTCATATGGGCACCCATCTAAAGTTCTGAGGACCTGGTTTTGAGTCCTGGTCTTGTCCAGTGCATTCTCTCCACTCCTGTTATATTTAATGTCATAACCATGCCTTGGAAAAGCCATATGAAATGCCTAACAAGAGAAGCTTGGACTGTGTTCTCTAATAATATAGTTGAACTTCATTATTTTGAACATCAATATCTTCAATTCAATAATGAATCAAAGTGATTTGGCAGTCCCAACTACTTTTTAAAAGTTTTTAACCTCATTATCTGGGGATCCTTGGATATCTGAAAGCTTTATCTCTGTCCTATTCAAGATGATAAGGTTTTACAGAAAATATGCTTGAAGAGAGAAGGAATTTCTTCATTTACCCATGGCCAGTTCAGTGGGAAGCCCCTTATCTTGGGTTCAGTTGTCTTGGGTTTGAATCTTTGTTTTCATTGCCAGTTGCCAGGTAGCTTAGTTAGTCGAGTACATGTCAGAAGTCCAGGGAACTGTGTTTCAATCCAGGTCTGGGTCTATTGCATTTTCTTCCTTCATGGTACAACTTGGCATATGCCAAACTTAAATATATTTTAAGTTTTCTTGTTCACAAATATAGTCTTTAGGGCTGTGCAATAACATCGATATTCTGGTATACTGTGATCATTAGCAAAAAATATCGTATTGCGATATGTTTTTTTTTCAGTACCGATATACCGGCAAAATGCATGGGTTTCAGATTTCTAAGGTAAAATGTAAAACTTGATATGTCAGAAACATGTTCAATCGCGCAAAACAGTAAGGTCGTTGTTGTGTGGTAGTATTTTGTCGCAAAACTGTAGTGAAATCATCAAGAACTTTCTTGTAACAATGTATTTATAATAGTTACATGCATTCTGCTTATATATGGAGGTTAAAAGGTAAAATCATTTTAACTGTTATTGAAAATATTGCAATACATATCGCAATACAGATAAAAAAATATTGCATTATATTGCAATATGAAATTTCCAGCCAATACCCAACCCTATTAGTCTTAGTAGAAATTATCATTCAATAATACTTTCAGAGTGGTCTGTTGATAGTGGACAGTCCAGGAATTGCTGACACGGGTGAAATGACTGACATAGTACTGGACTATCTCATCAAAGCATGTGCATTTATTTACATAATCAACAGTGAAAATGCTGGAGGGGTGGCTCCAGACAGGGTAACTATTTCTTAAATCAAATACATGATAGTTAAGGTAGCTATAGAGTATTTTAAAATATATAAATAATAAGTTAAAGATAAAAATTTACATAGGTTTGGTTCCTGTTATGCAACAGACAAAATGCTATTGGTTGCTTTCTGTTAGTTACCTCTGTTTTGATACATGTACGTATATTCAAATCTGTTTTAATCAAAAATAAGTTATCTCAGTTCATTCAAAATATATGTGAATTTCTTTTCAATTCATACATGGAATTAAAATATTGAAAAACGTAATTTTTTGTAGCTTCAATATCTTTTGAAGAAGGTGGTGGAAAAAGCATTTCATGATGAACAGGATTACAGATCAACTTGTGCAATATTCATCTGCAACAAGTGGGACCAGGTAGGTGCAATTCCTACTTGATTTCAGTTACATGTACATCCATCTGTTGTGAATGCCGGACAGAATTATTAATGGATAAACATTCATTGATTTTTATTTTTTCATAGGTGGAAAGAGTTTGAAGGGAAAGTTTCAAATTAAAAAAAAATGCACATTTCTTCTAGCCCTAATACATTATTTACACATTTTGCATTTCATGTAATAGAAATTCATTACTAAATTTTAAAAGGTGATATCTCTTTTAACCACAAAAATTACTTTTAAAGAAACATCTCTTTCAGAACAAGGTTTCTCTCCTTGGATTCTGGAAAGGATTCCTTTGTCTTTAAGAAATGTCTTTGTTTTGAGAAGAAGTAAATATCTCTTTAGATCAGTCTATCTCTTTTGGATGTTCATGCATTCAACATTAAAAAATAAAAAAAATAAACTTTGCATAAATGTACAACAGCATAGTGGAATTCAATTTATTGATTATATACTGAGATGCAAACAAATGCAAGCTGTTTCTGATTTTGAGATGTGGTAAGATATTATCAATGTACATATTTGTCATTGAACCACCATTGGTATGATTTGAAGAAATGGCATCATTCCTGAATTAAAACAGCAAAAAGTTAGAGTCTCATCAGAGACATCTGGGCTTCCATTCAGTCATACTTAATTTTCAGTGATTTATACTACTGTACAGGTACCATTTGAGGAGAGAAGTAGAGTTTATCAAGACACGGTCAAAAAGCTGTGTACAGAATCTACTGGTTGGCCAGGATGTAAAGAGGACCAGATCTTCAGACTGTCCACAAAAGAAGCCATGTTTATACAGCAGACCCCAGAAAAATTTATTGTAGGTCGCTTTGCTGCTATTTTACAGAAGATCAACAATCTCATTCCAGAGAGCAGAAACACACAGCTGTTGAACTCAGCAAGGTGAATGTTATATGGATACACTAATTCATGATGTTAATAAGAGCTGAAAACAATCCTCATGGCTGGGTATAACTTTAAAACATATATTTTCAAAAGACAAGGGTGTCGAGTTATTTATTTTTAAGGTGTCGAGACAGATGAAATTAGATTCTAGACATTTTTTACCTAATTTTTGCTCAAACACAGAAAATACACAGTATGCAACGGATTGTTTAAACTCTTGGACTGATTTGATAAGTAATTAGGCTCTACTTAAATTGTTATGAAATTACAAAGAATTCTGATGAGTAATGTTCTGTTTTTACAGGTTGCTACAGCAGGTTTTGGATAAGGCAGCTATGTCAATAGAGAGTAGTCTCTCTGATGTCCATTTAACTGCAGAGCAGAGGATGATCAAAAACAAGGAGACAGTAGAAGATCTTACAAAATTAAAGAAAGACGTATATGAATTCTTTGAAGTAGAAAAGAAGAATTTTGATAAAGGCCTAGAGGATCTGATCAAAGAGCTAAGAAATCACCTGCAGAATGAGAAAAAGGTAGAGGAATTGTGTAATTTTACACAGACTATGAACATTTCCAATGTTCAGTGGAAAGAGGCAACAATTAAAGTGCGAATCAAATTGTATGATAGTATAACAGAGGAAATTCAAAAGTGGGAGACTGAAAACAAAAAGTTGGAGGTACTTGGTGCTAACATGGCTAAAAACTTTCAAAAGCAGTTTCCAGATTTTGACTCAAAGTTGTTTAATTTACAAAAGAGGTATATTCAACATAATCAATCAGTGAATATAATTGACGAGAATACTGAGCCATTTGTGCCCATTGTAATTGCAGAAAAATTTGACAACATTAACTTAGGATTAAAGGTTTTAGTGGGAATTTCCTTTTCTCCTGTTTTGTTGATTGGTGCTCTTGTCCGATTACCAGTATGGGGAATAAGGGAATTAGCAAGGAAAGTTAAAGGTCAAATGCTGGAGGCAGAGTATTGCAAGGATCCTCGACATTCACTCATGAAGTATGCAGAGGGCATTCTAAAGTCAACAAGTGACCCCATGAAAATGAAACCCATTATGGAAAAGGAGGTTTCTCATTTGTTTAAGTATTTGGAGAATCAGAGGAGGAAAGTTCTCCAGCAGATTGACGCTGAGCTTACTCTGCTGGACAAAAGGAAAGAGGAGAAACAGACCAGGGAATTTATAGCCAAAAACTGCTCAAGTCAAAAAGTCAGGTTTGAAAGATTTCGACGAAGGCTGACATATTTCTACAAGATTGAATTAACCCCCACTTCTTATATGTCATTTTCTGATTTTGAAGAGGAGAGAGTTCTATGGCAGGGTTTGTTTGGAGATGCCTGCAGAGTAATATCTAAAGATGTCAGTAAAACTGGAGATCATGCCGAGGTAGTTGTTGTGAAGAACTGTTATAGCGTTGATGAAGTGAACATCATGGAACATATGAGAGTAGAGGAAGCATATAGGTAATTATCCATCCGTCTGTTTTTATGTCTGTTAACCACATCTGTATCATGTGCTTTATGTGATGCAATTATTTAGATCCAAACACCCCCTCCCCCAATTTAGTGATTTCATATTTAGAACGTAGAGATTGGTGAAAATAAAGACATCTGTACAATTTTGTGGATAATTTAACAATAGTTATGGATACAGTTTTCTATATATATATGTAAGTGTGTGTCAACACTTGATATGAAGCACAATAGCTCAAATTCTGATGAATCTGGAATGACACTCTTTTTGTAGGTATATATATTATGGATGATAAAAAAAAAAAACAAGATCAAAATATTAATATAAGCATATTGTGAAACCTGTGTTGGATTTATCAGTTGATAAAGTACAGTGGGGGGTACCTATTGTATGAAAATCTTAATATGTTAGTTGCAAAATTTTAATGAATATCCATCTTTGATTTCAGAATTGAAACTTTTCATATCCATTGAAATGTTGATCTTTAAAGTATTGACCCAATGCTAAGGTAACTAAAAAGCAAAATTGTATTTGCAGATCAAACAAATTTGTGTACAACATTCCACTTCTTTGCATGATTTTAAGAAGCTCTTCAGAACATCATTTTATTTGGCCTGTCCTTTGTCCAGTAAAATGCAGTCTCAGAGAATTCATGGACTCGAAAACAATTGAGGCTGTAGAGAAGATACATACTCTCTATCTGTACATGGAGCAAGTTATCAGTGGGCTGGACTTCTTGCATACCAAAAAGCTAGTCCATTTAGATGTCTCCCAAGATTCTGTTATGGTAAACTAAACTTGTTCAAAACAATTCTTTATTTCTAGTGTTTCTTTATTTATTGATGTCTAAATGGTTTTTTAAGCATGATTATAGATCAGGAATACAAGATGATTGTTATCTAGATTTGCAGTACATGTAAATGATACAGGGAGCTGGTATTTTTTTCTTCAGTATAATGTATGTTGTTTTTTTTCAGGTTGATCAAAATAAAAGAATAAAGCTCATCCACATTACATATCCTCAAAGGTTGAATGCCAGCAATTTTCCAGAGGAGGCAACAGGCTTAAAAAAATACATGTACTTCCACAGAGATGTTTTGTCATTACCATCTCAGACAGAATACAGCTTTAAGCATGACATGTATGGAGTTGGCTTAATGATGTGGGAGGTCTGGAGAGGTCAGAGGGCATTTCAGGAAATGATTGACAGCCCTGAGTCCAAGACCCTTCATCAATTTATCAGATTTCTCTCCGATGACAAAAATCACCTAAGCCTGGATGTGGAGGATGGTTTAGGGATTCCTCAGGTGAATTTCTGGAATGACGGCATTTTGATGTGCCAGAGCCTGTCCATCACTGCTGCAGGATTACTAGATTTACTACATCCCTGTAAAAATAAGACCAGCGACTATAAACATGCTCAGGTACATGTTTTTAAGTCTCAGACAGACACCTCAGTGTGATTCACCCTGAATAAGGGGAAGAATCATGTAATGTATTGTTAACACCTATGTGAGGTGCAGGCATATCTTCCCTCCCTTTACTCCTACATTTTGTACATACAGTTGGACTTCATTAACTCAAACACAGATATCTTGAATACCAGGGGTAAATGTATTGGCAGTCCGAACTACTTTTAAGCCCACCTGAGCCAAAAGCTCAAGTTAGCTTTTCTGATCAAAATTTGTCTGTTGTCTGTCATCTTTGTTGTTGTAAACTTTTTACAATTTCATCTTTTTCTCCAGAACCACTGATGGGGCCACAACAGAGGATCAATAGTGTACCTAGGAATATATAGGAATATATCTTTAAAAATCTTCTCAAGAACAGCAAAGCCATGATTAGTCATAATTATATAGAAGCATCCTGAGGTAGTGTAGATTCAAGCTTGTTCAAATCATGACCCCCTATGGTAGGGTGGGGCCACAATACGGGATCAAAGTTATACATAGGAATATATAGGAAATATCTCTAAAAATCTTCTTCTCAAGAACAGCAAAGCCATGATTAGTGATAGTAATACCAAAGCATCCTCAAGTAGTGTAGATTAAATTTTTTTTTTTCAAATCATGTCCCCCAGGAATAGGGTGGGGCCACTTTAGAAGATCAAATATTTACATAGAAATATATTGGGGAAAAGTCTTTAAAAATCTAAAGCCATGATTTAGATTAGTCAAAGAAATGTGGAAGCATCCTCTGTTAGTGTAGATTCCAGTTTGTTCAAGTCAAAGAACAAGTCTCAATAAGGCTTATCTGTGGTTACTCATTAAATTTCGAACATTTATTGAAAGCCTTCAGAATTAAATTTTATTATCAACTAATGTCTTTATTACTTAGTCATCATCTAAAAATGTCAAACAATAGATAAAGACAACATATGAAGCTGCGTGTTGAGGATGGGGTCCTTTGATTTTCATGAATATCAATAGAAATCAGTGACAGGTACACACTTCAAATCTTTCTTAAACACAGAGCACGTACAGGTTTGTTCAGAGTCAAGTTTGAAATATGTGTATATTATATGTATAAAGGTTGAGTGAAAATATCTTTATTGTACAACTTTGTGCTCCATGTTTTCCAATTAAAAGTATTGGGATTTTGAATCTATTTGCTGACTTCATTTACATGCAGTTACCCTCTTTATGACCTGTTTAGAATCATAACAAGCCATGTGGATTTGTATTGTTATGGGTAAATGCCCCCAGTACTTACCTCGCAGATGAAACATACTCGGTTTTATATCGACCGGTCAGCATGTACTTGTTTGGTTCATATTGTTTAAGCGTTTTATTGCCAAAGTTTTGTATATAGAAGATTGTATTTGTAGTTGATTGTGAATCTTGAAATTATAATTTGTCTTTGAAAGAAAAATATCATATCAAGAATCTTCTTTTATGGTATCTAGTCTAAATGTCTCCGCCCATTTCCATGAAATAGAGAAACTGTAGCCTGTACGGGGGAAAAATGTTCCGGCATTTTTAAGTGCAGTAGGTTTTAAAAATTGGTTTGTATTTTTTGATATGCTAAATTATTATTTATAAATACACAATGCTTTAATTAGAAATACTTCTTTATACACAATGAAAACAAACAAAATACCATATGATAATATTTAACTGGTAAATCAAGGGTGTAAAAAGGGACCACGCTACAATACTTAAGTAGAATACTCCTTTTAGATTTCTTTATCTGCTCTTAAAATCTTGGCTTTAAAAAAGTAAATTGCATTCAAATTCTTTATCTGCTCTCAAAATCTTGGCTTTAAAAGAGTAAATTGCATTCAAATTCTTTATCTGCTCTCAAAATCTTGGCTTTAAAAGAGTAAATTGCATTCAAATTCTTTATCTGCTCTCAAAATCTTGGCTTTAAAAGAGTAAATTGCATTCAAATTCTTTATCTGCTCTTAAAATCTTGGCTTTAAAAGGGTAAATTGCATTCAAAATCCTCACAAATGAATAACTGACTCCTCATTATAGGACATTTTTAGGAAAAATAGCTAGTTATCTTCAAAATTTTGAGATTGTGAATCAGTTTGAAATGTCAATGGATAAATCTGGAGGTGTGATTACAGTGTTGTTTACAAAATTTGTCCAGGGTATTGTTAACTTGAGATTATGGACATAAAGAACCAGTAGATTGTAAGAACTTTTTTCCCAATTCTTTTGATGTAATAAAATACAGTCAAACCTCATTATCTTGAACTCAACAGGACAGAGAAAAAACTACAAGATAACCGAGGATTTGAGATATCCAGGGTTAATTACTGAAAGAATGAGGGACTTCCACATCACTTTTTCATATCCATAGTATTCGAGATATCAGTGTTCGAGATACCAAAGTTCAACTTTATGTTTAAAACAAAACAAAGCTCAAGTCACTGGAAACAACCATTAATTTACATTACTGAAAGCTTCAGAATGGGGTAAACACCTCTGTGATTAACAATTATTATTTCAATGGATAAATACAAAGATGTGAATTAGCCATTGTCACTTCTCTGGATATATCCAAAGATGGGAATCATCAAAAAGTTGTGAATCAGCCTTCATCATAACAATTGGCAAATCTAAATTTAAATTGATTATTACATATGAATTTCTGTGATACTCATCTTTGCTTTTTAATTCATAAACCAAAATTTTTTGGTGTGTGAATCAATTTTAGATTGATATATATATTTTATGCATACAATTTATTTTGTATACATGTGTACACTGTACTTTATAAACTTTTTTTATAAATGTATTTGCAATTTAGAAATGTGCAATAAAGGTTTTTTTTAGTACACTTCTCCAAAGGATTTTTTGTTGAATTGTAAAGGACATGCTTGTATTACAGGCCAGATATGAGTTTGAAATGCCTAGGTCATGATTTGGCAACTGAGAAAATAGTAGGCAGTAAAGCAGGGTTTGAGTGCAAAGAATGTTGATAATCTCAATTCGAAGTACTCTGTTAGAATGCTCCATTTCTTTTTTTAATTTAGTAAGAGTCTTGTTTTGGAAAAGATAGTTTTTGTATTGAAATTTTTTTATATTAATAATCACATAAAGGTTTGCTGAATGGACACCGATGTACCTAATCTTTCACGTTTGCTTCTCAATCAAAAGACCAATTTTGTTCAAACTTACCATAAAGCATTCTTGGAGAATTTTTATTCCTCAAATGGAGGCTCCTGTTCTATTTCAAGGGGAAGACAATTAAAATATGGTAGAGTCATTCAACAAGAGGCCCAAGGACGTAGAATCGCTCTTCTGATAAATGAATGTGATCTATTTTTGGGTCAATATGTACCATGGCCCAAAAGCATATTAACTGTCATAATTTGTTATTAAATTGTACTAAACCTTTTTAGTATCCAAGCTTAAAAGATTTGACAATAAATAACGCTGAACTGATGATGAATGAATGTGATCTATTTTTGGGTCAATATGTACCATGGCCCAAAAGCATATTAACTGTCAGGATTTGATGTTTAATTGTACTGAAACTTTTAGTATCCAAGCTTAAAAGATTTGACAATGAATAACTCTGAAATTTTGAATTAAGGTCACTCCAATCTACTTTTGTATTGACACATCCCTGTACCCTAAGACACATTTTTGTTCTAGGTTAGGTGACCCTACATGTTGTATTGTTCAAAATTTAAAGTTAAAAGATTTCAAAATTAAGTCATAAAATTGAGAAACATTGTCACTGTGACCTTCTTCAAGGTCAACTCATTGCAATGTCTTAAAATGCATCAACTGACAAAATTTGATGTGGCCTTCTTTGGGTCAGCATATACCAGGGCTCCTTGATGCATCAAATGATAAGGTTTGATGATCATTGGCCTCTTAGAATCCAAGTTGAACAGAATTTCGCAGTGAATAATGATAAAATTTAATAATAAGGTTACTGTGACCTACTTTTGAATTAACAAATCCCGTAGCCTGAAGTTTGGTTTGTTGATCCTACATGTCATAGTGTAATTAGTGTTCAGAATTTATAGATTAAAAAATATGCCATAAAGTTTAGAAAGTAGGTCACCATGACCTACCTTTTTAGTAAACACACCTCAAGACCCCAGAATACATCAACTATGAAAGTTGATGATGTTAAACCTCTTACGTATCCCAAACTTTAACTGGGGAATTTCTGAAAATGAATAGCCTTAATATTCAGAAAGTATATCACCATGGCTTACTGTAAATCCAAAATTCATGAAAACTTATTTTGGCAAGATAGTTACTTGGTACCTATAAGCGGGACAAAATTTTCACAAAAATTCTGGTTATTGCTGCATTTAATCTATACCATTAAATATATACAGTAAAACATGCTTATAACACATAATTGGTTATATCTGTTAAGTTCACAATATATCTTAAAGCCCCAGGGAATGAATATCACTTCCCTGTAAGCATCATTTCATAATAAGCATTTTGTTACAAGGATGTTTTACTGTATGTGATAACTAAATTTTCATGAGCAGCTGGTCTTGCGGAATTAAGCAAAAATACCTTGTGAATAAAAATTAATTTATTAATTTAAAACAAAAGTGCAGAATTACAAGACCTTTCCAATGATATCATGAAGATATTTTTTGGTTGATACACTCCAAGGTCCCAAGATGCCTCAATTGACAAAAGAAGAAGGTACAGTTTGGGCTTTATTGTGCCCTAAAAATTTAATGTTCTTAAAAGGTTATAAAATTGGCTATAACATGAGTTGAGTAGATGAATATGATAAATCATTAAAGAATATGGCATAAAGGAGGACCATTCTGGAAATATGAGGTCATTAATTTGGTACATTTCTAAGTTTTTTGCAGAAAAACCTCAAAATGACTCATTTCTGTGCTTATTTTCCTTTAGAAAATAGTGTCCGCAGCTCTTGCCCACTTCAATTTTTAGATATATTTTGTAAAATGCTTTGAAAAATCACATATATCAAAATCTTTGTGGGCGATGCATGCGCTGTATGTTTTTTGAAAGAAAATTCCACTGAAAATTAATGTCTTCTGCAACTTTTAAAGAAAATACGGGAAAAGGCACAAGTTCATGACGTCACAATTAGCATTTAGGAGGTCATACTGGAAAATCGATTTGTATGTTCTTACTGCATGGAATTTCAATAATTCAGAAAGGATGAATTTAAATTTCTTACATCACTTCTAAATTTTAGAAAAATACAGGGCCAGATATGAATTGAAACCCTACCTTGTTCTTTGATGATCATGGGCTTCACAGTATCCAAAATATGCTCCTAAAACAATTTAAAGATGAAAACATAAGTAATCAAAGATTACAAAGCTCACCTCGAGGAATGTTATCTATAAGTAAGGCAAATTTCACATCATATTTTTTTCTAGTTAGTGTACATCCCAAGATCAAAATCCATGCAAGTTTGGTTTAAGTAGGACTTGTAGTTACTTGGAAATAGACCTGCTCAGAAAGCTTTTAACCTGTTTACTAATCAAAAAAATTTTGGTCAGTTCCAGCATCCAAAGCATATCTGGAAGTTTTCATCCTTAGATGCATCATCTATGCAAGTTTAATCATAACAGGCCATAATATTATATAGCTAGTTTAAAACACCAGAAGTCTCTGATGAGACTGTAGCTCTGATGGTCTGTATGTACAACAAAGGAAAAGTAGCACTTGGATTTGAAACTTTGCAACATGCAGCAATTAACAGAATTATATAGCTTAAGGTAGTCTACTTGTGTGCCAAGTTATATTGAAATCAAACCGAAAACATAGGTAATCAGAGATTACAGAGCTCACCTCAACGAATGTTGTCTTTAAGTAAGGCAAAGTCCCACACTAAACTAATAATCTAGGAGTGTGCATCCCTAGATGCAACATTTATGCAATTTTGGTCTGATAGGGCTTGCAGTTACATGGGAATAGACTTATCTGAAAACTTAAAACTATTCACTCATCCAGAAAATGTAAGTCAAATCCAGCATCCAAGGCAAGTTTGAGATTGTTCGTCCCTTGATGCATCATCCATGCAAGTTTGGTCAATATAGGACTTATAGTTACTTGGAAATGACATCTGCTGCAAAAACTTTAACCTGGTCACTCATCCAGAAAATGTAGGTCAGATCCAGCATCTGAAGCAAGTCCAGTAATCTGCATCCTTAGATGTATCATCCATGCAAGTTTAGTCAATATAGGGCTTATAGTCACTTGGAAATGAGATCTGCTCCAAAAACTTTGACCTGGTTACTCATCCGGAAAATATAGGTCAGATCCAGCATCTGAAGCAAGTCCAGTAGTGTGCATCCTTAGATGCATCATCCATGCAAGTTTAGTCAATGTAGGGTTTAAAGATACTTGGAAATGACATCTGCTCCAAAAACTTTAACCTGGTTACTCATCCGGAAAATATAGGTCAGATTCAGCATCCGAAGCAAGTCCAGTAGTGTGCATCCTTAGATGTATCATCCATGCAAGTTTAGTCAATATAGGGCTTTTAGTTACTTGGAAATGAGACCTGCTCCAAAAACTTTAACCTGCTCCAAAAACATTAACATGGTCATTCTTTAGCTGAAATTGTAGCATCTGAAACCTTGACTGGTACAATGAAAGACACTAGAAGCATCCTTCATGCATCTCTGACTAATATAGGCCATAGAAGTACTTGAAAAGAAAACTGCTCCAAAAACCTTAACCTGGGACACCGACGCTGGGGGTATTGCATAAGCTCCCCAAACTTCGTTGAGGTGAGCTAAAAACCAAAACTGTAGGAGGAGTATAGCATTTGGAAAATACATGTATTTCACAGAAATTTCTATTCTTATTAACCATGGCAACACCGTTCATCAAAATCAAAAGCCAATGCACTAAATTATGTATCATAGTGTAGTATACTTTCGTGCATAATTATATTGAAATCGGACCAAAACTAGAAGGAGTAGTGTTTTGAAAAATTGTTTACAGACAGACCGACAGAAGACAGATGAACACCTTACTATTGCATAAGCTCTTCTGGTCTCTGACCAGGTGAGCTAAAAATTACCCTGGTCACTCGTCTGAAAAATCTAGGTCAGAATCGGAATCTAAATCAAGTCTGGAAGTGTCCATCCCTAGATACATCATCCATGCTAATCTGGTTAAAATATGGCTAAAATTCACTCATGTGGAAAATCTAGGTCAGATCAAGCATCCAAAGCAGGTCAGTGTACATCCCTTGATGCATCATCCATGCAAGTTTGGGCAAGATAGGGCTTATAGTTACCCGGGAGTTGACTTACTCCAAAAACTTTAACCTAGTCACTCATCTGGAAAATCTAGGTCAGATCCAGCATCCGAAGCAAGCAGTGCAATGTCCATCCCTAGATGCATCATCCATGCAAGTTTGGTCCAGGTAGGACTTATAGTGACTTATAGTAACTTGGGAACGGACCTCCTCCAAAAACTTTAACCTGGTAACTCATCTGGAAAATCTAGGTCAGATCGAACATCCAAAACAAGTGTAGTAGTGTCAATCCCTTTATGAATCATCCATGCAAGTTTAGCCCTAGCTTATAGGTTACTCATCTAGGAAATCTATGTCAGGTCCAACATCCAAAGCAAGTGATGTAGTGTCCATCCCTAGATGCATTATCCATGCAAGTTTGGTCCAGGTAGGGCTTGTAATTACTTGGGAATCGACTTGCTTCTAAAACTTTAACCGGGATGCTGATGCCAACACCGACGCCGGGGGTATAGCATTCTGTCCAGATGAGCTTAAAATGCAAAATTCAAAACATAAGTCGAGAAATAACGCATTTACACTATTTAATCAACAGAGCCCCCACCCCTTCAACACACACCAGAACCCCTGACCCTGGGGTCACAAATTTCACAACTCCGAAGAAGCACCCTTGCTCATCACAATTATCAGAGACATATCTGTTATATGTCTCTGCAATTATGCACTCAGTTTATCTGCTAAATACACAGGAGCATAGATGTTTTTCAAAGAATTAATGCATTTTCACTATATAATCAATAGAACCCCACCCTAACACTGGAGCCCCTTACCAAGGGACCATGAAATTCACAATTTTGGAAGAGGCATCTTTGCTCATCATAACTGCATCTAGTTTATCTGCTAAATACCCAGAGGCAGAGAAGTAGTTTTCAAAGAAATAATGCATTTCACTATATAATCAATAGAGCCCCCACCAGACCCCACAACCCATGATCCTTGGGCCATGAATTTCAAAATTTTTGAAGAGGTGCTCTTGCTCATCATAGCAATGCACCTAGTTTATCTGCTAAATATACAGGGGGAGACAAGATTTTTAAAGAATTTATACATTTTCACTCTATGTCATTAGAGCCCTGCCCTAACTCCAGAACCCCTGACCCTGGGGTCATGAATTTCAAAAATTTTGATGAAGGGCTCAATGCTTATTACAATCAGGCCAACAGTTTGACTGCTTCATGTTCAGAAGTAAAGATGCATTAAAAAAGCACTAATTTTGATGGTTTTTGCCCCACCCCTCAGGCCCCAAAGAGGAAGGGACCATGAAATACACAGTTTTTTACCCCTTCACCCATTGATGCTATATGCCAAAACTGGTTGAAATTGGTTCAATGGTTCAAAAGAAGAAACTAAATTTGGTCAAAAGTTTACCAATGATGCACATTGAAGGATGAAAACAGACAGCAATAGGTCACCTGAGTGACTCAGGTGACCTAATAATGAGGTATTCCCCATTTTCAATATATGTGCATCAGTGTTTGACCCAATGCGACAGTGCCTGAGAAACTATAAATTAATTTACTAGTAACAGGTGTAAAGCATCACTTTGTGTGCTGGGGAAGGGAGAGGATTGTCTGAAAGAACAAAACAATATTGCAGTAAATTCTATACAATGGTAAGGCCTTCAGTACATGCTGGTACATGTAATGGTAAATAGGTACAATACAACCCTAATAAACATTACTTTTGGTTCATTATGTTAATGACATGGCTACAGAAACTTCAATTTTTATTCACTTTATTATATTGAATAAACAGACACAATATTTGCATATGGTACATTTATCACTTGCTTCCAATATACAAATTTTTTGTTGATATATGATGAAATATTGCACAATAACAACCAAAATATATTAAGGATTTGTTTTTAAATTTCTCATAGTATGCCTATTCTAAATAACATTCTCTAAAAACCTTTTTATTTCTATAAATTATAGCACTGTTCATTCAGAATAATACAGGATATGCATGAACTGCTTCTGTACATTTTTCATTTTTTCCATTAGTTATGGTTAGCACTTCAAGATCAATTAAACAAAATTCTGCTGTTCAAAATCAAATTTACTCTAACATATTCTCTTGTATCTGTTTTGTAAGTTAATTTACTACTTGTAAATTCGACTAATCAAAATGCATCATGAACAAAAATTTGTTAATCTACAAAAAAAGAACACATTTCTTTAACAGAAACTCCCAGGACATAAAGCACATCACCCCTACTTATCAATTTCTGACAAATCATTGCAGGTCAGTTTCTGAAATCAGTTACATAGGTGGGTCTACATAATTTTAACTAGTACAGCTTCCCCCTTTTAAATACTCTATACATCTTTTTTTTCAAAATAAGTACATATTTTACTTTTGAAAAATAACAAACTAAACTCGTCCAAGTGATTTCTAGAAAATGATCTAATATCTTTTTAGCACAACCAGCTACATTAATTCAGTCATTCTTTAAATACATGTAGTTCAAGTGCAAACTTTCACATGCTTTAGATGATATTTATCCTGATACATTCACAGGATTTTGGTGAAAATTCAATGACCACCACTTAATACCAACTTTACAATTTAATAAACATCACAAGTAAACTCAACAAGACTGCACAGATCATAACATAATCATTATAGTATTTCCATTAAATTAATCATTAATTAAGGATCAATTAACACACATTTTTGACGAAATAAAACTGAATGTATGGAGAATGACTGTGGAATTATTAGGCTGCTCCCTCGTACATCACAGATAATGCAAAGATATTTAGACAAAGCATGTCATATAAAGAGAGAATTATAAAGGTGTCTTTGTGACATTCAACTCTGACAAGAAATTATTCACTACACAAGTGTTGTTTTAATTTCCTGAAGCACATTGGATAAAAGGTTTCCTTCCGTACTTTTCCCATCAATTTTTATATCACCATTTATCTGAAAATTAAATGTAAATTGATATGATAATTCAAATTTTAAAAAAAACTAAAACAGAATCATTTATAATGATCTTGTTCTGTGTTGTACATACATGTATATAAACATTAAACAGCAGCTTTAATGTAATGTTGAAGACGATTAAATACCTTTTTTATAAGCAGACATACAGGGTGGCCCTGTATGGATTTACTGTATACAGAAGCATTCTTTTCAACTTGTTCAACAACTGTGAAAAAAATATAACATTTGATAATCTTGCCATAGAGAAACTACATGTATATGCAAGAAGGACTTTCACATTTTTTTTTTTTTGAAGAAAACATACATATTATGCAAAATTGAATATCGGGTCAAATACTTAATACATGTAGTGACTTAACAGTGGTAAGTTTTCGAGCTTGTTAACCTGTCATTCTTCAAGTTGTCTTGTTTATGAATAAGAATGCATCAGTTTCTTCACAATAAAGTTGTAAATACACGTATCTTCAAAATCACAAAAACCAAAAACAAACTTCACACAAAAGTAAATTTTACCTCTGAAGTGGTGGTAGAAGCAGACTTTGGCTAGGATGATCTGGAATTCAGAATCCTGGGGGGTGAACTGAATGGACGATTTTTCTGTCAGGTCTCCACTCTCCAGAAGTGTAGTGAAAGCAGAGCTGTGGTAACAAGTGATAGTTCTTCATAAAACAATATAAAAATTTGGGGAGGGGTGTCAAAAATCACCTATATCTTCTATAAATGAAGACAATATGTATACTAAAAAAATTTAGATACTGCAGAAGCACAAATTTTCGTGGGGATATAATTTCGTTGATTTTTCATCTAAAAAGTTTTCGCATGCAAAGAGTACCCTTATCTAATATACGTAAATAGTCATATAAACATTTCGTATGGGATTTAATTTCATTGATAATTATAAAAAAACAAAATAAATTTAATCCCCAACAATTTTTTCTGCTTTTAAGATATGTAAAATTTGGGTGTATTATTTTAGTATAACTCAAACATTGACATCCGAATGCAAATTTTTAACAGACAACCAGAGAGCTACAGTTCTGCAGCTATTTCAGACCGTGTTATGTCTAAACTTACCCTTTACAAGGTGTTGCGACTAGAAAGGAACTACATGGAAAGACCAATTTAAAATCAACTTTTTCATGTGTTGATCCTTCATCCATCTATAAATACATATACATTATAATTATATAAATAATATAACTGTTAATCAGATTGTAAATTCAGAGTACATAAACTAAGCTTGTATGAAAGTCACTTCACTTTTAATAAATTAAAACCTTGTGTATCACAAAAATCAGGAACGTAAATTAAAAGTACATAAACTATGTTTAAAAAAAAGGAAAGTCATTCTAGTTATCAGCCTCATTTACATGCATCACAATCAAAATATTAATGGTCACAAATAGCAAGTATACCTGTACATTACTTAAGACATAATTACTATTAAGTACCTTAAGAATATATGTAAGTGTTCCCTTTAGTTTTTGAGCCACTTTAATCTCATGAACAGTGAAGGCGAATTGTCCTTCATTTTGAGAATTAGGCAGCAGTATGAAGGGAACTTTAATAGGATCATGATGTGTACTACCCATCTAAAAAAAAGAACATTTAATATATTATAATCATCATAGAGAAAAGTAAAGAAATTGAAGTAAAGCTGAACATGATTCGTAAAAGGAATTTATCCACAATATTCTTTTATTCAGTAGTTAGTTATATCTAAGGGCTCCTATATAAGCCATTCACTTAGTCACTGTTCAGTGTAATCAGTTGTTACATGTGTAAATGGATGTATGCTACATAGCTCTTCTAAAAAACTTAGTAGTGACAAAAGTAACTTTGTGCTTCTCATGGCAGGAGAGAAAGATACCAAAGAAACTTACAACAGTTGCACAGGTTAGTGCAGTATACAAACATAAATACACTAAACTGCAATAAAATGTAAACAAAGGTAATTTAAGATAACCAGCAAGAACATGCATAGTCCATTCCATGCAGGTACCCATGACATGAAAGAAGTCAGGTGTAACGAATGTGAAGGGTACACCCCAGTGCTGATATCGGAGATAGCAAATCAAATATGGCATTTGCCTATTTACGAGTCGTATTCAGCTTAAATGTACATAATATCCTGGAATATGATTTCATTATTTCAGCAAATACACTAGCTCCAATATGAATGTAGCCCTCTCATTTTTTTTTCATTATGAAGATCCATTTTTAATTGTAGCCCTTTCAAGAAAACATGTTTAAAAGAATTGGAGAGGGCTACATTAATGCAGCTTCAAAAAATCCAATATTTCCATAATTTTCATACCTTCAAAAGAGCAATAATTACTAACACATGTACATTTACTTAACTTTCCAAAATTTTCACACGAATTCAAATGTGTACGCTTCCAAATGACAGATTCCTGACCCATTGAGCTGATATCCACTTCTCTTTAACTACTGCTTACAAAGTAAGATACTTACTGATCTTATTAACTTTAAATTCATGGTTTCCATGACATTGAATTCTAAATCCTTTATTGTGTGTTCAGTCAGATTGGAGAATACCACTGATACAATGATTTGGTCCCCTCTCTGGTGACTAGCTCTAATGTCATATGTCTGAAGGAAAATTCATATTAGATCTATTATTGACAATGAATTGTATTTCACTCTTAGTTGAAATTAGGTTTTTAACAGGACATAGCAATCATACATGTTTGTTATGATTTAGAAATAAACTCTCAAATAACTTACCATTTTTATGGAATCATTTTCTCCTAAAGTTACATATGATGACATGGGCTGAAAAATGAAAAAAATATAGGGTGTACAAAATATTTTTTTTTTAACTTTCCATCAATTGAGTAAAATGTTTCCTAAAAAATCAAACACTTTTCTTAGGTTTGTTTTGTAAATGGGAATGAAAATATTTTAGCCATTCTGTATTTCCTATAACCACATTTTATATAACTAACTTACTGGGAGCTGAACTGCAACAGGTGTTTCAGCTTGAGAAGGGGGCACTTGTTCTTTAGAAGGGGTGGTAATTCCTTCTGCCTCCTCATAATCAGCTCTTAATAACTTCTTATCTTTTTTACTCTTCTTTTCTTTCTTGGGCTTCTTCTCTTTCTTTTTCTTTGTTTTCTGATAAAAACAAATGAATTGGCTTATAAATCATTCTGAAACATTTATTGTTCATTTGTATATATTTAGAGGTCAGGTATAAACGTTTGTACTGGTTATCTCCCTTTACCTTTTCTTTCTGACTTTCCTCCTCACTGGATACATTTGCGTACTCTACACTGACCTCTGGAGTTTTAATCACATTCTCTGTTGATTTAGAAGTTGCTGTGGAATTATTGTTCATCCAGAAGTCCAAATCATTTTCCTTAAAATACATGTAAAAATCACTAACATGTACATGTATCTTGATTGAAATAATTCACATACATGTATATTCAGTAATTTCAAATCAAAGATTCCATACATCATGGATTTCTTTTTTAAAAATTGCAAGATTGATGAAATGTCCTTGAAAATAAATTTTAAATGGATCTTGTTTATTTAAAAAAACATTCATATCCATTCAAAGGAATCTCTTTATCCTGTGACTTTACATCTGTGATACCTTTTCTTGATCTGCTTTCTCTTGTTCAGGTGACTGTGGAAGACCATTAGCTACAGGGACATGCTCTGGTGAACTCTCTCCAGTCATTAACAGGTTAGAGGCAGACCCAGAGGCTTCATCAGCTTTCTGCTTTTTCTTAGACTTCTAAAAATAAAATATTATTGGAAGAATTGTTAAGCTTTTTATTTCCACTTTAAATAGTCTCTCTCTCTCTCTCTATCTCTCTCTCACTGAAAACTTGTGTAAATACTTTTGCCACCCCTTAAAGATATAGACTTGCAGACTGTACTGTGTATGTCCCTTAAAACTTTTAATGTAATGACCTAAGTAAACGTAATAAATTAAATCTGTAAATTCAGTGGGTGAAATATTAAATCTAGAATTAAGTTTGTGTCAGTGGGTGAAATCTATAATCAGGATTAAGTTTGTACCAACACTGAATTCTAACCTTTTCCTTTCCTTCCTTGCGATGTTTCTTTTTCTCCTCTTTGTCTTTGTCCTTGACCTTCTTGTGTTTCTTCTTTGGTTTGACCTCCTCATCCCCAGGTTCTATGGAATCCATTACAATTCTATGAGATCGAACAGGCAGAATCTCATCATCTCTTAAAGGCCTGTAAAATAAATATTTGTTAGTTGGCAAGAATTAAATTTGATCAGAACAATCAAATTACTTGACAAAGAAAAGTTTCACATTTTCAATTCAAGTCTGTCATCAAGAAAAATATTCAAAGCAGTTGTCTATAACTTTTCTAGATACATTTTCAATTACATTATGGATATGAAAATCCCTATTCTTATTCAATGTGCATAATCCTGCACCTCAACACTTCAAAAGATCTTACTGATCTAAGTCCATGTCTAGACGCTTGAAAGGGTCAGAGCTATTTCTCTCATCTTCTTTGTCAGAGGTGTTTGCTCCCTGTAAAATGAACAAAATAATGTAAATACTCTGAATTTTCTCAACTGATGGGGGATTCAGAGATAAAGTTAAGCTAGTACATGAATGACATTTGTGGGGTACTTTTACATACATGTCCATGTGCTTTAATAAATGTACCATACAGAAGTACCATTTTGCAAAGGAAAGTTCTTACATTTTATTTATAGCAATTTAAACATAAAAGTTAGAGATGGAAATGCTAAAAGGTAAAGTGCACGTACATGTATGTATTTACTCTGTATTATAAATAAGATAGCTGTATAGGCATTTAGAGAGTGTAGATAAGAACCAAATTGCACAAGTAAGATTTACCTCTGGCATGTCCACTAGCGTACTGACAGCATGCTGGGTCGGGACGTCTTCATCAGACTCTTCCTCTGGCTGTCCCTTCTTCTTCTTCTTGTGTTTACCATGCTTAGTCTTCTTCCTCGACTTCTCACGATCTTGAGAAGCAAGCTTCAAGTATTTGTCTGATGAAGCAAGTCCTTAATTTTTTGTTGAAAAAGAATTAATACATTAATCATGCTTTTGATAATGTTCCGCAGTAGACGTATTTGAAACCCAATTTCTTAATTATGAGAATACTTCATATTCAAGTTTTCATAAATGATATAACAAATAGCAGACCTCATATCTGCAACTCTATCTTTAGAACTTTTAATTCTATAGGAGTATCACATAATGATGATGTGTATACCTGGTACATGTAGAGGTATGGATAAGTCTATCTGCATTACAGGACTCTCCTCAGCTTCTTCAACTTTACTGCTTTTCTACAATCGTAAAACTCAACCAGTTATTTAAATGAATGAGAAAGTCATTTTAAAATTCTTTTAATTCACAAGGATATGAAATTTTCTATTAAAAAAAAAAATTATTACCTTTGATTTTTTATCCATTCGCAGATAATGGGGATTATGCATTTGTTCTATCTTTCTCTGTTCTCTTCGCTAAAATAATTGCAAAATTAAAACATCACACCCTTGAAACAGCCTTAAGATGTGTCAAATTCTTCAGATATCAAAGAAACACACCTTTTCTAGTTCTTCCTCTGTGGGTTCTGGGACATTTCTCTTCTCTTCTTTATAGAATGCTCTGAAGAAAAATATGATACTTTTACACAAAGGTCTAAAAGCAGGACTTTCTTTCGATTTCAGTGTAGTTCTAAATGTCTGGTTATACAATGATTTATGTTCTCTACTTGCTGAGTCATAATGTAAAAATCGTAAGTAATTAAATAACTCATAATTTCTTCCAAGTCACTTCAATATCACCAGTTAGACAATGTAACAAATACCTGTAACTTTCCTTAACATTTGCAATAGAATATTTTTTATGCGACACCACAATTGCTGTGTATGAACATACTTGGAATCTTCATGGTTGATGGCAAATATGGAGGTTGTTGGTTCTTCATCTGATGAACTCTCCGACAGGGGCTCATTAATCCATTTGTCCAAGTCCAACCTGCAAAAAAAATTATGGTAATCCAGATCTTGGGTATATCTTTTGGGAAGCTCTTAACTTTAAAATACTTTTTGTAATTCTTTACTTGATTCTTATTATTTTTAAAATATACACTTTAACTTGCCAAAAATATTTCTCTCTTCCATATACAGTAAAAAATGCTGAAAGTGAAGTGCCTGGGATGGAAAAATTTGTTTCTTTATAAACATTTTTCGTTATATCCCTAATGTTCACTAAACGACAGGGAAGGAAAATAACTTCACCGTAAGCTTGAATTCATTATAAGTGTGTTTTACTGTAAATAATAAATTGAAACTTAAGTGTGCCAAAGATTAGTTTTCCTCCAACTGCTTACCCTTCTGGAACTGGCACTTTACGCTGCGCCTTGGGAGCCACAGGATTTAAATCCCCAGCAAACAGACCACAAACTTCATCACCCACTTTGGCACCTTTTTCTATCAGTTTCTGAACATATTTTACTAACTGAAGCATACAGCAGGCCTGTAATTAGAGAATACACTGGAATAAGTTTTCAAAACTTCATTCCATTTTAAAGTAACTTTCACAAAGCTCTACTTTTTATATAAAAGTAACAAGTCTCAAAATGCATCTGAATTTTGCTGTAGAAACACAACATTTCTGCAATATTAATAATTGTGCTCTACGTCTTTAAGGAACATGGTTAACAAATCATGTGTGAAATATACCACTTCTAATGCATGGTAGACACTAATTAATATGCCCTCACCCTTTCCTGGACCTCTAGATCAGCACTCTGTACAAATATTGGCAGTTTACTGGTCAATAGCTGACAAAGCTCCTTCATGTTTTCCTGGTCTTCATTCTCTTCTGAAGTTTTCAAAATGCTGCCAAATAACTTGAGTATGTTTTGTACAAATACACTTTGTATATGCCCAGGTAAAGTTGTTATTTTAGGTTTAAGCATTGCTTCTAATGCCTCTCTAGGGTTCTTCAAATGCCTGCAAATAATAGAAAAAAATTAAAAGTTTGTTGTCTGTAATACTTATGTGTAAGTCTATTAAGACATGCTGAGGAATCAACATGTAATTTCATATTTATTGTAAGGCTCATGCAGCCAATGTGTCATAAAAAATTTTTTTCCTCTAAATCTACTAGTAAAAAAAAATCCTTGTACACTTACTGAGAAAACTCTCCACAAATCCAAGCAGCTGCATATAATACCTCACATATTCCATTTCTTTGTGAATTATTTGCCAAGATATACGAATTCTCCAATAATAGGGCCTAAATCATTAAAAAAAATTAAAATTAAACTTCCATTTGTCATACATACATGTACTTGTACATATTACTCTTTAAATATGAAAACAAGACCTTTATCATGTTATTATATTATTTATCATGTTATTATGTTATTTATACTTCATGTTCTTTTCTTATTTTGAATAGGAAAAGATTCCACTGTTGACTTACCATCTGAGCCACAGCAAATGGTCTGATAGCTTGCACTCTGATGGCAACGTCTAACATCTGTGAGGCTATCATACGACCATGTCTGGTCCCCTCCATTCTGGTTAATTCAACCAATACACTTACATACCTAAAACAAACAAGTTTTTATTTTTTTTTACTACATAGATTACATGCACATCATAATGCCCTCTGGAGATATATACACTTAAATTTAGCAATGTGACTGGCCATTGGATGGTGTGGTAAATGTCTAAGATGTCATTGGTTGAAGAACCAGAACAACATTTCATAATTAAGAAAAACTACATGTACTTTAAATATCGTTCAAAGCTTAACAGAAAGGGGAGTACCTGTCTGATGTTAATGACACAGAATGTCATTCTTAATTAACCTACCACTCAAAGTTGGTGATATACTGATAGTTGGACTGGCTGGAGATTTCCACAATCTTGGCCAGCAGTTCATCTCTGTAATGGGTTCCCTCAGCTTTGTCCATGTGAACCATTAACTTTTTCACTATCTCCATTAAGTTCTTCTTTGATACCTATAAATGTCATGTGAAATTATAAGAATAAAAAACACTCCATAATCTATTCTCATGCAAAAATAAAACATGCATAATACAAGTACATAAACAGGAATTAAAGCTTGTTCTTTTCTTGTAATTATACAGATGTGTATAATATTTTATTCTAAAATGAATATTTTATAAATTGTTACATTTAGATAAACTGTTACTGCTCAAATATATGAAATGTTAAATCAACTGTTGACATAGTTTTAATCATTTTTTTTTCTATTGAACCTATCCATTAAAATATTAAAAACTGCTCTCTCAGTATACTGTCCCTAGTTTTACCCACCATTCCATAAATGAGGTCCAGTGCCCTTAATCGAATGGACTCGTCCTTGTCATCTAGACACTGAAGTATCAGATCTTTATGTGACTGGACACTCTTGGGATGAGTGGCTAGAATTTTGGACATGGCTAGCAGACCAAGATACTTCACTGAAATATTTTTTAAAAGGTTTAATTTTATTTCACACTGTAAATATCTTAATAGAGCATTTACACAGTCAATTTATAAAGAAATCTTAAGTGGACCTTTTCTTTTTTCGACAAGTGTCCGAAAGTATTAAGCTCAATCTTCATAATCAAATAAACCAATGTTTTTTTAAACAAAATTTCAAATGATAGAAATAATCTGATATGATTGATTTAGTTACGAGCACAGATCTTTTTTTTAATATCTGGCCAGTATATGCATATTAATTAAAGTTATTCTACTTACAGTTCTGGTCTGAGTCTTCTATCAAAATCCTTAACTTCTGAACACATAGCTATTTGAAAATACCAAGAGAACAGTGTTATCTTATAGAATTAAATCCTGTTAACAGATCTGATCATCTTTACTGCTGAAGTAGAGACAAATTTTTACATATGGATTTCCAAATGGGTAGATTTGGTGTGAAACTACAAGAGGTTCTATAGTCCTCCCACCAAGCATCAGTGTACATCAGTTATGTGTTTAAGGATGGTCACTACTCAGGTTGCATAAAGAATATTTTTTGAGGATTTTTTTTTTTGCAAAGTATGTCTTATGATATCATCATTTGTAAAAAAAATATTGTGTAGTTACTGCTTTTTGTCACATGATATGTCTGAAATGAACTTTCTGCACTTGTCCAATAAAATCCCATTTTCCATTTACTACCACTCTTATTACGATACCGTAGATGGATAATACAGCATACATGGATGTAACCAAATATGAACGAACAAAATTGATATTGTCCCTTAAATGGAAGTGTATAGTGACCAAGACAAGTAAATTTATAATTCTTAATTACATTTAAAATTACATTTTTCAATTTATATTAATATGAACCTGCAGTGACCAACCTCCAGAGGTACATGAACCATGCAGCAAGAAGCTATGGAATACTGAGGAAATATTGGAAATACCTGGTAATGCAGTTTGACCAATTAACCACAATATGTCAATTTACTTTATTGTATCACAAAGGAAAACAGAAAAAAATATCAAATACTTGTATGTGTACATGAAAATACAGCTTCAACATTCTTAAATCATCTTAGCAGTGAATGTTTGACTTAAATAACCAGAGAATCCATAATGAAATGAAATTCTTCAAAATTCAATCAAGAAATAATTTTTGATAATCCAGTAATTCACTGTCAAACACTCAGTGCTTCCAATACCCAGTAGTAGATTACCTGAATTGAGGCGGTGTGATTGGGGATGCCTGAAGATATAGAAATGAGTACTGTAAGTAAAGGAAGAAAAATAATTATAACTCAATATTGTGCCAGCAGTGGTCTCCCTTTGATAACTCTCTTCAAGCAGTTATTGTTCCTGCAGATTCTGTTAAAGCATACATCATACATGTATATACTGTAAGTGTAGTTACTTTTCCAACATTTTGCATCAAGCTTAAGGAGGTTGGATCCTGACATCAAAAGTAATGAGAATTTTTTATGAAGTATATTTTTAGAATTTATACACATAGCTTAATTAAAAATCAAAACAAAAAATTGGGGTCAATGCGCTTCCTTTGGCGCTACAGAGCATTTAGTTTGACCTTTTTGCACTGTAAAAACGTCTTACACATAAATCAGTTTTTTAATTTTTTCCTCTGATATTTTTTATTCAAATAAGTTATGGGAACAAACACAGTTTTATTTCATCTTGAATAGACCCATTAAAATTTTTGACAACGAAATTTTTTTTTAAATTACTCCGCAGGTTCAATTATTTGACCTTTTGGCACTCAAAAAATTTCATTTTGCTAGCATTACAAATTTAACAAGCAAAAAACTCATTTAAAAGTAATGACATTTTACTGAATTTAAGAAGAATGGTTAAAAGTATCTTGTATATTCAGAAAAGAAAGTTAAAAGTGGGGGTCTGTGATGTTAATTTTTAGATATTACTAAAATAGTGCTAATTTCGAGCTTAAATTAGGGCTATTTTTTTTTCTCTTGATTTTCACAATATATTTGATTTATTTATCAAATATGATGATTGAATTCATGACAGTTTATTAAATATATAATTTAGGACCAGTATAAAACAGTTCACTGCTCAAAATAATTCTGTGTGCAGACTGCATGTAAAAATAGGAATCCAAACTTAACATACTTTAAATACTTCGAAAGAGGAAAACTGATCATTTTCTTCTAAAAAACCTTCCGCCACAAAATATAGTTCCTCAGTTAATGCTTTTGGTATGGAATTTAATCATGCAGTTTTAACTGAATATAGTTTATTTGGCATTGTAGAATCCAAATTTATTGTAAGAATTAAAACATTACGCAGATTTTTTTAAATATAGGTTAAAATAAAACTCTGCTCAAAAGCTCAGGAGCGAACCTTGTTAACATGATTTTTTAGCAAACTTTGCATGATACACTGAATTTGTGATAAAGAAGATTCTCTAAATCTCATATAAAGCAAAACGCTTATGAATTATGCTATAACATTTCTATCTAGTCTTTAGGTTATGGTTAAAACTGCTAATTTCAACAAAAATGCTATTTTCTAGCTGGGATATGTGTTCTAGCTGTGCAGCTATGAGAGTGATTGAAGCATTTGTCACACCAATTAAATTGTTCTATGAATCAAAATCAGTAGCTGAAATGTATGAAATTTATGCTAGTGCAAACTTTTTAATAAGTCAAATTTGAAAAACATGCCACAAAATGTGCTTCATATACAGTACATGTACTTTAACTACAATCCATAATACAAATATTTTGGTGATTGACACATATAAAAGTGGTTAATTATTTAGTAACATGATTTATAAATGTATATCAGAAAGACAATTACTGCAGGCACAATATTTTAATGCTTTTTCCAAGAGGAAGTTGATAATATAAGGAACCATTCAAGAAAGAAATTAAAATGTTTGAAAAATGGAAAAAAAAATTGTAAACTTTAAAATTGTTCAAAAAATTTAAAAATGTCCAGCAATAAAAGTAATATATACATGTATAATATATCTTTCCTCTTGAAATCAACTTTAAGACCTATTCAAAATGAATGTTTAAAAAAAAAATCACAAGAACATAAAGGTGATAAAAAAAATCATGGAAAATCAAATCAAATGTCTATAACATATCTACATGACCCAATAAATGGAACTAATAACCATCAAAAGAGTGAATTAAAGGTAAAATTTTACGCTAAAACCCCTTACCTGCTATGACAGTGTTGATACATTCATAAAGTAGAGACATTGCTGAAGTACTGTCAAAAAAAGAGAAAAAAAGAATTAAAACACGACATCCTTGGTAAGAATACATCTAGGATATAAGATCAAGATTCTATATTAATTTAGCATTTCAAAATCTCACCTATGAATTAGATTAGTTAATGGCTCTATAAGTTTTTTCCCGAGACGAGGCTCCAAGGGAGTTAATGCACTGAACTAAAATGTGAAACATTTAAGTCTCTCAATACTGAAAAACTGATACAATTAGCTTGTTTAAATAAGAATATCAAGAGACCCACTGGCACAATGCACCCGAGTCACAAGACATATATATACATTCATGATTGCAAGATTGTTGTATCAATTATACAATGCCATAGTCTCGTAATTCTTTACGATATCTCTATATACCGATTATTTATATCAAAATGAGCTTAAAAAGTTTTATTTTTTTCTCCCATCTTTTATTGATGGGCATGCTTCTACATTAAATAGAAGTTTCATAATTAAAATTTAATCATTTCACTTCTCCAGTTGCTAAATAACAGGTCATCATAATCAAAGCATAAGATTGAACTTACAAGTTTGATGATTTTAATGAGGACCCAATTGTTTGTGGAACTTGTCATCAGCTTGAAGAAGAGGGGTGCCAGAGAGAGGTAGTTCTGGGGATTCTTTCTGGCCAGTTCACAAATTACATTGACAGCAGCTGATTGAACTCCTGTAAAGAATTAAATACATCAAAATCAGTAACATCCCAATCTTTTCTAAAACCGAAAGGGGGGGGGGGGGGATTCAACAATTTATACAGCACTGAGCAAACTACACTTATAATTCTTAATGTACTAAAATATCACAAATTCAACAGACTTTCTCAAAGCAGATCACTGAGTTTGTACACGTATAATAAAAACACAGAAAATAAAATCAAAGTGATAGGATTTAAATATGATATTCTTCAAAATAGAATAACCCCCCCCCCCCCCCCCCCCCCCCCCGTTTTTCTAAACTATATACAAGTACATATACAGTTGAACTTCAGTATCTCGAACACTGATATCTCGAACACCATGGAATGTCGAAGTGAATTGGAAGTCCCAACCTCTTATTTTACCCCCGATATCTCGAAGCCTTGGATATCTTGAAGTTTAAATAATATATCTGTAAATGTATGTGATAGGAACAACTATTTCTGGGCTATTTACTACACTAAAAAGTCTTCTTATTCTTTCTTACCTTGGTCAGGATCTTCCAATTTTTCCTTGAGCCTTGGAAATGCAGGTCTTAATGCCTCAGGAAACTGCAGGAAAACTTTGTACATAATAAGTACTGCCTTCTTTCTTAGGTATGGACGAGTTGATGTCATCTGAAATTTACAATTTGACAAAGAACTCAGCAAAGCAATATGCCTTTTACCATAATTTTAACACAAGTAATTCATTTATTAAAAATAGACACAAATTATTTGAATTGAATTCAGGCAATATAACTGTATATTTTCATGCAGCAAAATTATATTGAAATCCTGATTTGGTTATTCAATATTAAATGTAAGCTGAAACTTAAAATAGTTGGACTAAAACTTACAAGAGTCATGATGTCATTAGCAAGATCTCTGGCCAGATCTGGTGTGACAAAGCAGGATAGACCAGACAGGGCAATACCAGCATCATACATGTTCTGACTGCTTAGATCCTGTAAGATCAATCTGATAAAAATCAGCTGTTCAAAAAATCAATATCTATCAAGCTAAAATCTTCATATAGTGTATTTCTGCACAATAAAAAAAAAACAACAAAGGTATATTCTACATGCTCTAAAGTTGTCAAAAGCAGAAAAGTTTCCAGATGAAACATGAGGGAAATTAAATGTGCCAGTGAATAGTTTTGATAAGTTTCTGGCAAATGGCACAACAACTATCATTCATGATAGAGTTGTTTATGTTTATTTGACATATTTCTATATAGAAAAAATACAAAGGGGTACAATAATTTCAGCAAGAACTCTATATACTGCAATTTTTGAAACTGGTTTGCAATGTTATTAATCTTCTGCATAAATTTTCCTTCTGTATATTTTTCCCATAAAATAAGAAATATTTTCTCAAAGAAAATCTTCAGTTCTCTGTTACTTGGATTAAACATACATTTAGAGGGACTGTTTGAAGACCTTTAATGTGCCTTATTGGCTCCAAGTTCTTTTATGTCCAGATTAATTTTGTTGTTGTTATTGTAAATTGATCTAATATTGACATTCTCAACAATGCCTGCCTTTCTTTGTTTAGTAAAGGACTTTGTATGTTGGTAAAAATATATATATATATATATATATATATATATATATATATATATATATATATATATATATATATATATATATATATATATATATATATATATATATATATATATAAAAGATGTATAAGGAGAGCAAGAGAAAGTTTTTTTAACCAATTAACTTTAAAATGCACAGATAAAAACTGAGATGATAAAATGAACAAAGAAGAAAAAAAATCACCTTTCTGATCATGTTGGTGGTCAACATTAAAACATCTGTGTTTTCATGGAAACTCTGTGATGCTGCTATATAACCAATTCTCTGTAAAAAAAAAAAAAAAAAATTACACATTAGATGAATTTAAGTTATTTTATTACATAAACATGTACTTACTCATTTACTGAAAATTTTAGAATTGCCCAAGATTTGTACCTTCTGCTAAGCAAACTTTCAACATAAAATGTAAAAATACAAATAAACATAGTACAAATTGCTAGCCCTACATCAGCCTCAATAAAATAAGTGTCAGGTTTCTAGAAATTTGTATACTGCTATCTGTACCATTCTTGACTTCTTACGCTGAAGCACCAGCTTGATATCAAAAGTCAATATTAAACTGCTTTGTCATATAATTTTTTCAATCATGTGAAATACAATGTATAAACACAATAATTTGAAATACAATGTATTAACACAGCAATGTTTCTTCTGTAATGTCACATTCACCATAGCAAGCATGTCGTCTTCTGGTTTACTCACATGAAATCGAGTTGAACTCATACTGAGGTACTCCTCAGAACAGATTGCCTACACCAATCAGGAAACATCAAAATTCCTCAATATTAATAAATGATCATAACTAGCTATCACCTTAATTGTATATTTTGTTGAACTCATCACTTCAATGATGTGAAAGGCTGCCCAACTTATGTCATATCCCAGCATCTGAAGCTGTCAAAGTTAAAAAAGACAAGATATACTAAAAATAACTTGAAAAAAAAAACATTATCCAATATTGCACTACCAGGACAAGGTGCAGACATAAGAATATACAAAAATATCACATAATTCCAATTAAAAATAGACACAAGTAATTGTGGAAATGATGCTTACATAGATAAGCTTGTTCACAGCATTGGCTTTTACTGCTTGGTTTTCCTGTCGTAGTTCTTGCTTTATTTCATCAATGCATTCAGCAATATACTTTCCCTGGGGAAAAAAATCACCAATAAGCATGTGATTAAGCTGTGTTTCTATTTGTAATGTTATACGGTTTCATGTCTGCAGTTTGGGCTGAAGCAAACAGCAGATTGTAAACATGAAAGCTCTATATTCAACTATTGTTACTATAAATTCTAATGTTTGTTTTTGTTTTTTGTTGTTGTTTTTTAGCCAGGGCTGATTACATGCAACATATGGACGTGATCAACAAAATCTCTTGATTTAGCTACATAGCTTGAAATAGCTATATAGCTTTATAAAGCTATTCAAAATAGCTTGAAAGCTATTTATATGCAGTTTTTCAGAAAAATGTTTTTTGTAAGAAATGGACAAAAAGTTACAAGTATTTGACTATTCATATATGGTCTACAGGCTATCGAAACAACAACCAAAATCAAAGATAGTTCTAACATTGCAGCATTTGAATACTTTTAAGCAAAAGATGTATTTCCATTGTTTGAGTAACTGTACACTAGCTTGTGTGCGTTGAGGCATGGATAAGTATGATTGCTTCTCATTATACTGAATTATTACCAATCACTTATCTTGTTGACCATAATTGGCCTCCTTTATAATTTCATAGCAGAAGTAACTGTATCAATTGCTTTATATAGCCCAAAAACTTTTAGAACTTTGAGTACAAAGTCTCCTAAGGAGACGCAATTTGATGAGTGAGTTTTACATGCGTTGATTTTCAGAAGAGTTCAAGGTTGAATATTATCACTGCACCAAGGTGCGACTTTTTATGCATGCTGAGAAAATAACACATTTAAGAAAAAAGTGTGATAAAATAGCTAAATCAAGTTATTCGGAATAGCTAAATCAAGCTATATAGCTAAATCAAGAGATTGTGCCGACCTGCTGATATTTTTGTTGGGCATCACAAATCATTCTATTCACATGCTTTAAGAAAAAATTGTAAAAGCATGTGATACAAAGAGTAATGACCTGAAGCAAATGAAAAAAAAGGACTGACTGACTGTGTTTTATTTTACTTATACGTCCTTGACCAGATGGAACTGGTATGAAAGGTAACTCTAAACACATATATTTCGTGTCATTTTGTAGGCTTCAAGTATGTTTAAAAAAATCATCATATTTTACTGCAGGTACAAACGCCCCACAATCATGATAATATTATCTCTATTTGTAAACACTTCGTTGTCTCTCGACTTCAAGCTTCAAACTGATATTGATTTTTATCATCCCACCTCATTTTCTTTGTGGTTGCGAATGCCACGAACCAAATCTTGGAGATTTTTGTCCAGCACTCGCTCCAGAGTGCCTTTGACTTTCTTGAGAGCCATTATTACACCGGTCAAGTCCAATATATACACTAATCCATGCTATGATGTTCCCTACAACTCAACAGGAAAGCCAAAATGGATCCAATCTAAATCATGTGAGATGTTGACGTGTGGGGTTAGGAAATTCTAAAACTCAAACCAACAAGAAATCCGGATTTTTTCCAAATAAACATAGGAATAAAAATTGACCTTTTTCCCTAAAAAGGTAATCTTATACTAAAGTTATTTAACCTTTATGCTAAGTTGTGTGAACCCTGTTTCCATTATTAATGCAATTAGCGCTTTTAATTGAATCTAACAATCTGTTAAAAAAGTCTTCTTTTTTTTTCATATTTGTGTAATGTAAGTTGATTAAGTATATTAAAAATAGTGCTATACCACTACTATCACTTTTGTAAATGAATATTATACTTGTATGTAATGTTTGATAATCATGTATGTCATATGCTCAAACGGGCCCTATAGGAAGACATTTCAGTTCTTTTTTTTTGGGGGGGGGGGTACATTTTCATTTGGGGGCACTATCATTATCAACAACCAAAAATTCTTTCACAAGAAAAGAAAAAAAGTCATCAGACGTTATTATTGAGGGGGGGGGGGGGGGGGCACAAGCATATAATAGCTATGTTTTCTATAGTATTCCATATATCGGCAAAATTATTAGGGGGGGGGGGGGGGGGGGCTCCTCCTCCCTGTTCATACGGCCATGTAATTCTATATGTGCATGTGTTTTGCATGCTAAACTGACTATTGTTTTATATTTTCTTATCTTTTGTAATATACTTTCTTGTATGTGATGGTCGGTTGAAGAGCTCTACAGAGCTTATGTTGTTTGCTATATAGATCTAATGTACACAGTACCGTCTTTACTTTACAGTTTATCTCAAGTAATACCTAATCAGTGTTCAACTCGGAGAAAGATGAATGACATTTGCAACAAATATCAATTCTATCAAATAAAGGGGGGGTTATCTTTTTAAAATATTAAGTGAAAAGTCTTACAGTATTTACCAGCAAAGTGCAGTAGTACGTTGTTTGTCGCCAGCTTGAGTGATCACTGTGATGTACTTATCCAGGCCTGTAAGATCCACGTGCCTTTACTTGCCTTGTTTTCATCTCTAACAGTTGTGTTTGGACAAAATGGAGATTTGACAAAAATATATTGTGTTTATTCTCGTAATCCAAAACGTACTTGACATTTTGGGTTCTTTAAATTATTCAAATGACTTAACACAGGGAAATGCAAATTTAAGGACAGCGGATGCCACAAACAAACCCCCCCTTTTTCTTTCAAAAATCTTGAAAATTACAGCTTAATATATAAACGAATAAGTTTAATCATATAGTTTCATTATTCATTAAAAATTCCTCAGTTATGTCATATAAGGTGATTAAACAATTCAATTATTTTATAATTATAAAGGTGATAAAAAAAAATGGTTTGCAATTTCTGTTAAAATATTTTAGAGATTTGATATACTAGTATGCATCATTTACGACCAAAATGTACCAATCCGACCATGCGCATTCGTGTGAACAGGGCACACGTTTTTTGTTTGTACTGCATGTGTCATCAGGGGCGGATCCAGGATTTTTTTCCAAGGGGTGGGGGTCCACATGTCAGACTCTACAGAAATTTGTTGAATTTTTTGAAATTTGTTAAAATAAAAAGGGGAGATACATGATTCTCGTTACCGTTAAAACAGAGGTCCTGTTTCCTAGGGGAGGACCCAACGTCATTTTTCGTTACTTTTTACATAGAAATTTAATAACTCTGGAAATTCCGGGGAGGGGGGGGGGGCAGAACCCCTGGACCCCGATCAATAACTTTCGCAAAAGTGGTCAATAATACCGAAGCTCGAACTTGATTTGTAGTTATCATAATCAAGATACATAAAAGGCAGCTCTTCATGATCGAACAAGCACAGAAACAATATTGCACATATCGGACAGATAATGCCAGTCTAAAAATGTGTGTTTCCGAGGTAAACAACATATCGAACAATTTAGCTAAGCTTATAAAATTAATAAGTCAGGATGATGATGACACGACACTGTAAAGGATCCACTGAAGTATAAAATAAACCAAACTTAACTGATAAGTGAAGCTTTGTCACCCAAAAGCAAGGAAAATAAGATGCACAGGGATCAACAAAATAATTAGACTAGTACAGTAAAACACGCTTATAGCGAACAAGCTTATGATGAATTTACGCTTACAGCAAAGTGATTTTCATTCCCCATGACCTTAAAATATATTGTAAACTTGAAGGATATAACAAATTACTCTAATAACGAAGCAAAATCGTCCTTCCCTGGCACTTCGTTATAAGCATGTTTTACTGTACTCATAAACAACTCTTTTAAAAGTAGCTACAGGTATATTCACTTGCCTGACTTGCCCATATTTACATGTTCAAAGAAATAGTACATTTTTACTATAGATTCAACACAGTCCCAACCTTCCACCAGAACCCATGACCCAAGGTCATGAAATTCACGAATTAGGAAGAGGTACTCTCACTCATCATACAATCGAAGCTTCGAAGCGGACAAACAACCTCGAATGTGTTACGTAGGCGTCCATGACAACCCCCTTTTCACAAACTTTGAAATAAAAGTAGGGAGACCTCTTATCTGTAATTTTTGGAGCTCAACTTTATTGAGTGAAAAGATATTATCCAATATACTACAGGAGTGACTTTTTACTCTGTCTTTCCAATTTAATAAATAGGAAGCGACTCCATAGTGTATAATTTTTTAACACCCGGTGATGTTAATACATTCGAGTTGGTTTTTCCGACCTCTGAGGGAAAGGTCCGAGATGATGCGATTGGCTCATCATAATTATGCACTTAGTTGAAGATTTTAAAAGAATTAGCACATTTTCACTATATAATAAATAGAGCCCCCTCCAAAAACACCAGTCTGAGAACCCCTGAGACCACAAGTTTTAAAAATTTTGGAAGAAGCACCCGAACCCCTGACCCTGGGGCCACAAATTTAATAATTTTGGAAGAGGAACTCTTGATCATCATAGACTTGTAATTAATTTATCTGCTAAATACCCAGGAGCTGAGATGAAGATTTTCAAAGAATTCATGCATTTGATAGAGCTCTAACCTAAGACCAGCACCCCGATCAAGGGGCCATGAATTTCACAATTTTGGAAGAGCTTATCATAACTATATACTTGGTTTGTTTGTTTAATTGTTTAATAGACAGGAGCAGAAAAGAAGATTTTCAAAGAAATCAACAGAACCCAACCCCAACCCCCTACACACACACCCTCACACACACACCAGAACCCCTGACCCTGGGGCCACTATTTTCACAATTTTGGAAGAGGCACCCTTGATTATCATAACCATGCACCTATTTTATCTGCTTTATATACAAGGGGATAGAAGATTTTTAAAGAATTTTTTAAAAAGTATTTTCACTGTATGTTCATAAGAGCCCCACCCTAACTCCAGAATTCTTGACTCTGGGGCCATGAATTACACAGCTTTGGTAGAGGGCTTAATGATTATTACAACCATGCTGTCAGTTTGACTGCTTGATGTCGATGAGTAAAGAAAAGGATTTTTAAAGATACCACAAATTTTAATGGTTTTAGCTCCACCCCTAAGGTCCCAGGGGGGTAGGGACCATGAAATTCACTATTTTGCCCCCCTAAACTCATTGATGATATATGCTATAAAAGGTTGAAATTGGTTCAGCAGTTACAGAGAAGAAGCTGGAAATGTTCAAATGTTAACGCACGACAGACGACGCACTCCGACGGAAAACAGATAGCATTTGGTCATCTGTGTGACTCAGGTGTCCTTAAAAGGCATTAGAACACAAAGAAAGGCGTAATTATCCCTCTCAAAAGGCAAAATAACGCGAAATGAAAAGTCATTATTATGTCTTTCAAAAAGCGTAGACAGTCTCGGTAGCTCAGTCGGTCCGTGATCGGGAGGTGTGTTCGAATCACTGCCGCGATTTACCTTTATCGGATAAAAATAGATAGCAACTGTTCTTTCGCCAAGTGCTCGGCACTTTGAAGTGAAAGTTGCGGGTCATTCGATTGAGACCTTATAGGCCGAGGCCCCGTGTCACAGCAGGCGTTGGCACGATAGAACCTTCACTGCTCAATTGCCCTGAGTGCCGAGTAAAGGTACGCGTCTAAATTTGAAGCCCTTCACCGGTATATATTGACGTATATAGTAACAACATACAATCAATCAATCAATCAAAAAGCGTAATTACACAAAGTGAAATGGCGCCCAGTATGTGACTTTGTCACATGCACAGCAAGTTCTTCACCTGGAGGAGATATAAAGCTATTTCTAATCTCGGATAAAGACATTTGAAAATGTAAATATTTCATGGAAGATTGATATATATGAAATATCGCTTCTTTGAATATATGCCTATTTGAATGATACATACTGCACTTGTGTAGCTAAATTGAGGAAGAAAAGCTCTTACTGTTCAAAGTGAGCGTGGATATTGATTTATGAACGTTTATAACGTTGCATTTATGACCTCTCCGTCCGTGTTTTGACACACAAAGAACCTCCAATATATACTGTTCGATGACGTCAAAATAAAAATCATTTAGTTTAACCTTTTGCCCCCCCCCCCCCCACACACACACACTCTGGTCGTATTATGGTGATTTGAATGCTAGAGTTTTCAACAAATTTTACACGAAAATACATCCAGAATGTAAACATCGATCAATATTTGACTATAGATTTTTTTTTATATCATTTGGAAGGAGGCGTAAATTTGTTCATTCTTTTTTATTTTGTTGATTATTTACCTCTAATAAAGTAAAATTTATTACCATGTCATGTCTACCGACATATGAAAGTTGTCTTCATGTACAAAAACTTTCATGCTATAATTTAACTTTATTATTGTTGTATGGATTTTTTTAAAACGTTATACGTCAATTCGTCAATTTCCTATGGGCTAAGGTTACCCCCCCCCCCCCCATCCCCAAGTTCAATACTACGCAATCTTCTATATTAAATTTTTGTTGTTCAACAGTTTTCTAAATTATCTTTCAATTGTCCGTTAATTAAAAACATCGTCTATTGATTTATGATAATTGAACTGACAAGGAAGTTATATTCTAATAAGCAATTAAGGCGAAGTTTAAAACACTTAGTGTAAATTTTTACATCGCTATCTCGAGTTAGGACTTCCCTTAAGTATCCATGTCAAACACTCTCGGAAACGTCCTCTTTTAATGTATCAAACATGTAGAGAGTTGTAATGAATTATATAGTATCCGTATCCTGTAAATCACAGATTAAATCATTGAGATAAAAACTACTTCTTCAATGATGTTTGTTCGGCCGGAAAAGGGAAGAATTTTAAAGTTTATAATACTTCATTTCACAACAAATCGTGTCGGGTTCTTTGTTTAGCCCCAGTTTTAAAGAATCTGGGTGCCAGCAAAGTGTCAGGTTGCTTTCTGGAAACTTGTCCTCTTGTAAAAGGTAACCAATAATATGAAATGATTAATATTTTCTTGGAAACATCATTGTCGCATTGAACAATAGGAATATATAATTGTTTTAACTATATATGACAATACTGATCTCTTGGAGGTGTTCATTATAGGAGTATAAATACCTATGTGTTGTGTTGTGAGTACTTGAAAATGTCTATGTAATTTCGAATATTTCTCGACGGTTTAATAAAAAATTGATTCCAACATGTGTAGGTAAATCAACTGAAACCAACCACTTTATTGTGGCTATTTCCAGGCAGTATCTCAGAGCAACAATGAACTAAACCGTAAAGCTAAGGAAATATTTTTGTTTTGTTTGTTTGTTGTTGTTATTATTATCATTTTTATTTTACCATTTTTTCTTCATTGTTTGTTTGCCAAGTTTGACAGCATTTAGCAAAAATGAGTTAACTTTTAGATTTTTTAAAATTCACGATGACTTCGTGATAGTTAGTCCACTTGTACCCATAGAAATATGAATTCCGGAAATGCGTACCATACTAGCTTTTACTTTTATATGTGTCATGCCACTTCCACAACATGTAAACAGGAAATGTTGAACAAATGTTTTTGCGTTATCATGTTCCTTTCTGAAAGAGAACAGGATGACACTGTAAACAGAGGAAATGATTGGGCAATTGGTGTCAAGAATGGCGTATGTTGTGCATTGTTTGATAGACTTTTTACTCGATACACTAAACAATTAACTTCCTTTTAAGACGTTTGTTTACTGGATTACCATGCATAAAACAGCTTTCTAAAGTGTTAATGTGGGAAATTCCCTGTTGGAAAATTCGTGTATCAGAAATAATATCCTGAATTGTATGTTGTTATAGTGGATTTACTATCATATCATGTGAAATTAGATAAACAAAGGAATTAACATATGATCTCAAGTTTGTCCAAGTGTTTATTCAACTGAGCTGTTCATATGCCATTTGGTTCACAGAAACATGTTTGGCGATTGTATTGTTGCCAAAATAGTACGTTATTTTAAATTGTATTATATTCCATAATTTTGTTATTTTGATAAGGTTTCTCTGCTTGTTTTACTTGACATATTGTACTATATATATTCACTTACAAATGCAATTATAAAAGGTAATCTCCAAAGAGATTACATATTAAAGTATGTACAGTGAGTGTCAAACAATGAATTCATACATTTTTATATTACAGAGCGAAAATGTTACCAGTAGTTTGATAACCTGTTGGGGGATTGTATTCAAAGCAGGACATTATCAGCAGTAAATTAATCCATAGGAAAATAGCAATGGATTCCATCTTCAGTGTTTTGTTTCCATTACTTCTTTTCACTGTGGTCCCAGTATGGCCTTGTTTCAGATCATGTTGCAAGTGTGGAAGTGAGTTCAAGTGGTAATCTAGTGTAGGCAGGTTATTGCCAGTACATGGACTTAATACTAGGGGTGTAATGACACAGCCAAAGCATATCATGATATATCATGATACACTGGGGCTGTATCATGATACATATTTTAAATATAAATTTTACGTCTATGTAACTTCCTTTTACAATGTAAAAGGATGAAAGTTGTAGATTATTTCAGCAACTTCACAAATTACAATTATGTAACATTTTATAAGCTCTGAACATAATAATCAAAACTCATCATAAATAGATAAAGAAAATCATCTTTATTAGGTAAACCTTAAAAGAAATAACATAAATTGCTTAGAATGTAATACATGTATATTGTGGTACACAAGTATACAGGTTTTGTACCATGATACAGGGTTCGACACTAACTTTTTAAGGCTTTAGTCCAGCCGGACTAGTGCTTCATTACTTTTACTAGTCCGCACGCGATTTTATTAGTCCGTCAAAAAAGAAAAAAAGAAACATCAATGTTTTTTAACATTAATTTAACGTGACAATTAATATACGTATTATTTTTTTTAAATAAACAAGTATTTACGTGAAATATATTATTCCACAGATTCATTGAAATCTCGCAATCAGCGAGTATGATCGTATTCCCGATCTCCTCTTTTTTTTTTTTTTTTTTCTTTTTTGTTTGTCTTTACATTACATCCAAAACATCCAACATCCTTCTTAAAAGTGTCATACTAAATCATGATTGCTAAAACCTTATACTTCATATCGATCAGTCGAAAAATTAAGCGCTGAATTGACTCTGGCCATCATTGCGTATTACCCGCCAAAAGCTAGAAATCTAAAAATACATGCGGGGTTTTCCAGTAAAAGTTGTCGAGAATCGGACATCGGTAATTTATTCATATTGTTTTTCAGAAATTTTTATTGGTCCGTTCAGACTAATTAGCCACATATTTTATTAGTCCGAATGAAAATGTATTAGTCTGAGACTAACGGACTAACGTTAGTGTTGAACCCTGTGATATAAAACAGTTTCTCATGTATTGCAGTATACCGATATATCATTATATTGTTACACCTCTATTTAATACACACCATATTAATTAGCAAGTTATTTTTTAATCATAATGGGAAAAAGTAATAAAACAGGTAATATATTTAGGTAACCTGAGTTACACTGTGTGACTTTTTGCTCTCCTTTCCTATAGTTCATCTTGCATTTTCTGGTTATGTATCATGCATTAACTGTTTACATTTTATCTTCTACTTATGCACTGAGTTGATTTCAAACTAACTGACACTGTAGTTATGTCAAAGAAACGACTATGTCTCCTGTCAAGAGAAGGAATTATAAATCAAAGAGAATATGGTTGATTTATTCAAAAATCTTCTCTAGAACCGCTGACCTGCCCTATACATGTACATGTATGAGTAGATTGAATCATGTTCAAATCACAACCAATTGGCAGATATGTACCAAAATTAAGGCTTAGCTCATACAGTTACCTTATATGGAGGGGGAAACCTGAACATTTATTTCAGGAATAACAAGACTATTATTTGTCACATTAATCAACAAGTATGTAGTCAGATTTAATTTTGTTTAAATTGTTGTCCCCAGGGCTGGGATGAGGCCACATAAGGGTTATAAGTATAGATACAGTTGTATTTACATAGCAATGCATAGGAATGTAAAAAATCTATAAACATGAATAAAGTCTTCTTAAAACCTGCTTGAAAACATGTCATTTGATTGTGCAATAATCTTTGTCTTGAACATATTCAAGATTGTTCAAATTATGGCTCCTATGGAGAGAGCAGGGCATGATAGGGTTATCGTATTTTAAATTGGAATAAATAAGGAAAACAATAAGAAAAGATTTCCTATTAAGGAAAAACCTACAAATTCACAGTTCATCAATTTCATATATAGACAATGTCATGTAGTGTGACATAAGTTGGTTCAAATAATAACTCCCAGGATGAGATGGGTCTCAAAGGTGGTTCAGATTTTGACATTTTAGTCTAGATGATAAAATACTCTTAATATGATAATTTTTTCCCAGAAACAAGAATACAAGAGTTTGTCAAATTAATATGCAATTATGGTTCAAGTTTTACAAGCAATAGAAGAGATACTCTCATAGAAATGAGGGTTAAATGCAAGCAATCTTTAAATGCAAGCTATCTTACCAAGGTGTATGCTCTAAAATGCTTAAAGCATGGCTCCCATGAGGCCTAACTAGTAACAAAAATTTTAGAAGATGCTTTATGGTATGGCATCCTATAAAATTTTGCTGTAAAGGTTATGATTTTCCAAAAATCTCAAAATTATTGTTGAAATGGGAAAAATTTCAGAATACTTTGCAGTCCAAAATTTGACAGAAATTGCCATTTAAATTGACAATTTTTTAAAGGGAATAAGATTTATTAATCAAAGTGAGAGTCAAGGAACCTTAAATCACATTCAGTTTTTAGAACTTTATTTATTCATGTTATATTACACTTTTAATGAGCAGTAACAGGAAGTATTTCTAATAACTTACTGGTATTATGTAAATGATATGCAAATATTATGTCCTGTGAATATTTACAATGCTGTTGTCACATAAAAATGAATTCATGCAATTGAAATTACTAGAGATTAATACATTTACTGTGAAATCACTAATTTTCATGGGGGTTGTTTTTGAGGTATGGAGAGATCCACGAATTTATGACCACCACGAAATGTAAAATTTCATATGCATAACTATTAAACATTCTCCAACCACGAAATCAAATTCCCACAAATTTTTTTCACCAAACCTTGTAAATTTGACCCCATGAAAATTTGTGATTTTACAGTAGGTGGAAAAAAATCAGATTTTTCAGAAAATTGGCGCATTATTTGTAGATTTGTCTAAGCATCAGAATTATTTCATATGTTAATTAAATCATCATCAAGATTATGAGAAATCATTGCAGCTTTTTTCATTGCTTCACACACAGGCATGACACCACAAGATCCATACATACTACTTGACTCAGAGCTGGTCTTGAAGTGCACTATCAACTCCTCTGCTCCTTACGATTCCTCAAGATTGTATTTCTCAATTAAACCCAATAATTTATCCATTCCTGAGAAGGAAATCCCTATGAACTATACCACCATTATCAACAATAAGACCATATCATTAAGGAAGACTATGAGATCACTAGAGGAGGCGGGCTACTATTCCTGTAAGATTAGAGATGTTCAGCAGTCTATCAGTACAGTTGACAGGCAGGTGGTAGAACTAGAGTGTAAGTATGAGTTGTTGTTTTTTTTTTTTAATTCAGTTATACCCTTTCCCAACAAGGAAAACGTGTGTGTGTAGGGTGGAGGTGGGGGTGGAATCATCTTGTTTTTCTGTCCATCTGTCCATTTTGCTTCATGTCTGGGCTGTACTTCTATTACATGTAAGACAATTCAAGTTGGAATTAAGAAAGTTACATAGATGCCTTTGAGAAATTCTTCCTTTTCAGTTTTGGACAATGGAAATAATAGTCTCTTCTACATATTACAGTGTTAAATTTGAAAAGAAATTAAAAAATATGTATAATATAAAAATTTCTTTACATACACCCAGGTTCAATTAGGTCAGTTCCCAGAGAGGGGCTAGGTTTATCCTGTATTGAAAATGTATATCTTTGAAAATCTTCATCTCTACTCTAGGAACTACTGTATACAGGGTTATTTTTGCCCTTTCACACTTGCAAACAATTTTTCCCCATTTTAAATTCACACCGTCACAATTCTGTTTAAGAAATTATACTGTGTTTTTTGATTTGCCCTGTTTTCAATTTGCCCACCTCTGAGTAGGGCAAAAGGGGCAAAAATAAAATGGGGGCAAAAACTTCCCTGTATACCATATGCTGGTAGCAGGCAAACTGTTTATCCAACTTGATTTTAATGTACCTAAATTATGTTTATTGAATCCTCTTGATTATATGTGCATGACCAAGGATAGGTTCAAATTGATCATAATTGAAAACATATTGAATATTTTGAAGTCTTTTTCCTTATCCCTTAACAGTTCACAGGCAAAATGCCTGTATTAATGCATTGAACTGTAAGCCCTATATGGCTGTTGTAAAATTGTTAAATTTCTTTCTAGTTAATTTTCAGTTCTGTGCTCCAGGGTCAAGCTACATTTGAAAACACATTTAAACTTGTGAAAGATTTTCTTCCATACATCTAAACATCCATCAAAGAAATATGTTTACATAATTATCAGATAATTCTAATCCCTCTTCTTAAATTACAGAATACAATTCCACTGAGTATAAGGTCTTGAGCTAAGTTTGAAGATCTTCAAACATATTTGTCTGTACTCTGAGAATCATCCAGTATACTGTTTGCATGGTGATTAGGGTCAATGAGTCTTTTTGAAAACAGTCAAGACCTTTTATGTGTAGTTTGGGTGAACATGTGACTCATTAAAAATTATCTTACTAAATCTAGAATGGTTTTGATCTCTTTTGGGTCACAAGTTCAAAGGGCATCAATTTGTAACTAAAGTTAAAAATCTGGTTGATATGCAATAGCTTGAATTTTGTTTGATTGTTTTTGCTTTTTTTTTGGAGGGGGGAGGGGGTAAACTTATCTAATGATATTTTGACAATGTCAGGCTCAGTGGGAAAGGAAAATAAATTTTTTCAGCTTAATTAAAAAAAAATGGAAAAGTTGAGACAAAAAAACGTGAAATATGGGAGCTTATGTGTAGGGAGTATACATAGAGAAAGTTGCAGCATGATTGATGCTCAATGTCTATGAAGGCTGATGTTAGATCTTGATTGCATGCAGAATATTGGTTTAAAGAACCATTTTGACGATAATATTCATAACCAACTTCACTATGAATTATTTCAGATTTAAATTAGGTAACAGGTTATATATATAAAAACAGTTATAAGGCTTATATGCACAGACTTCAACCGAAATCTAGAAAGCAGTTCATTGTTATATTTGAGGAAAATCCACTATAAATACAAATAATTCAGTAATTAAACATACAGTATCTTGAACATTGATATCTTGAATAACATGGTATGTTGAAGTAAGTTAGAAGTCCCAACCATTTTTGCTTTATGGTCAATATCTCAAACCCTCAGATATCTCAGAATTTTTTTCTCAGTCCCATTGAGTTTTGAATTGTATATACATGTATACATTATTAAATTGAATCTGTTTGACTTCATAGATCCTCTCCGAAATGTGACAAACTTCCATTGTGAAATCTATGATTGGGATGTAAACAAGACCTGCACCTGGGATCTTGGATACTATGCTAATCCAAACAACATCAATGTTACTCTGTATGGGTAAGTCATTTCTATAATATTGGGAACACGAACATAAAGCTCTGTAGTCATACTGTTGTTGTGCATTTTTTTTTAGCTCATTTGAGCTTAAGCTAGCTCTTCTGATCATAGTTTGTTTATAAAGTGCTGGTTATTTTCTCTCTGTGCTTCATAACCTTTTACATATTTCATTGCTTCTCTGGGACTGCTGGATTAATTTCAGTGGAAGCTGACAAAAAACTTTTTTAGTGAAAAGTAAAATGACTTTTTATCATGGCATTAACAGCCAGGAACATTAATAAAACATCCATATTTCAAATTCGAAGCATCCTATTAGACTGTAATTCTCGTTTTTGTAGAAAAACATTGGTTAAAAAATAAAGGCTCAAGCTTTGATAAAGGAATACAATGGAAACAAGTTTTAAAATGTAAATCTCAATAGCAGTAAAGACTGCTATTATTAAAGCGTAAATCATAGTTTCGTTGAGAAAATGTAAAAATGTCTACTCGGTAGACCTCATTTTACCCAACAAAATCTCTAGAATCCGGGAACTTCCGGGGGCTTGACCCCCTGGGCCCCCACTAGGGCTTTGCCCTGGACCCACTGGGGGCCTCAATGTGGCTCCCAGACCCCCTGCCTACTTATGTCCCCCCCCCCCCCCCCCAGCTTCAATTCCTGTATCCGTGCCTGGATATATATGTATAAAAGTATATATGTATATTATTAATATCATTTCTTTTATAAATGATAATCTGGCTAGTCATGTTTGCAGTGTGTCCCCCCCATCAGGGATTTTCAATTTTTTTAAATTTTAGAGGATGTCTAAGTCAGTTTTCATATACTGCATTCTTTTTGATATGATTTGTTGCAATGATGTCTTTCTTTGCATATAATTTTGTCTCAATTTTGATTATTTATTCCATATGTTGGACCTTGTTTTTATAAATGCCATTTCAAGCCATTTTTACATAGCGAACTTTGTCCTTTTAGGAGTGAAGGAAATCATATTTAATTAATAGGATCTAATTTGACAAATCACTCCAAATCAATAAGAGTTATTAAACATTTCAGGAAACACTGTTTTGGTGTCAGGACTTGTAAAAAATCCATGTTCATAAAATGTCCTTCTCTAAGCCCAAAGCAGTGCAGATGGCATTTTGGGTCATCCAACTTTGACAGTAGATATTTTCTGGTCTATTTGTTGGTGAGAAATCTTAAGCTAAAAGACCTGATACTACGCTTCACATTCTGGCTAGAAGTAGAAAATCTAGGTATCCTTATCCTTGTTGAGTTGTATTATTTACTGTCTGTCTACATGCTTCATCAGTAGTGTAGAAAGGTTTTTTTCTTGACCATAATTTGAGATGTGTACTCTGCAGACATTGATGTACACTTATAATGTTGCATTTGTAAAGTTAATCATAGACAAATGAAGTGAAAGGAAACTATGATTTATGTCAAATTTAATAATTCCAAAGTTCACTGATGAGGCATGTTGTCGCTGAACCCTGTTTTGTTTTTTTACACAGCTGTTCTACTCACCCACTGAAATATTGTCATACAATCTTGTTTTGGTTTTACACAGGTTTCACTCACACTTTCATGCACATCATCAAGCATGGTGTAAATTTTACTTTGTTATACTTTTATTAGAAAGTTGGGAAATGTTAATTTGTACTTTTTATTTCATGAAAAATCTAATGTATATAGTTGTAAAAGAATTATTAGCTGTTGGTGAATTTAGATACTAATTTTGTGTATCAACACACATCAGGAAGAAATTTGTGTACTGTGTATGTTACAAAAAATGAATACATGTCCAGTTTACTTTTGCAAAGCAGTGCTTGTTTTGCATGAAACATCAATAAATAATGTTTTACAACAACAAATTAATAAAAAATAAATCTTTTTGAGAAAAATTTTAGGGGATGCAAAAAAATAGGTACAATCAAGAACTTGAACACTTAGCTAGGAAACAGAAAACAAATTGTTCTCACATATTAATAATTATAGGAAAAATGGCCTTCATGGGGTCATTCATCAGTGCCCTGTGCAGGGCCTCACCAGCTGTGTCTGGCCCAACCCCTCCCAGAGTAATGGCAGAATTGTGATCAATGGAGGGGCGTCATGGACCTATATAGTCAGGGTGAAAAATCTTCACAGCAAGGAGACGATTGTTAGAAATGTTTTCTTCATCCAGTGTTTAAATACAATTGGTAAAATACTTCATATGGATCATAGATACAGGCTGAAAGAGGATTAAACTGGGTCTAGCCTCTTGCTTTATAGATTGTTACATGTCTCAGGCTTTTAGGTCACTGGGCTTAAATGATTTTTCTGATCAGATGTTTTGTCTGTATTCTGTTTTGTGACATTTTCAGCTTTTTAGGTTGGTCTTGCGTAGTCTAAGCCTTCAGTATCATAACTTGACATATATGATATACATATAAGTGATAGAAAAATAACAACAGTAACTTGTTTACACATCCACACACTTCCAATATTCCATAAGTAATTAAGTGGCTTTGTTTTGTCTTCCTATTGATCAGATGCCATTACAAATACTGTGGCTTCAAAAGATGAAGGGTTTTCTCCTTCCATTTTCCTCTCCTTTTAATCACTTTAAAATGGATTAACAAATACTCGTACTTGAGTATAAGATGTTATTAATTTTGTTCAAAGTTTAACCAAGATGAGTACAGTAAAATTCGGTTAATTAGCGAAGTCCTGGGGACCTGTGAATTTACTTTGCTATATCCATATTTCATTATATCCGTATAATGAATTCGTTAAAGTAAAAATATATATAGCAAATTTGCAATATGCATTCTTTCCTTGATGTATGACCACCAAATATGTTCTGGGAGGTATTAGATACAAAATTTTCCTTGGGGTACTAAAGATTTTTGATAAATTGATTTTCAAGTTTAAATACTTTTGAATATGATGTCAGTTTAATATTTTGAATTTAAAGATATTGAAAATTTGATATTAAAGATGTAATTTTTGATATTTTAAACCTCTATGGGATACAAATCAATTCACTATATCCATAAAATTGTATCAGAATTCATTATAAACATAATTTTTTTCTAAGATTTGTCAAGAATTTCGCCAGGGATTCCATAAAACTTCACTAAATCAGTGAATTTGCTATATCAGTGTTCATACTAAATGATTTGACTGTATGTACTGAATATTATGGAAGAATTTCATTATTTCAATATATTTAGCTTATTACCTCACATGTTCACAAAGCTCTATTGAACTTTTCTGAAACTTCATTGCTTTAAGTCTGTCATAATTTTCTTTATTTTTAAAACTTAATTGCTTTAGTGCTTATATCCTAAAGGTATTATGCAAAGGTCCCACTCATCTTTGCAATTTTGACAGAAGTGTGAGATTTTTTAATACAATAAATATTTGTTACATATGAGTAAAGTATAATCCAGATTTAGAGGGTAAAGTTGCAAAATTATAATTAAGGACTGGGTCCCCACTGATATAAATCAATCTGGATCAACTTAACCCAGCATATTTAATCCATATCATATCCACTTATTGGGCATCAACTAATTTTTACCATCTAATGTTATTGTAAAATAATGATGCAACAACCAAATCTGGATTAAGTCAACCTGCAGTATTGACATTATTTAAGATTACTCACATTTACTTGAGTTTATCTGGATTAAATTTGCAGTGTATAGACTGATCCTAAGTGACAATTTAAAAATTATTAATCTTCGATAAATACTTAACATCTTAGTAAATTTATTAAATGTTTGTAAATTTTATGTCCTTGAGCTTAACTCTCTATCCTTTCAAACTTAAAAAGTAATTTATTTATGAGATTAATTTCTCTAAATCAAGATAAAAGTCAGAGGTGAGTGTTGTGGCCCATGGGCCTCTTATCAGTGAAGAATAATGAGAAGGTGAAGGGAACCAGATTTACCCTGTGTATGTTTTAAATGAATTGACTGATCATTTGTAGGAATAATGGAGGATGGCATCCATGCCCCAGAATGCCAAATAACCAAAAGTGTGTCTGGGATCAAACAAAAGATAACGTTGTTATTAGCTCAGGGAGTTCTTGGACCTATAGTATCGTTGCTAAAAACATCAAACTAGACAAAATCAAACATATCCAGCATTCTATTAAAGAACTTACAGCAATAGGTATTCCAAGCTTTAAAGAATAATCTTATATAAACTTTTACTTAAATATATCTACACTATAGCAATGCATCAAATACCTGCTTTAAGAAGGCTTGCTACAAAATTTATTAAAATATCAAAAATCCTGCCATCAAATTAACTAATGCATATGAATAAGCTTAATGCAGATTTTTAAACCTTGACATTTATAATACATGTATACTTCTTTATATCTCTCTCTCTCTCCATTGTATTTCTTTGTACTAGTACACAATTTGTGAAGATGATACAGTTTGTATCATTTGAATATTTCATATTAAGATTTATAACTGAGCTACATACCAGCATACATTCAAATGTAGGAATGCATTTTGTCATGAAAGTACTTGTGAAGTAGGTTTCTGTAGTATTTTCTTTATGTACAATCTACTGGTACACTATAGAAAATCTATTGGTAATTACCGGTAATCAATGTTATGACTATAGATTTATGGCTAACTTTTCACTATATCTACAGCTATAATATATTAAAGCTTGATGAATTGCATGTGCATGTACATTTTGTTTAGTAACCATGTTCTTTGAAATGCACTATCATTTAATGCCTCTTCCATCATGGGTGTTTCATTTATTTCCATTATGAGGTTTGAAGCTTTTACTAATGAACAACATTTCTGATTACTCTGATGAAGTTAAATAAAAATCAGGGAACATGTATAAGATGCAAGAATATTCTGAAGTTTCCAATGGTCATTCAATATTACCAAAATGAAATGAACATAATGAAGTACATGTATTTGTTTAAACAATGAAATTTTGGTTATTATGGATAATATTTAAAGATTTTTTTTCACAATATATACATGAACAATTTTTTATTGATGATATTCATCTCATGAATATTTCAAATCTTTGTAATTTTATAATGCAGTGAGACCGTCTCCAGTTAAATCCTTGAGTGTTTACAACATGACAGATAAAGACTGTGTGAATGTAACCTGGGAATATAATCGACCAAATCGGGTACAGGCAGTGGAGATAAGGTACTCCAAACACCAGAGAGACAATGCTTTAGTTAAGGTAACTTCAATAATAATATATCTGAGAAATTTTTAGCTCACCTGAGTCAAAAGCTTGGGTAAGCTTTTCTGATAAAAGTTTCCTCATTGTCTGTGGGTGCCGTCATAAACTTTTCACATTTTCATCTTCTTCTCTAGAACCACTGGATCAATCTAAACTTAGCACAAAGTATCCTTGGTTGAAGGGTTTTTCAGATTATCAAATGAAAGGTAACATTCACACGGCAAAAAAAGGGTGATTGCCTTAAAAAAAATTCCTCTCAAGAACAACTGGTTCTTGACACTACTAGGTAAAAAAGTAACCTTTTATGACTTAGTTAGTAGATGTGAAAAAGGTTATGGCCATTGCCTTATTGAAAGCCACCGACTTGAATTCCCTCTCTGTCTTAGAAACTTGGAAAATTAGGAGCAAGAGCAGGTTACAAACAAAATTCAAGTAAATAATACTGAAATTCCACTAGCAATGGCTTCTCTAAAGGTGTGAAAAATACACAATAAATCAAAGTAAAACATTACATTCAATTCTGTTTTAACTGAAGCACTACCTTCTAGTACATTCCTCGCTGCTTCTTTAGACAACCTGGCAGCTTTTAATTCCAATCGACGTTTCTTTGTGGTGGGTAAACTCTGCATCAGACGCTTCCGTTTGAGCTTGTTGGCAAGTCTAATGGTATGTTTCATTGTGAAATTGCCTGGTGACAATGCCATTTTCTTGTTCAACTGTAAAATATAATTCATGTTTCAGTAAATTTTTAATTTTGTGAGTGTTCCATATTCAAATCAAATGGTTAATAAGAACAGGGATTATAGTTTTGAATGTGAATTTCTTAGTAAATCCATATCTTTATGTACTTTATGTACATGTTTATTTAGATAAACATGATTGTAAACATCTTTTTAAAAAGCTACATGTATTTATAGTTTATAATATTTATTGTGGAAAACCATTAAAATCAAAATAAACTTCTAGGACACTAAACACATGTGAACATAACTTTCTTAGGTTTGCCATGAAAAAGAAAGAAAACAAAACATAACAAACAATAAATGTAGAGAAAAACAAATTTAAAAATGATCAACTTGAAAATTTTAACACATTTTTCTACCTCTGATATGTAACCATAACCCATATTCTTTTGACATACAGTGGCTGAGAGTCTAGCATGTAGACTTTCTGAACCTCCATAAAACCTAACAACACATTTTTTTGCAATTTGAATCTCATATTTCAGACTCAATTTAAAAGATTATACCTAGAATTTTTGTTTTAAACAAAGAGAAATAAACCAAAGTACTTACAATCTTTTGGGGGCTTTAGTGGAGACCATATGGTTGAAATTCTCATTGACTTGGGTGGACCCCATCATGGCTAGCTCTTCTGCCTTACAGCAATACTTTTTGAATAGACCTTCTAAAGCTTCTCGAAGTAAGGTGCAGGAGAGAGGCTTTCCATACGGCAAATTTCGTGGTTTATAGTCAGTCTTTTTACTCTGGCACCAAGTTCCACAGTATTCATGTTCACCTTCAAAAAAAAAAGTAGTTAAAATATTTTCACTCTTCATTCCTAATTTTGTAATGACTTTTTTATTGATACACTTACCATATAAATGTGGAACAATTTTGCCAAGTTCAATTCAAGCTCTTTAGCCTTGCCCCTGTTTTGCTGTACACAATATGTAAAACATCTAAAACAAAGAAGGAAAAGATACTTATTTTATAATTAGCTATCGCACTTACAATTAACAAGGTTTTTGTTGGACCACAGTTGATCAAGGGATATTTTACTGAAATATTACACTTCAAAAACACAAACCTTTCAATGTGACCTCTAAGTTTTTGATTTTTCAAAACTTTGTGAGTATTGGCAAGCTCAATCAAAGCTCCTGTGAAACCTTTTTTTGTGTGGTTTTTGTCAGCTCTTTTGTTGATGGTTGGGTCCACAGTGGCTTTTACATGCGCAATAGTTGTTGAGTCATTGTCCATGACTAAAGTTCCTATCTGTAAAATACATTGGAAATATGTACTTTAATTAAAACAGCAAAGTTTTAATATATAATGTAGTCAACTTTACAGACATATTTGGCATTGCTCTAATAAGAATCAAACATTCAATGAAAAGTTACCTTGCACCCTTCATCTTGGATTGCACTCAGCATTTCACAGGCCATGGCTGGCTCCATTGCCTTTGCCGATCCATGCCAATTCCTTCGGCAGTTGTGTTTTCTGGGTGGAACTCCTTTACCTGATGCAGCTGAGCAAATTCTGCATTTTTTACTCTTCGAAGAGAAACTTACTATCTTTTTAGTTTTTTCTCCTACTAGAGATGCATAACCTGTAACAAGATAAATACTGCTAGTACATAACTACATGTATGTGTATTAAAATATGTTACTCTATAAGAAATCTCAATCCTTCTTGAGGAGGGAGAATCAAAACATGTAACATTATCACCAGGGCATACCAGTAAGACTATTGTATCCTCTACCAGTACCTCTCTTCTGCCAGGCACCATCAAAAGACACAGTGATGTCTCCATCACTCCTACAAAGTAATTAACACAAATGTGCAAATATTAACAAATAACATGTAAATACAAAGCAAAATTTAAATATCAATATTTGGTATATAAAATTACAGTTTCATTTCTTCTTGAAGAACTTTATTACAACTCTGCCCTGCCATTTCCTCTAGGTGTTCCCCAACCTCTCTTTCTCTGCTTTTTAGACTCCTGTTTGTGATCCCTGGGATATTCAGTGCAGCCAGTAATGCATTTACATGAGTTATTCCATAACCACCATTTAGCATACCTAAGATATCACAGAAAAAAAATGAAAAGAAAATAGTTCTTTCAGATGTAAACTTTTGTATAACTGGAAATAATTTATTTTTATCTGCTTATTTACAAAATAAAATTTTTGATTTATACCTGCAGCAAGTTTTGTGTTGACATCCCAAGCATATTGCTTCATATCTGCTTTAACCCTATGCTTACTGCCCGTGGGTATGTCATTAACATGGGCACAGGTGGAATGTGTGCATTTTATCTGAAGAACCTGCATTTGGTCAAAAATTAATGTAAAGGGTATACAACATCTTTAAAAACAAATCTTTGAAATACAAAGTCATTGACAATATTATAAAAAATAATAAATACCTGCCCTAGTCCAAATTTCCTTTCACCTATAGTGTTAACAAGCTGAAGTGCATTCCCACACATGGCGCAACCTCTTTTCAGATTATCTACAAGAGTGCCAAGTTCAACAATTCGTCTTCCAACACGCCATGAACTTTCTGCACTTTGACACTCAACACTTCGTAGAACAGGGGAAGAATCATTCTCCAAGCATAGGCCATCATTTTCAACATCTAATATTTACACAATAAATGATTGAATCTTTTGCTACATATTCCAACAGTCCATAGCAGAACGCTTACACAATAATTATTAATACAGACACTTACCCTGTTTACCTTTTAACGCACGGGCTTCTCTTGCTCTCCTTAGACCCTCAAGTCTCCGGAGGAACGAAGCTTTCACGAACGTTCCTTTTTTAGATCGGGGCATTCTTGTATTTTTATATAATCACACGAAATTTATGATAAATGACCAGACTGAATGTTTTGCGCCAAAGCCGAGTCATAACCGGAAGTCTAGAGTCGGTGTATAAAATTTAAAACCGGAAGCGAAAAACTATGGCCTTTGCTTTCAATGATGTAGCCATGCATGCTTTCAAGATCTTTCTTAGTACAACATGTATATTGCTTTTAGCTCACCTCAATGAAGTTTGGGGAGCTTATGTAATACCATCAGCATTGGTGTCCCAGGTTAAAGTTTTTGAAACAGATTTCCAAGTATTTCTGTCAACTTGCATGGATGATGGATCCATAGTTTCATACTACTGGGTTCATTCCAGCCTTAACTTGATCAAACTTACATAGATGATGCATCTAGGGTTGCACCTACCAGATTTTCTTCAATTGCTGATGAGTGACAAGATTAAACTTTCTTTATGCGCCCGGATCGATAGATCGGGGGCGCATATTGTTTTTGTCCTGTCTGTCTGTTTGTCTGTTTGTCTGTCTGTTGTCAACTTTAACCTTCACCACAACTTTTGAACCATGAGAGATAGAGACTTCATATTTGGTATGCACACTCAACTAATTAAGTTCTTTCAAATGACACCAAGGTTAATGACCTTGTGACCTAGACTGTGACCTATATGCTAAAAATAGCTTTTTCGAACTTTGTTGCCGCCGGGTGCATAGTGTTTCACAAACACATCTTGTTTTTATTTGAAAAGGTTCATTCCATGCTTGTATTAGCCATATGCTGACAAACTTGCATAGATGAGGCATCTAATATATGCACACTCCTGACTTGCATTGGATGCTGAATCTTACTTACATTTTACACTTGATTGAACAGAAAAATTTGGGGGGGGGGGGGGGGAGTCCATTCCCAAGTTTATAAAATATTACCTAGACCAAACTTGCTTGGATGTTGTATCTAGGGATGCACACTAAGAGAACATTCGTTCAGTGTGAGACTTTGTTTTCCTCAAAGATAACAATTGTTGAGGTGAGCTATGTAATGTATAATTACCTAGTATGTTTTTATTCTCTGTTGGAAACATACTCTAAAATTCTTTAGTCAGAAGATCAAAACCAATTTGCTGCATATTTTTCCTTAATTTTTTAAGAGTTTATATATTATGGAAACCTGATTAAATGTATTACAGACAATGATATTGAAGAACAGTGCTGTCAATGCTACAGTATGTAACCTAACTGCCTACACTGACTATATGTTTGAGATTCGAGTTAAACCACAGAACTATGCTGGAAAGATTACTGGCTATTGGAGTAAATCTACCAGAAAACTCTTTAAAACCATTGGTGATAGTGAGTTTTCATGTTTTTCAAGTAAAATAAAAATAAGATTTAAAGATTAAGGCATAATTCAGTTATCTATTTAGGCATAAAATAATAACAGACTAACAGACAAAGAAATATTTGTGTGTATGGCAAGATATCTCTCTTAATTAGCATTATATGATCTGGATACAGTGCTGTAGATGTATTTTCTTTTCCATGTGGTATAAATTTACGCTATGTATGTGGTAAAAAATTTTCTGCAAAAATTGTCACAGTGTATTTATTTTTAAGACATACAAGGCAATGCAAGAAATCTGCATAATTTTTCACCCATGTATTGAGCAGAAATTGTGAATCTGGGGAATTATGACCCACATGAAAAAAAGTATATATGCAGTACAGTGTATATGAAAATAATATACCGGTAGCTTTGACATGAGTTAGTGAAGTGTCCTTTTCTTCAAAGTTTAAAATAGGCAAATATATGTTGTAAAAGAAAATGATGGTGATGAAATAAGTAAAAATAAATTCTAACATGTTTCAGATCCAAGTGCAGCCCCTGTACTTGCCTTAGGAAGTTACATCAATGATCAAGAACATTGTGTCAGTGATATGGATGACCGTCGAGTTGTAGTTTTGTGGAAGGTAATCCTCAATGGTTATGATAATTTCATAAACATTAATGTAAGCTGTCTTGATGCAAAAAGTCATGAAGTACCACTCTCATTACTAGTGGTTACATAAATGTTTTCAATTAAAACAGAATATGAGCTCTTCATAAATTTAGTTTAACAAGGCCATCAAAATGTCCAGTGGTAGTGCTGTTAGCAGGTATTTTGATATAAAGAAATCAGAATTATTCAAGTATAAATCATACAAAAGTGGTCTTGAAAAGTTTTTACCGATTTTCTAGGATTCCAACATTATAGATAGTTTGCTTTTATTTAGATCTATTCTTTAAAAAAGAACCAAATGTAGCAGTCTCGATTTTGATACAGATTATTTGACTTGTAAAGACAAACATTTGTCATTTAGATTGATATTGTGCACTTAAGGTCTTGTAAAATTATAACATAATTTTTCTGATACTTTACACGCAACAAGGAGAATGATTATTAAAGGATGCATGGTTTAAATAAATATGATGTAAGTTTTGATAACATAGCTATTGAAATCAGTATTCAGAACTTTATAAAGGAATAGAAAGGCAAAACAAAGAAGGTACAGGTAATTACAAATTTACATAAAACTCAGGAAAATGTTGTCTTAAAATGTTCTAGTCAATAACAAATATGGAATCCCACGGAAAAGACACGTACTACGAAGTCCACTACCGTCAGATTGGGGACACAAGGACAGATAAAATGGTGGTCAAGGAGAGGATAATGAAAGTAGACTTGGATCTCAAGTGTAGAAAGGGCTACAACATCCAGGTCTATGCTGTCAATGAGTTTGGCTTGTCTTCTGTGTTTGGATCTATTCATATTCCACCCAATGGGAGTAAGTATTTCTGATGAAGTGTACAGTCAAGATCTATTCGTCCAGATGCTTTGATTACTGAAATGTATCTTTCATGATTGGTAGATATTAATGTAAATTCTTTTTCCACATAATTCGTCAAGAAGGCAAATCATCTGGATTATTATGGCTTGACTATATCATGATAAAGTATAAATGTTTACAATTTCTTTTTTGCACAAGTCAATGTACACTGAAGCCTTTGGTTACATGCAGTTCTTATTAATTTACAAGATAATATGTGATATTGATATCTTTTTACTGATTTAAGTTTTAACATTGTAGCTTTAGAAGTGCCAAAAAATGTTCAGGTTGAGACTGATAACAAAATTGTTAATGTTTCCTGGGACTACAATCCACAGAAAAATGTCAACTTCACTGTCTACTGGTGTAGCAAACGAGGACTGGTAAGTGTATTTTAATTCTAATACATAATGGAAATTTTACTATGTGCATCCTGTGAAATCTCTAATTTTTTTCATTGGGTTAATTTGGGTCCCTGCATAAAATGCTGGAGCTGTATTGTAATCACATTGTCTATCCATCTAGCTGTCCATTTAACTTTACAATTGTGGCGTCACAATGAGACGATGGAAATGATTAAAAAAAATATAGGACAGCAAAAAAATTCAAATATTGAGTGTATTTTTGTTGGTTTTAAAGTAGGGATGTCAACGAGTACCCGGTTAACCGGGTACTCGATCGAATGTCCGAGTATCGAATACTAAAAATGGTACTCGGTAACTCGGATGTGTATTTTTTCTTATTTCAAAGTACTTATTTTTATCAAAAATTTATCAAAAACTAATTTAAATACATGTATCCATATGGTAATTATAGCATGTAGTCTTCTACACCTCTAAAACACCAATTATCGCCTGTGGCTGTGTATATACAGTAATTAGTGATCCAGCTGTTCTCACCTATTGTGGTCCTTAATTTTTGGATGGCTTCAGTGATTGTTTTCAGTGAACATCGATGCTCTATTATCTTCAAATCATCTTTAAATTATTTAGTTAATATACGGCAGCGAAATCGGACATGCATAGAAATGCCGCTACTCACTTCAAAAGTGAAGAAATACTTAGAAATAACTAAATATTTAAAAAAAAAATGTTGAAAGTCAGCGTAGTAAGTTTAGTCAGTTAGTGTATACGGGGGAAGCAATCAACATATAAAATTGTTTCCCCTTAAACACTAAACTTACTATAATATAAGACTAAACTTACTAATAATATTAGACTAGCGATCCCAACAACGTCCGTTGCTTCTCTTTCGCTAGTCTAATCATCACAAACCTGCGTAACAGAGTGTCCTCCTTTTGATGAAATATAGATTCTAAACAAGAACTGTAAACCATTTGTAATTATTATACCCCCGCTCCGAAGGAGAGGGGGGTATACTGTTTTACCCTTGTGTGTCTGTCTGTCTGTCCGTCTGTCTGTCTGTCTGTCTCTCCGTAACAAATTTTGGTCGCAGTTTTCTCAGCAACTACTCATTGCAGAAGCTTGAAATTTTAGCACAATCTTTGTTTAGGCATGCCATATGGTGGGATTCATTTTTGTACGAATTCGATGTCAACTTCCTGTTTATCCGTGCGTCTGTCCGTACCATACATAACAAATTTTGGTCGCAGTTTTCTCAGCAACTACTCATTGCAGAAGCTTGAAATTTTAGCACAATCTTTGTTTAGGCATGCCATATGGTGGGATTCATTTTTGTATGAATCTGATGTCAACTTCCTGTTTATCCGTGCGTCTGTCCTTACCATACATAACAAACTTTGGTCGCAGTTTTCTCAGCATCTACTCATTGCAGATGCTTGAAATTTTAACACACTCTTTGTTTAGGCATGCCATATGGTGGGATTCATTTTTGTATGAATTCGATGTCAACTTCCTGTTTATCCGTGGGTCTGTCCGTACCATACATAACAAATTATGGTCGTAGTTTTCTTAGCAACTACTCATGGCAGAAGCTTGAAATTTTAGCACAATCTTTGTTTAGGCATGCCATATGGTGGGATTCATTTTTGTATGAATTCGATGTCAACTTCCTGTTTATCCGTGCTTCTGTCCGTACCATACATAACAAACTTTGGTCGCAGTTTTCTCAGCAACTACTCATTGCAGATGCTTGAAATTTTAACACACTCTTTGTTTAGGCATGCCATATGGTGGGATTCATTTTTGTACGAATCTGATGTAAATTTCCTGTTTATCCGTGGGTCTGTCCGTACCATACATAACAAATTTTGGTCGTAGTTTTCTCAGCAACTACTCATTGCAGGTGCTTGAAATCTTAACACAATGTTTGTTTAGGCATGCCATATGTTGGGATTCATTTTTTACTAATCCAATGTCAATTTCCTGATTATCACTGTGTTTGTCCATAATTGAACTTGTGTATTCACATCAGAGCGGGGGTATTATTAGTGAGCATTGGCTCACAGACTTCTTGTTTTTGATCTAATAATTATGTCTTTTGTGTTTATTTGATAAATAAATTTAATGCCAAAAATCATTTACGTTGGAATCAGTGTTTATATAGTACATTTATACACGTTATAAAAACAGCCTTGGGGTTTAACGGGGTTCAAGAAAATTAACACACTTGTATTTACACTTTTACCGAGTACCCGGGTACTCGATCGGAAAAACGTCCGAGTAACCGATTATCAAAAATTGACAGATTTGACATCCCTATTTTAAAGCATTGAAATGTAAATATAAAGAATGTTTTTTAGTTTGTGATTGTTATTGGTGTGTAAATTACACAGACTTGCATGTAGGCATATTTTTCAGGAGGCGCTAGCATTGCTCATGAAATATGCCTAAGTGACAAGTCTTTGTGATTTAAAAACACCAAAAACAATCAAAAAACAAAATATCATTCCTTAATTATTTCTAATTATCTTTAAAAGCGTGCACACAGTAGACAAAATAAAGATGTATGTGTAGTTATAAACATGATTGAGTTTTTAACAACCATCAAGGATTGAAGGATTTGTAAATTTGAAAAATACAGAGAAAAGAAGTCAGCTGGAAAATAGCAGGGTTTGGGAAGTCTTCCATGGTATTTAATGCCAAGGATTTTCATGAGATCAGTGACCTCAAGTTTGGCGTATCAGCTGATTCGCTGACCGACAACATCAGTAGTGGATTTGAATGGATTACTTGTGTTTACAATAGCAATGAAGGTATTTTAAAAAAAAATTTTTATTTTGAATTTAATCTCATAGAGGTATATAAAAATAAATAATCATCAGATTTCTAAAAAAAAAAAAAAACCCAGAATCCATATCATGGGTTGATTCCAAAAAGGGAAGTTAACTTCTAAAAATAAAGGTTGTGGCACTCAGTCTTAATCTGAAGAAGATTGGGATTGATGGTATCTGGTTACTCATTTATTGATGGATGAGCATGATAAGATTAACAATGCAGGTATACATATCATTAATTTTTTAGGTCAGTAGGTCATATATTAAAGATGTGAATATATATTCCAAAATCAATGTCAGTTTTGAAGTGTGTTCATAATGGTTTTGGGTATTCTAATTCAGTTTTTTATATGACATATCTGAAAATTACAAAATCACCAAAAAGTGATGCTTGAGGTATGGTCAAGAAATACAATATAAATTTAAACTACTACCATGTAACTGCTGTTCACTTGTATCCATATAGATCTCTGAAAGGATAGACAATTTATATCATTTCCCTTCTGTTAATTTGAAAAAAAAAACCCAGATGTCACTATGGCAATATCTCACATTGTTGATTTAATTCTGTATTCCAGCACCTGCATCTCCAAGGAAGGTTTCCATTTTATCCAACAAAAATGGCCTGGTCATCAACTGGATTCCACCTACCTGTGATGGTTTAACCTCCAAACCAGTCAAGTATCAACTCTCCTGGTGTCAAACAAAGGATAAATCTGACATTTGTCAAGGTACATGCACTTATATTTTGAAGAGAAGAAAAATTTTAAACAATTTGGTCAGAAATTCCAAGAGTGGGTGTCAATCAGCTGTGCTGGACAGTTTGTACTCGTAGTACTTCAATGATAGAGTACACTGCACTCATTGACTTGCTGGCTTACATAACAGATTTTCTGAAAATTGTATTTGAAATTGTAGGCAAGTAATTTCATCATAAAATCAACTGAAATTGTGCTGGGATTTCCTTATACTTCTTAAAGCAGGTCAATTTCCCAAAGTAATGAAAGGCCTTTCCTGAGTCACACTTGATTTTTCTGGGAATGTGTACTTCAAGTCATGCTTTGATGCTGCATCTGACCTTTGATCAAGTTAAATGGCCAAGAAAAAATTTTTGCTGACCTTGATGTTGAGAAGAGTGGATGCTATACCATCGGCATCAGTGTTAGTGTTGCCTCCCTGTTAAAGTTTTAGGAGCAAGTCCATTCCCAAGTACATGTAACTGTAAGCCCTACCTGGGCCAAACTTGCATGGATGATGCATCTAGAGATGGATATTACCCAACCTGCTTCTGATACTTGATCTGACCTACATTTTCCAAATGAGTGACCAGGTTAGTTTATAGAGCATGTCCATTCCCCAAGTAACTACTTTAAGCCCTCCTGGACCAAATTTGCATGTATGATGCATCTACAGATGGACACTTCAAGAATTGCTTTTGTTGCTGGATCTGACCTACATTTTTCAGATGAGTGACAATGTTTATGTGCGAGAAAATCACTATGATTTTCCCTAAAAAATTTCAAAAAGTTAATTACACTAATAATATATACCCATTCTTAGGCTAAAATGGCTAAATTTGTCATTAAAATGTTAAAAACCTGTTATATTGTATAAATGTTGAGACTCATGATTTCTGATAATTTCTTTAAGGTCCTTTGATGACCAGGTATATCCAGGCTCACGATTCTGTGGATTATGTCTATCAGTTATCAGAGGGGGATATAGAGATGTCCAAGTGGTATGGTATTGTCATCAGATCCATTTCCAGTTTGGAGAAGGTGTCTCCTCCAACAGATATGTTTCATGGCAGACCAATCAGAACCTGTAAGTGTTTTTTGTGTCATATATACAATTAATAATACATGTATTTTTTTGTTCACCAAACTTCAGATATACATAATGTAATTCTGTATATGTGTAGTTGAAAGTTCAAATTACAGGTAAACTTTGGTATTTTGAATGACATCTTGATTACAATGGATATGTTGAAGTGAGTCGGTAGTGCCAGCCACTTTTTCCTTATGTACTTTATTTTAATCTTGATATCTCAAATCCTCAGATATCCTGATATTTTTCTTGGCCCGGTTTGACTATGTATTTAATATGGTACATAATTAGATGTACATCGTATTGGGTAATTTTTCATTTCTCTTTGAAATGTTCACACTTGAGTCTTAACAGCAAGATCAAGCAATGAGGAATATAATGCATGCATATAGCATCTGTATACGAAGGGGAGAAAAAATTGTTAAATTCATGACCCCTACCCCCCTGGGGCCTGAGTGGTGGGGCTAAAACCATCAAAATTAATGCAATCTTTAAAAATCTTCTTCTTTACTCCTGGACATCAAGCAGGCAAACTGTTGGCATGAATGTAATAAGCATTGAGCCCTCTACCTAAATTGTGAAATTTATGGCCCCAGGGTCAGGGGTTCTGGTGCTAGGGTGGGGCTCTGTTGAATATGTAGTGAAAATGCACTATTCTTAAAAATTCTTCTCCTCTGCTCTTGGGTATTAAGTAGGGATGTCAACGAATAGTCGACTATTCGACCATCAGTCAAATGGACCGACGATCGAATAACGGAACGACATTTGAATAAATAAATTCAATAAAAGAGTGATAAAGAGATGGAATTCTCATCCAATACATTTGATTTCCATTAGTGAACTCTTCAAAATTAAAGGCGCATTTGGTCGCCTGACTGGGACGGCATGAACGTTGCGGATAATACAAAACATGCCAATCTCAATCCAATTTTAAATGTTAAATGTATTTGTCATTCCATTTAAAGAATAGAAGAACTAAAAGACATATGTAAAAGAGCGAGAGCCCTAAATTTATCATCCATTAATAAACAATACGATATTTCTGAGGCATGTGTATTGTATTAGATGTACCATACGATAAATAGATACATACGATCAACAATAGATATAAATTGACATCGTTGTCATACCTACTCTTGATGTATATTAAGTCCACAACAATAAAATATTTCATTTGCATTTTGTTAGGATTTGTTCATCGACATTCAACATATTGTTTACATGTTTATGTTACGTTTATCCCAGAAATCCTGCGAAATTTGTACATTTTCTGACTTTTTCACAAAAGAGCGCACTAAGAAGTATAACTCTTCCATAGTGGAAATAGAACGTATTGAGAAACCGTCTTTCCCCAGACACAGTCGATAAGATAATTTTCCTCATTAAAAACTGCTGACTTTACATGTAGAAAGTACAGTGATTAGAAATGCTTCACTTCCGCGAGAATTATTTTTCAATTAATGTGTTGTTTTTGTAATAGAATTATCTCATCATACTGCGCTTTCTTTGTAAATTTATTAATTGGACTTGATCTCATACCATGTACCCACTATAGCCGTGACATGTTTGGACAGTAGGATAATTATTATAAAATTAATATTCTTTTACATATTTTAAAGACATTTTGATAATTGGTACAAAAAAGTATATTCAAATATTTAACATTATCATGGGCACTGTGTGCCCCCCCCCCCCCCCCCCCCCTCATTTAAATAAGCTTTAAATTGTAATTTTTTTATGTTTCCTAAAAAACCGACTTTACAGACCGATTTATGAACAAGATTGACGGGGAAATCCTACATTTTGGAGAAATTAGCGGTCTATATTAAGTAAATATAAACACGCTATTAACATTTTAACTCCAAGTGAACATCTGTGTGTAACATTTGATGTAACTTTTTAATCAATTTAAAAATGGGGGATTTGGGGTTAAGTACGTGATGTACCAGTGAAGTTTGAAATAAAATTTTAGTTTCCAAAAAGTTTTGAATATATTCGACTATCATTCGAATAATGCAATCAAATATTCAACTAAAGAAAATAAATATTTTGACATCCCTAGTATTAAGGAAACAAACAATATGCATAGTTATGATGAGGAAAGGTGTCTCTTCTAAAATTGTGAGTTTCATGGCCCCTGGGTCAGGGGTTCTGGTGTTAGGGCGGGGATCTAATGATTATATAGTGAAAATGCATTAATTATTCAAAAATCTTCTCCTCTGCTCCTGGGTATCAAGCTGATGAACTAAGTACATACAGTAGTTATGATGAGAAAGAGTGCCTCTTCCAAAATTCTGAATTTCATGTCTCAAGGGTCAGGGGTTCTGGTGTTAGGGTGGGGCTCTGTTGAATATATAGTGATAATGCATTATTTCTTTAAAAAGCTTCTTCTATGTTCTTGGATATTATGAAAACAAAATAAATACATAGTTATGATGATGAAAGGTGCCTCTTCCAAAATTGTGAATTTCATGGCCCCAGGATCAGGGGTTCTGGTGTCAGGGCAGGGTTCAATTGAATATATAGTGAAAATGCATTATTTCTTTTAAAAATCTTCTCTGATCCAGGGCAAACAAACTGAATGCATAGTTATGATGAGTAAAGGTGCCTATTCCTATATTGTGAATTTCATGGCCCTTGGTCAAGAGTTCTGGTTTTAGGGCGGGGCTCTAATGATTACATAGTAAAAATGCAATAATTCTTTGACAATCTTCTCCTTTTCTCATGGGTATTAAGCCAATGAACTAAGAGTATAGTTATTATATGTAAGGGTTCCTGTTCCAAAATTGTGAAATTCATGGCCCCTGGGTCAGAGGTTCTGGTGTAAGGGCGGGGCTCTGTTGAATATATAGTGAAAATGCATTATTTCTTTAAAAATCTTTTTCTTTGATCCTGGGTATTTAGCAAACAAACTGATGCATGATGAGTAAAGGTGCCTCTTCCAAAATTATGAATTCATGGCCCCAGGGTCAGGGGTTCTGGTGGGTGGGGCTCTAATGATTACAAAGTAAAAATGCAATAATTGTTTGAAAATCTTTTTTTCTCCTGGGTATTAAGCTGATGAACTAAGAGTATAGTTATGATATGTAAGGATGCCTCTTCCAAATTTGTGAATCTTATGGCCCCTGGGTCATAGCTCTGGTGTTAGGGCAGGGCTCTAATGATTACATATTGAAAATGCATTAATTCTTTGATAATCCTCTGCTCTCTTTCTGGGTGTTAAGTAAGGTTACTAAATGTAAAATTATGAAGAGCAAGTGTGCCTCTTTTGAAATTGTGAATTTCATGGCCTCTGGTTTAGAACATGAATCCAATTTAATTGTGGCGAAGTTGTTGCATGATACTCAGGTGACCTATAAGGCTCCTGGGCCTCTTGTTGATGAATGATGTTGCCATGGTTACTAAATTAAAATAGAAATTTCTGTAAAATACTTTCAAAATACTACTGACCTTACAGTATGATCTGACTTTGATATAACTTGGCATGGATGTAGACTGCACTGAGATACATAATTGTCTTTATCATCTTGATCATTTTTTGATTTTGATGAATGATGTTGCCATAGTTACTAAAAATAGAAATTTCTGTAAAATTCTGCCAAAAGGCTACTCTGCCTACAGTTTTAGTCTGATTGCAATTAATCTTGCCACAAAAACAGACTAAACCAAGGATCATTATTCTATTTATTTCTGTGGCAAAGTTTCAAGTCCCAAGTGCTACTTTTCTCTTCTTTTTCTAAAACTTAGGCAGAGTATTTTTTTCCCTAGAAGTTAATCATGTCAGAGTTGGTGAATGGGTTGTAGCTTTTTAGTTCAGTGCTTTGTGGTATTGCTTTGCACTTAAGAGTTATTAAATGTTTATACAATTATGAAAATCATTTCTATAGAGAAATATAGTACTGGAAATCCCTTTTTATTTGTAAGAACTTTATTTTTGCAGAATTACACCAGACTGTCTGCTCTTGAATTTTTGTTATCGCGTATATTTTTTATTAGTATTTACTAAATATAGCAATAACCAGAATTCATGAAAATTGTGTCCTGCTTATGAGAACCAAGTACCTATCTTGTGAAAATAATGTATCACAAAAATTTGGTGATCTACAGTATTTATTTATCACCGGTAGAGTAAATGGGCCACATTCCAGTTCTGAGCATTAGTAATGTGACATTGCTTTATTTTGTAGATATGATCACTGAGGAGATTATAGGAATTGCATTAGCAGCTGTCATTGGTTTGATTTTCTTTGCTGTTGGTGTGTTGTTTATCATTAAGTAAGTGAAATTTTCCTTCATTAATCCATGCAGGATAGTACAAGATAGCAAAAATCTTCCCTTTAAACCATAGGTTTAAATTTGTATGTTATTCTATTATGTAAGTCAATAAATCATATTGGATTGCTTAATGTCGTGTGTTAAATTATAATATTTTTTCAATATGGACTTGAGATGGGGAAAATCCAAAGATAAAAAGTTTAAGACATTCAAGGTGACTAATATCTAAAACCTTCTATAATGACTTTGTCTCTTAATTTTCAACTGAAAATAATACAACAAATGTAGCCCTTTTATCCAGTCAATCTGTAGTTATATCCAATTCACAGAAAATAATATTAACCTTAAACAATATGCTTTTCTAAGTAGTCAGTATATCTTAGGATTGATAATAAAAATGGGCTTTATTTGTACAGTAACTTGCCATTGTGGGAGACCAAGCACTTGTTGAATATTTAGAAGGGTAGGATACTGTGAATGAAATATTCCATATTTTATTTAGACACTGTTACCATGCTGTGAAGAGTGCTGTAAAACTAGATCCCATTCATCTACCCACAGTTCAAACTGTAAGTCAGGTGCTATGGAAATTGTATTCTACAATTAAAGGAATTTAAACCTCTTTATTATAATGAAAATTTGTTTGAATGATTTATCCATAAAATTGTTTTTCCAACCTTAATTCATGTGCATTGTTTTTGTACCAGTACATTTGATTTCTGGAATCATAGTAAAAGTTGCTGATAAAATAAAAATCTAATGAGTGAGCATTTTTGGTATCAAATAATTTATTTAATTTGACAACATTCATGCTGTTATTTTATAACAGCATTGTAAATTTGGTACCCAAATATTTGTGTAAATTGCATGATATTTCAGGTTTCTCAACATTATAAATTAGACTCATTACACTGTTCAAGCTGCGATATATAGATGTAGAAATGATGCACAGTATAAGATGTTACATTTTTCCCTTCAGAGCAACACAGCAGGGAGTGGTGTATTGTCTGCTTACAAAGAAAACTCGACAGAGACTGAGCCTCAAAGTCCAATACAAATACCCCAATCTACCTCACCCCTCATCAAACAGGTAATGTCACCCCATCACAACCGTACAATATCCCAGTCTACCTCCCACCTCATCAAACAGGTAATGTCACCCCATCACCACCTGACATATATTACTTTGTCAGAGGTAGGAAAATATAAAAATTTTGTTTATTTTTAAAATATTTACAAAATGTCACTTCTTTTGCAGAATGGGGTCCCTTTCCAATTTCAGTACAGCATGGACAGTGGAAGAGGCAGTCTTCCAGTGGAGGATTTCCTGGATCATGACCTCAAACACCATCCAATTCCAGAGATTGCTACTCCCAATGGATCCATACCAAAAGACCCAGTTCCATTTCTTTCTCTATCCTCACCTTTATCATCACCAAGCCATGAAAGTTGCTTGAATGTGGAGGCAGTTGATAACTGCCTTAAAGCCAGCAGTTTTGAAGGAAGTGTAGAGTGGACCTCCTCCCCTGCTCACTATAGAACAATTTGCCAAGACACAGAATCTGACTCTTCATCGGATGAGACTAGTAGTGTGGCCAGTGAGATGCAAGAAGAAGAAATTAAACCTTATGTTAAAGCTGGCTCTCATAGTTCCTTGGACAATATGGTCACATTGCCTGGCTACATGAATGATTGTGTCACCTCAGGTTAGTTAGTTAATCCATGCTGAGAATCTGCCAATAATGTTCAAAGGAAAAGATACCACATCAACAAATCTTCTAATAATTAATATGAAAACATGTACCTTACACTGAGTATGTATTTACATATATTGATGTGATCTGTTAATCATCTTTTGTAATTTTACTTCCTTTAATCTTAATGTTTGATTTTGATTAGGGATGGCATTTTGTAATCGGTTAACCGGTTACTCGGTCGGAACGATGGTAATCGGTTGGAAAATCTGAAATCGGTTAGTTGGAAAAAAATTAATATATGTGTAAATTTGAATAGAATTTCCTGAAAATTCAATTTAAAAAATACAGATAAAATTTTCTGAAATGTTAGCATGTTCATCTATTTAAGCTGATTTGGAGATAATTAAGGCTCTCCAGATTGACATAGCATGAGGGTAATTGGTCACTTTTCGAGTTGTTAATTGCTGTCTAAACACATGTCATTACCCACCCTGTCCTGTGTTTCTTTAATGATTTTAATTAAATGATCGTTGACTTCTGTGAACTGATCATAATGTGTACCTTACCCCATCTATCCTTTGCAGTTACCTATCAAATTATATTCTAAAAAAAACATCGTAAGATAAGCGATAATTCAGACTTAATTTTGATTATGGTGACAATGCAGACTGAACTTCCGTGACATTTTTTCTGAAAATTTTTTAATGCATCTGCAACCTCATGATGTTTCATGGGTTTCTTAATTTTTTCTTTGCTTTTTTCCTTTTTTTTTAGCCCATTAAAATTGAAATACAATATATGCTATGTAGTATTCTGATCATATATAAATATAAGCATAATATTACTACATGAACATCTTTATAGTCTTACTTATTTGAGTGTAGCTATGTCGAGAATTTTTGGTACGATTAACCGACTAATTGGTCGGAAAGTCTTGCGGTTAACCGATTGGCAATTCTGTATTCGATTGCCATCCCTAATTTTGATACTTTCATTAATAGCAGTAACAACTTATCAGAAAAAGAAAAAAATAAAGAATGTAATCAGGCATGAACTGATCAATTACCTTTTATTAACCACTGTAAATCACTTTTTATTTTAAGAGAACTTTATTTTTAATATTACGTGAGACTGTCTGCTTGCAAAAATGTCATTCTCACATATAATTCTACTATTCAAGAATATATCGAGCAATAACCAAAATTCATGAAAATTTTGTATTACATATAATTACCAAACAACAATCTCGCAAAAATAAGGTGGGACAAAAATTAAGTGATCTACAGTAATTAACCCTGTAACGAACTGGCTGACTGCCTGTAACAAACTTATTAACCCTGTAATGAATTGGTTAACTGCCTTCTTTACAGGATCACCAGAATCAGATGGAGAAAGGCATGTGAAATGTTGCTCAACAACAAACAAATTACTAACACACTCCTCACTAAAAGTAACAAACTGTATCTGCTGTATAGAGCGAGAAAATGTTAGTCAGAACTTAGCTAAGAAGACATCTCTACAAAATACCTCGCCAATGCTCAAAGTTCAAGTCATATCAAGTAGTACTCATCCTAACCCTGCATTTGATCAAGGTGAATTGCCATCCAATGGAGTGATGAAACTCCCTGCTCTAGAAATGTGTAACATTCTAATGGCTGTTGACAGCTCTTGTTCAATAGAGAAAAGACTGTGTGCTGATGAGGTGGATAATGTATCAGTGAATTCAACTGATTCCACAGACTCCCAAACTTCAGCTGATAAGGACATGGGCAGTGTTTTAACTTCCAGTGGTGATATGATGGCCAGTTCAGACTATTTACCTGTAGATTCAGTACAGTTTGGTTCCTCATGTTTTTCTCTATATGATAGTAGCACTTATGTTTCTTGATTCTGTTTGTCATTTCAATATTCAATGTCCAATTGTAAAAATGTCCAAAATAAGGGTTTAACATGAGGTGCCTCATAAAATTATTTTCAGAGAGAATGAAGTATTTTTTGTGTGTAATTAGTTTTCCATTGATTGTTATATGTTGTGTATTAGTATTAGATAAGGTTATGGTTCAAGTTTAGGCTCACTGGAGCCAAATTCAGGATTTAGTCAGCTTTTCTGATTATATTTTGTCCATAGTCTATATGTCTATTAAAGGTGTTTTTTTAATTTACAAACCTAAAAACTCAGTCCCAGAACATTATTGTTTTCACTAGTCTTAGTGAAAAAAAATATGGCTTTCTGCAGTGTCTGGAATACCAAAATGGCTGCCATGATTTCTAATTTCCTGTTTCCTGAAGGACAGGATGTGATGTCAGATCACCAAACCTGGCAACGTGTACCTCCAAAAGTTTTACAATGGTGTAATTGTACTTACAAGGTGCTCTGGTGGCTTTTGATTGGCTTTTTTACTACTATAAAACAACTTTCTGCTCAAGCAATAAGCTTGGCACAGATTTTCAGATATTAGATGTGTTGAATTATTTTGTAGATTGATTGAAATTCCTAGTTCAATGGCTGTAGTAATTGATTTTGGATCTGCTTGGATATTTTTTTTTTTTACTGTTTTCTCTACTATAACTACATGTTAAACCTCTTGTCTTCTCAAATAAAATAATATACTTATTTTCTCAATTAATTTTTTTACCTCATGAAAATACTTAAAATTTTCTCATCATTTATGCATCTTTTCACATATATTTAAATGCTTTCTTATATGAAGTTTTCATTGTCATAAATGTTATTTACTCAGGTGAGTAATGTGGTACATGGGTTCCTTTGTATGATATTATCTTTTGATGGTACAGTTATAACTTAGACGCACATTTTAATGAGAATGATACATGTTTATATTTAAACTTGTTCTCACAATACTTTTCTGCATTTAAAAATTTATTGATACCAGGTTATTCTTGGTCTATGCTGTCAAATCAGCATTTCTAAACCGTTGGTTGATTTATATGAATATTTTAGTTCCTTTTACATAAATGTCTTATTTTTTTTGTTTATGACATGCAACAGTCAGCTTTATAAATTTGTTGTTAATTGGTAAAGCTAGAGGGGTGCAATATCTCTTCAGGGACATTTTGTTTACCGGTACATCAGTTAAATACTGTACTTGTTTACTGGTACATAGTATGCCAAATAATTCTAGTCATAAAGAAAAGCTTTAAATTACTGGCAATTCATGTACTGTGTTCTTCAATTGTGTTCATTTTTTAAATTCCAGTCACAAATGATTATGGTACACTGTCTCATTTTATAAGATAGAATCTTTTTTTGTCTACTTAACCTTTCACAGTTGGTAAATCCATGTGTGAATATTTGTGCCATGTATTTTGATATATTTGATATACTTAAATTTTTGGGAAACAAATGTTAGTTGTTGTATAAAAGCATCATATATTTTGAATACATATTTCTGTTTATACATCACAAAGAGAATACTTTGTGTCTGAGTTCATACATTGCAAAAAATGTTACATTGTTAAACTCAGATCTCTTTTTATGACCAAAAAATTTAACCAGGTTGATGCTTTTTTTGCTTTTCGTGCATTCCCTGTTTTTCATTTGAAAATATTGTTCGGGTTTTATTAACTACCTCAATAACCATATCATACACATTCCTCATTATTTCTTTAAATTTTATGTACTTGCAATTCATTTCATCATTGTATTTCATCCATATTTTTGGTAGTGGGTCAGATATTCAAAATATGAAAAAGAATATAATAGGCAAATAATATCCCCTCCCTCAAACAAAGGTTTGGGGAGGGAGGTTTATTGGAATCACCATATCTGTCTGTCCAGGTAATATGACTTTGTAACTCATACTTTGCCAATATTTTCTGTCAACCAGAATGTGTATGATTACCTTGAATTAATTTAGTTCATGAAGGTCACAATCCTTGTTCAGGTCATAACATGTAAAGAAAAATATCAGAAACTTATACTTGCCCAACATCATTAGGTCATAAATCAAGGTCAAGTTCGCAGGTTTTCAAACTTACTGGCCAAATTGACATAACTTTGATAGCAGTAGAGCACACTAGGCTTATTCTGATTACCTTTGACCAGACAGGTGTAATATGACCCTGATTCAAGGTCATTTGAATAAGTTAAGGTAAAGTATTCAAAGTAGTATTTACCAGGTCATAGCAATGTTTTGAAGAAATTCCCTGATAGCTGCTTATGGTCAGGGGACGTGCATATTTTCAAATATGGATGTTTTGAGTATGCTCTGCGGGGAATATTAGTCTGATTAGGAGTGTTCTTTTTGTCAGAATTTTTAACAAGTGGCTATATTGAGATTTTTTTTCTTTTTGGTGTAGATTTTCTATTCTGTGATTAACTAGATATGATTGACAGTTATCTGTCAAAACATATTCAAATTCTTGTAATGGGGGAAAAAATGAAGTTGGAAGTGCACTTTTTCTTTATAAAAATGGTAAAACAAGAATTGTCTTCTGTTTTTCAAATGGGGCAAAAGAATTGCTGTAATTTTATATGCATTCAACAAAATATTCAATAGACTAGTCATAATGATCTCTTGTAATAATGGGAACAGCTTTTTTTTCAAAGACAGGGTACAGATTTGAATAATGGTGACTCAACGTTAGTGAACTTGCAATATGGAGTGTAAGATCGTTAACTTTTCCTTGGATGCTTAATTGTGATTGGTGGAATTTGCACAAATATCAAGCATGGCCTTGGAGCATAAATTGTTCACAGCCTTTTGTAAATTTGAAACTTCAGTTAGGGGTTATTATTCCCCTATATGGTAGATGTTCAATCTAAGTTTATTTTCAATCATCTTTGCAAAGAGAAGTAACTCTTGAATGACACAGCACTGGAATGACATAGCACTTAAAAATCTACAAAATTTTCATTCTCAAAAATTGCCCTGTATCTAAACTAAACCTACTTGAATTTTCATTTTTATCACTGTCTTCTCTAAGAAAAATAATTAAAATTAAAGACTTTAAAGTACTAAACCATAATGTTATTCTTTCTCTTCCGACCTCTCTCTGTAACTCAATGCAGTAAAATTAGTTTAACAACCAGCCAAAACTTTTGACAAGCTTGTGATGAGAAGAATGCATGGTCACGCTCAAATTCAGAATTGAATACATATCATAAGCTTCAACAACACACAATTATATTGCTCAATTTGTCTTCCACAGAGTCTTGGTTAAATAATGTAGAATAGTGAAACATTTCAGTTGTACATATTTGAAAGAAATAAAGATTTTTTGTGACTGTGTTAACAAAATGTTAATAAATGAAAAATTTACCCCAATTTCATCTGGTGTGTTTTTTTGTTATATTTACTGGTTAAAGACCAAAAAGCCCATGCATCAGTAGTCTTATACATAGGTCAAGATTTGTTGTCTGAATTTTTTACTGTAATAGAAACCACATGAAATTTGAAATGTTATTAAAGTTTTTTTTTTCCATTTTATGCCATTAATTTTAATTTTCAAGCATCAGTTTCTAATAAATATTAATGTTATGAATGACTGAAATTTTGACTCGGGTCCAAGACTGCTTCGTGAACCTGGGGCCTGAGATGAGCTCATCCAAGTTTTGTGGACCTGGCTCCTGGGCCATAGAACTTTAAGACTAGCTCACTTTTGATCTATCTCACTTTTACATAAGGAATCAATAAATAGTGGAAAAGTGAGACTAACATCAAAAGTGAGCTTGTGTCCAAGTTTTATGGCCGTGAAGCCTGGTGCTTCCAGTAGATCTAGTCTCTAAAAATAAATGCCAACTCACTTTATGAAATACTTTGGTGAAACCTTCATATAAACTATTTAAATTTTTAAAGTACGGTGTAAGCCTGGTATACTTTCTCTAGGTCTAGGATTAAGGACATATGCAACGTAGTTTGAACTTAATTGTCTTTTTCCCTGGAGTTGAAGAGTTCTGATACTTAAAGGAACTTTGTGCTACATTTGGAATGTCTATACATGCTGTTGTACACTTCTTTTAAAAACAAGTTTGGATAAACAAAACATCTAGAATATATGTTTAGTAATTTTTGTATATTTTTCTTTGAATTATACAAGAATTTTCATCAATTGATATCTTTTCAAAACCCCTGGTAATGCATGCTGATTTTCTGTCTAATTATCAGTAGATATGTCCTTAAAGATTTTCTTAAATGTAAGGCATTTTCAGTACATCACCATCTTAAGTTCACCAAAGGAAAGGGATAGCAATACGTCACCTGGGTAACTCAAACTTCCTAGATATTTCTGTAACTCATAACCAGTTATGAATCAATAATCAATTTCAGCCATAAATAACGACACAGATTTGACATCAGATTTTTATTCAAACTTGTGATAAAGATGGTGAGACATGTTCAACCATCTTCAAACGAAAAAGCTGACCCCACACTGGTTTCACCATAGCCAGATATGTCCCCTTGCTCCTGTCAGCAAGTTTTGTAATACAATTCAACGGAAGAAAAATAAATAAAACAGCCATAACAAAGTAACTATCAACTTTAAAAAACATAAAAACAAAACATTTGTTAATAAAGTCGATATAAATACTTGTTAAACTTGTTTGAGTTCAACAGTGTTAATATGCACATTACTAAAAAAGCACTGTTCTATGATGTTGCTAAAACTTGAAATCAAGGTCTTTGATAAAAACCATGCTTTCTACACCTCCGGATTTTTCTGGCTATGGGTGTTTGCATATTAGATATGATAACATACGGTGAAATCTAGAATTAATAATAACAACCAATTAAATACATACATTTATGTGTATTTTTTTTTGTTTTTTTTATCGTTTTTGACATGATAAAAACGTGATAATTTTTTTCATACCATTTTACACAAAGAAAAAAAAAACAAAGTCCAAATTGAATAAATAATTACTACTGCTTCTGAAATAATAACTGCATCACAGATCACTGTTATATCTCAAACATGCACTCCCTTCAACTATAATATAGTAACAAACTCATCATTCGTAATATAGGCACACCCATCGTAAAACCACATGGTTAAATCAGTCTCACTTTTGCATAATAAATAAATAATCAATCTTTTTGTTTTTTTACAAAATGTACAGTGCCTCTACAGAAAGCAAAATGATGTACATGTTTCTACAATAAAATTACACATGCATTTTTCAACAATTCAGCTAATCAACTTAACGATATCAAGATTCCATTCCAGTCCCATTGCCAATTGTTGACACAGCGTTTGTTAGTGAGGGATCAAATGTCATAAGAATATACTACTGGTAGGTACTTCATTTCTCAAAGAAACAAAAGCTTTGTTATTATAACCACTGAATAATAAATGAAAAGTCATGTTTGGTAAAGCTAATCAACCAACTTAAAAAAAGAAACAAGACATGATAGTACTAAAAAGTAAGTAAACTGGATAAGTTAAAAACAACACAATCGATTCTATTATGATCATTAAATGGATTTCTTTCAAATGGATGTGGCTATACTGTAAAAAAAAAATCAATAAATAAGGTTATGCATGATATACAAAACATGGCCATTTCTGTGATTCTATGTACATAACATTTGAGTATTTTACAAAGCTACCATACATGTACTTCTATCAATAATACATTTATTACTTCTTTTTATAAATTCAAATCTACTTTAAATTAATATGAGAAAGTTTTCTGGGTTTTGTTTTTTTTTTTAACAAACCACTTTTTTGACAACTCAGAGAAATCTGTAATTCATGTAGATTTTTTTCATTAAACGCCATCCTTTTTTTGGGGGTGGGGGGGGTTTGAAATCTAGAAATCTACAAGGCCTAGATTAATATACACAAAAACCAACAAAAACATGATGACAAATGACTTTGCAATGATAAAAAAAAAATTCACAGTAATAAAACAATACATAGCTGCATAGATTGGCGGTATTTTGGGGGAGATACACACAGATTTGTACACAGCAAAGTTGACACTACATGAGAAAATGACACAGCAACAGCAAAATGACAGATTGTGACAATGCTAAGTCATACTCTCAAACAAAATGTTGGCCCAATTGTCTACAGAATATACCACAAAATTTTGTTGTCAAAAGATTTTTGAAGGGCTAAATTGCAAAACAAATGTTGTGCCCCAGCTAACAGGGATAACAATAAATAAAAAGTAATCAGAATGTACTGAATAAATTCACTTGAACAATAGTAAAAATAGATCCTTTCTATCAAAAACACAGTTTTATACATTTTAGAGAATGCTTCATAAAATCTTATTATGTTAATGGGAAAAATTTTTAATGATAAAAGCAACAAGATGGCCAACATTTGCATAAAACTGGATGGAAATCTCTCTTTTATCACATAGTAATTTACGAGGTAGTCTTCATATCTTTCACAACATTAACACAAACTTGTTGTATACAAGCTCAATAGGGTACCACAAACAAACTGTACATTTGATTAAAGATAAACATCCTACTTAGCATTCAATGTACTCGATTTCTTTTTGATAAAAAAAAAAATACCTTGCAATATTGACTTACACATACTCCAGAAACTTAATTTGCATCATTTTTTTTCTTCAGTGAAATTATTTTTTCTGTATGACACTGTACAATCTTTATAATAAAATTGCTAAAATAAATAAAGAAAACTTTTTCATTAATACTTATTTACATTATTGTCAGCCTATGAAGACTGCTTGTATGCAGTTTGAAATGATCAATACCTAATTACATTACAATTATAGTTAAAAGTGTTCAGCCACCTAATGATATGTTGAATATGTAATGTTTAACATGAAACAAACAACTTTCCAATCACAAGAGAAAAAAAAACTTTATCCCATATATTATAAAAAACAATTCTCAACAGTAATAAATATGATTTAACATCTTATTGTATCAATACATTTCCAGTTTTAATCTTTCTTTCATTTCATATTAAAGATAAGGAGCCAATAAAATTTTAAAGTTAAAGAACAGAAAACTTTACTGTAAAATATGCAAAAATGTCCTTAAAGAGCACAAAATTTTCCATCAGTCATTATGGCGTAAACTTTGCATATATCATTTCCATTTGCCAAAATCTTGCAAGTACTTGTGTGACTAGTTAATGTGCAAAAACATGGAATATATTACTTGTACAAGAATGATATTTTTAAGTAGTAGTCACAAATATGGAATATACAAAGACACTTAGAATTTGTACATACATTGTATTTATAAGTTCTTCCATCTCAATGCATTTTTTTTGCATAGATTCAGTGATTTTGTCAAAAAACTTTATGCACAGAAAACATGTACATGACAAACTAAACTTGGTATTATTTATCAAAGTATTTGGCTCTAGTACACATAATATCACCCAGTACAGTTAATACATAATTAATACTTAGCATAGTAAGGGAATACAAACTAAAGCTCATAACAATCTCAATGCTGAGTACAGACAAAAAAACTTCTTCAAAAATAATTATTCACACACCTGATTATAATATTTTACACACCCTGTTAATTTTTTTTTTTCCAAATTTCATGCATATTTTCAAAAACACAGAGATTATATGAAGACCTGATCCAAGAAATGATACATTAATATCACTTCAGATTGTTTGAGAGCCATGGCCGCAACAGTCAGGTAGAAACAAACACATTCTTGGAATGTTTGGGGAAAAAAAGTCAGTCTAAATTTTTCCTACCTTTTCAAAGGTGAGCTAATAGAAATAGAATGCAAAATTAATTTGTAATGTCTAAGACAAACAGACTGGTGGACACATGACACAAATACATAATAATGCTATCACAGCCAATTTCAGAGCACTTAACCGGGCCACAAAATGATCAGAAAAAACTGGGACACACTGTGTCCAAAAAATTGGCACATTCGGCAAGAGGAGTTGTTCACATATGGATGTACAACAACCAAGGGGAATAATACGTAAATTTTGTTCTTGGACATTACATGAATATTATTTCCCCTTATTTAGTACTTTTTTTTTTTTCAATTTTCAACATTACAAAAGACATTTTACAAGATGTCTGATTTACATGACTAGCTTGAAAAAAAAAAAAATAAACAAAAATCAGATCTATTAACAACAAAAAAAATCAACTCCTTGAAAATATCACAGCCTGCAACACATTTACTTTTGCAAGTTCAAAAGGTCACTTCTGATCATTCTGTGGTGTCCTGTTGACATCAAGTTTGCTGTTGAGAGGGGGTATGAGGTTTGGAGCTGCTGGGGGCCTGAGGTGTCCCAGGGGGGTGAGAACTGTGGGACGATCCTCCACCTCCACTCCCACCTGATGTACCCGTATGATGACCATTGTTTGAGTTGTTTGAACCTTCCATTCCCTCATTGTTGTGTGCAAAGAAACGATCTGCAGAGGAACAATGTTGACTGTTATTGGTTCATTGTTAAAACTACACATAGTACAATTGATCAGATTTTTATACAAACTGTAAAATCATATATTTCATTGGGGTCAAATTTTCATGGTTTAAGAAATGAATATACATGTAGATCCATGGAGCTTTTCATCCCTTGAAAACAGCAAAAAAAATTAACCCCCCCCCCAACAAAATTATGATTTCACAGTATAAATATACTTTTATAACTTTTTTAAAATACCTTTTAAACATTTTAAATAATACTGCATATATGCAGTCTCCAGAACAAAGCAATTTTGTTTTCTTATTGTCTTAGGCTTGTTCTCAACTAAATAAAGATTAATTCTTCCTACAATATGGTCTCTTTAATTATTTTGATACTTTACCTTCATTAAGTAAGGGTTCATCACTGTTGACTCCATGCATGAAACTTGCCAACATATTATAATCCATCCCCATGCCCTCGTCTAGGGGAATAAAAGGAGTGGTCCAGCGTGGGATAGGAGTGGATCTTGGAGTTGACCGGGGTGTGGCTACTGGGGATGCAATCAGACTAAGAGTGGTGGGGCTAATGACCCCACTGATTGCATTGACTGGGCTCAGACTGGGATAAGTAAAAACCTGAAATTTGTTCTTAAGACATTAATAATATTCATTCATATATCAATACAGCACAAGACAATTGTGAACCTGAATTTTATTCCAATGTAAAATTGAACAATGAATTACTAATATTTAAAATCTTAATGTATAGACATATTGTAAGTGTGCTATGACTAGAGTACAACTCACTCACTATGAAGATTTTTTTTCTATATATTGTTTTAAATAAAAATTTAAGTTTGAACAGTTTATCATGATCACATGTTAACAATACAGGAACAAAACAACAATTAACAATTCCAATGGAGTACTTTCAACAACTATTTCCTGAATGTTTCATCTTTTAACAGAGTTTTTATTCAAACACTCATAGCTATAATAAAATTGTTCCAGTGCTTCAGTATATTAATTTTTCCTATTAAATCATCAACTGCCTCCTCTTTTTCTAAATATACTGGTATGTTTTCTTAAAAATCTAATGATGCTCCTCATAAATTTCATTTACTGAAAACATATTAATCTACTCTTAAGGATTAATTTCTTTCCCTTAGTATTTTTGCCTTTATTATAAAAATTGGGATTTTTTTTTTCCTTGAGTGTGTATACTACAAAACCATGACAACTAAGTAGCAGATCATTTCATCACAAGTGAACAAATCTTACTTTAATTCAATATTTTTAAATAATCTAACCTCATTGTTCTTAATTTTTTGATAATAGGGTTTGTTCCATCAATCAATAAATAATTCATTTTCACCTGATGTGCTTGTGGGTGTATGTGAGGAAAGGCATGCTCAGGCCTTGTCAGAACCGAAAAGGGACTGCTCATGATGGTCCGGTTCACAGGAGGAGTACCTGGGGAGCTACTCACCCCCATACTCGAGTTTGAAGCTGTCAATAAATAATAATCAAGCATTTAGTGATTAGATGACTAAAAATTACAATAGTTGGTTGTCATGACAATGCTTCTCATTTAGAACTTTAACTATGACTTATTAGAGTTGGTTGTCATGACAGTGCTTTAACAGTGACTTACTAGAGTTGGTTGTCATGACAGTGCTTTAACAATGACTCACTAGAGTTGGTTGTCATGACAGTGCTTTAACAGTGTCTTACTAGAGTTGGTTGTCATGACAGTGCTTCAACAATGACTTACTAGAGTTGGTTGTCATGACAGTGCTTCAACAATGACTTACTAGAGTTGGTTGTCATGACAGTGCTTAAACAATGACTTACTAGAGTTGGTTGTCATGACAGTGCTTCCACTGCTGATGACAGTCTGTCCATCAGATGTCCGTAAAATCGCCACAGGCCTCGCCACTGTGGGTGGGGGTGGCGGTGGTGGGGGTAACATACCCGGGGAGAAGAAGTGCGGCAGTTTGGTGGGACTTTTCATTGGAGGTGTGGTGGAACTTGCCTAAACATGCCATTCCAACATTAGATATTTAAAACATAGGTAATTAAAGATTATGAACTTCAGTTTGATCAACATTATCAGTAAGTAAGGCAAAATCTAACATCAAATGAATATTCTGGTATTCTAGAATATTCTGGTAGATCAGTTGTATCTGAGTAGGACTTATATTTATACGGGAATAGACTTTAATGGTCCAATCATCCAGAAAATGTTTGTGAGAAGCAGTATCTGAAGCAAGTTTGGTCCAGGTAACCAGGGTATATAGTTACTTGGGACTGGACCTGCTCTAAAAGCTTTGACCTGGTCAATCATCTGGAAAATAGGTCAGATGCAGCATCCAAAGTATGTCTGGAAAAGAGCATCCCTAGATGTATGCAAGTTTGATCTAGTTAGGGTTATATTTGTTTTGAATGGACTTAAACTTTAATCAAAGACAATGACATCATGGGTGTAGCAGAAGCCAATCTCAACTTTGTCAAGGTGAGCTAAAAAAACTACTTGCACTCCTTAAATAAATCGCTGGGAAAAAGGTAATTCTCAAAAATAGTTGCAAAGTGCTTTGTCCTCAATTTCCCTTATTCATTTTCTACTCTTCCAGATAAAAAGAACATGGGCTTTCTTTTGTCAAAGCATGAAGAAATACCTTTTCTGAAGAATGACCTAAACAAGTTGAACCCTTTTGCTTGAAATAATGACATTTTTTTTTTAACACATGTAACATTCTTCAAAGAATTTTCACCACTACCTGACTGTGAGAGTTCTGTGCCTCTTGGCAGACCAAAGAAACGAAATCTGAAAATGTGTCCCCTCCTGGGTGTTCCTGATACTTCATCGCATGGTGGCTGGGACCTGGGGCTGCTCCTGAGGGTAACACCAGGGACTGTTGAAGCCCTGAAAAGATGGCAGGATTAGTAACCCTAGTCTCACAACACGGAGTCATGCAGATACACACAAGTATCTTCAACCATGCACTACACATCACACACCAAACAATTCACCACCATTATACAAGATACATTTATCTAGTCTGTTCTCCAAAAATTTATCAGCTTTGTCTTTGTTTCTAAATACAAAAAATTGCACTTAACTAATTTTTCTTTATTACAATTTAATCTGTGAATAATAATACAGATATCTCATACAAATTTAACACTAGAAATTTGAGCACTCTTTGAGAGCAATCAAATATAAAAAGAGTGTACTGGTTTTACAAAAGATACAATGTATGTCAACTAAATTTATAGATCAATGAAAAAACATATTGAGTAGTTCTAAGCTGGGCTCATTGCTCATAGCACAATAGCTGGCTACTGTAATTAAGTACATGTATTTTCAAAATATGACCTTCCCAAAAGTACCTGAAAAAGAACTACGGAAGCTTACACTGACCCTGTGTATATAAAGAAATGAAAAATGGTGTGAAACATGAAATATATTAGATGAAATGAAAATTGACTGATTGAGGTTTAAAATCAAGATTTCTTCGATTGACAATGTAAGAGTGAAGAGATGAGAGAAATGTCCATAATCATAAGATTTACTAGGTGAATACCTGTACTAGCACTAAGAGGGGGTGTGGTTCGGGAGGGGGGCCTGGCCTTCATCTCACCCGGAGTGGGGGCGTCCCGTGGAGGGGTGCTGCTGCTTTGGGGCACATGCTGCAAGATGAGTGTGTTGCCGGAGGTTACGGGCGTAAAGCCGCTGTTAGCTTCGTTAATCTTTGGTTTATTAGCGAGGATGACAAGAGTTGATGAATGCATGGCTGGGCTAGGTGCTACACCTAAATATAAATGATATAACACACAACAAAACTCACAACAACAGCAACACCCTTGATATTTTTTCTCTTTTTTTTTAATTTAGGCCAAAGGGGGACATTAGTAACATTTTCTCCATGTATGAATACTACTTGACACATGTTTTGCTTCTCGACAATTTACCAAGTAATTCGTGAGTGAACAACTTACTAATTAATTTGTGAATGGCAAATTGTTTTATGAAAATGATACATGTTTGTGAAAAATGACAGTAATGAAGTTATCAGTTAATTACAGCAAATATTTTGCAAAATATTAGTTTTTAAGATGAGTTTGTGATTGAGTACAAGGTATAAATGTATTTCTGTATAAAGGTTCAAAACACCAACTAGCCATTCAACATAAACTAGAAATAAATTTCGATAAAATGCACAAGCAAAATATTATATATTCGACTCACACAAGATAAGCCTAGTCTAGTCCCCACCAGTGAAGTTTTCAACAAGAATGATGTACATGTATACATTACAGCAAAATTAAGCACATGCATTTAATTCGAATTCTAAGAGCCATGCTGAGTGCTTTATCTATTTCAGCATAGACTTAATGAAATATTGACTATACCTAGTAAAACTCAGGATGTCTTGCACTACATTTTTTTTTATATTCTATAACAAACATCATGCAGTCTTTCCTTATATTTTGAATATAAACATTTCAACTAAAAGTTTATTTTGGAGGTATTGCTTAGCATAGAAGTTTTTCCTTTGTTTGGACTAATAATTCACTGGTAGGGGATATCCAATTTCATTATATATCATATATTCAGTGCATCAAGTGACCCAGAATTCTAAATCAAACAACAGCTGAACTCAGTGTTTGGTCAAGCAAAGCTTGACACACTGACATCCTGTGATATTGTCAATAAATAAAATAAAAACTCTGTTCATGCTACTTATAATGAAAGTATTTTTTGAAGCTTTCATCATTCTCCCTTCCATTACATTTCATTATCTAATTTGACAACTTTTTTTTCTTATTAATATATGCAAATTTTGATTTGTAGGACTATATAACAATATATGTAGTCATTAACAGATAGATTTAATTTTATTACTACTTTATTACATGTATATAAATAAATTTTCAAATTTTTAAATTCATTACGAAAGTATATTGCAATATGCTCAGACATAACATATGTACATGTACTTGTAAAACACCCTTAAGATAAATAATATTCTATGTTCTTTGTTCAAACAATATCACAGTATGCATTCTAACTGAAGGTGGATAAGGAAAAAAAGTCAAACTCTCTACTTATTAACCAGTTATGGTAATATTTATATCTACAAATTTTACCTGGATCTGCCATATGACTTCCCTCCTGCCATCCAGATGACCCGCTACTGTTTAGCGTTGAGGAGGATTTCCCGTAATAGCTGCTCATACTTTCATTTTCATCCCCCACACTTTCTGCGTCTTCGTCGGCTGATGAGATCGAGCTGATGGTATTGCGTTTCAACCGTTTGTGGGGGTGCCCAGAGGGGCTCAGTGCAGACTGTCCATTGGACATACCAGGGTGCATCCCAGAGCCCATGGGTTGATCTTGGGGGTGGGGACTATAGTTATAGTAACTTCCTGGACTATCCATCTGCTTCTGTGGCAGTAACATAGGGTGTGTTCCATTAGGTGGCATCATTATTGAAGCTGGAACCAAAAAAAAAACCATCTGAATAATGCTAAGAATAGTCCAGAAAATTCAAAATTACTGTAACATGAAGTACACTTAGAGTCACTTAATACACGGTCTCCTCAACACTTTAATTCCTACAACAAAGGGACAATAAATGTATATATCCCAATATATTGTGTGCATCCAATGTGTAACAGATGCCAGTATGACTTTTTCACTAGGAACTCAAATGTATTTGACGATAAATAAATAAGTCAACTTACGTCGTGTGACCCTCAGTAACTCTCGTGCCGAAAACACTCCAGTGGCCATGATACTGTCATTTCCAGAAACACCAGAATGGATATTTCCAGGCACTAAAACATAGAAAAACATTACAACTGATGATGCGCTCAAATTATTCATTGCATATCATGTTCATGCTAAATCAGATCACATTCAAACTGACATGCTCAACTTCTATCTAATGACTTTTAAATTTCTCTGTGTATGATATTTTCATCCACGATGATGTTTATGATTTAAATTAAAGAAAGCGCAGCTTTCAGAGTTTTAATGCTGATTTACAAGTTTAAAACAAACATATTCGCTAAATATCTATTTCACTCAGACATTTTATACATAACATCATTTACAACTTAGCAGAAAGGAACACAACCCCCTTTTCTATGCACTGTCAATGAATGAGCCTTAACAAATATAATGGCCATTCATGATTGCTTGCACCCCAGTTTATCTAGCAGTTATTAACACATTTTCTTTCTGTCAATTATTGATTGTGGTATGTATGCAGACAGTCTGCACATGTGAACATCGCTGAAGATTGATCAATGCTGTGTGTGCTTGCCCCGCTCTTTTTGCACTTAATCAGCAGTTTTTTCCTTCCTTCTTTAGCTACTTCCTAAGGCTCAATTGATATGTATATTTTGTACTCATGGGGGACGTCTTACAGGTGTTTTACATGTGTACACATTCTCCATCCTACCATGTCAATGTCAGATGTAACACACACCTACATATAACACACTCCAATGCATCTCGCAAGGAAATATTACATTGACCTGTACATTTCTATACATTCTGTCAAAGTCTGTGTACACAAATTCACTGTGATAATATTCCTAGGTAAAGGTTTACATATATACATCTACGTTTACCTCTCAACCATGCATACAGCATATCTTGATCATGTTTATAATTGTTGAATCTTATTGAAATCAAAAATATATATATCAAATGTTCTGCTTAGTGAATGGACATTTTGGGTTTCTGGGTGTATGAATTATACATTTATGTGTTACTAATAATCCGTAACAGATATTCAGTGATGACACAAACAACAAAGCATCATCCGTCACAACATAACGATTATTTTCTATTAATTATAAGAGGAGTTCATTATCTGCACTTTGTATACATAACATTCACATTTAATTTCCCAAAGGGGTAACATAAATAATGAGAGCTGATATTTTTTTAGGTGTTGTACGGTATGATGTATATTTATACAAATACATCAAGCCAGGTCAAACTTAGTAATTAATAAACCAACTCATATCAGAGCCACAAAATCATTACAAATTTTTTAGTTTCCAGTTTCAGACAACATTTGGGTAGATTTATTATTACAAATTTTAATACCAGACAAAGAATATGTGTATACTAGAGTTTATTCAATTAATTGATTTAAAATGTTATCAGGGTCAAGCATAATTTTTATCTCCCACTACAACCCTGAATGCACTGTATTATACCCTTGACATGTATTTCTCCTCCGAGTTTGATTAAATTTAAAACATTAATTCCTGATTAAGATTTAAAACCAAGCATTCATTGTTGGTAGACTTTAAAACTGCAAAGATTACCAAGACCAATCCTTGTTTTTCTGTTAAGAGGAATGGCTTGACCACTGATTGAGGTCTATTTTACATAATAGTTTTAAGATAAAAAACACTTCTCATACATACATATAACTAATAAGAAATAACTGAAATTACATTAGGTGTAGTTAACATTTAGTTACTCACAGTGAAAGACAAATATGTATAAATTTTAGATGCAATACCAATATAATGTGTAACAATCTTTTTTATGCTGTCATACTTAATAAAATATACATGTATAACTAAACATCTACACAAAATTTACATATCATCTAACTTTCCAAATTCAAAAAACAGAAGAACTGAGTGACTACCCAATTCCAATATAAAGCTGATTTTGTGTGATATCTTGTTATAACACTGACACAATATTCTGGTGGTTTACCCTTTAGTGCAATACTCAGATTACATGGAGTGTGTGCACCGCAGGCTTGACATAAGGAGATAATTTTTTTTATTGTTCATTACTGATAAATTTGAAATGTAAAAGTCAAATAATCATGTACATATATACACATCTTATCAAGTGCATGTAAACATATAATGCATCTACTAAAGTGTCAGCTAGATGATATTATATATATGTACTTGTATCAAAGTTTCTTATAAATCTATATAGCACAGGAATAGACTAGTATATATGTAGGTAATACATAAATCTATGGAGTACTGTACATGTTTTAAGAGCAGTTGGGTAGCCAAGATGGGGATGGGAGCAAAAGAATGTCTTTTTAATAAATTCGGTGAACTGATTTTTAATATATATGCAATGACTGTTGTTTACAAAAAGTACACATTACTGATTATGAAAGAGAAGAAAAACAAAATTAGAGGAAATCATTGTACCTTCATAAAAAATGACTAAATCTATACATTTATTTACATAATGTTTCTTTCAAAGGAACATAAGGAAACCTTTTGTTTTAGAAATGTATACAAAATAAACTGGGTTTTTTTGACCTGGATTAGTAACAGTTTTCCATCACTAAACTTTTATGGTATTTAAAACAGGTAGATACATACATCTTTCAAAGTAGTCATCCAGATGCCGATCTACAGTATACCATACATGGTCTATCGTTTTAGGCTTTTATGTATAAATATTTTATTCTCTAAGTCACTCAACATGTTTTACTTGTTTTATTCAACCCCCACCTCCAGTATCCCAATCAAGGGCCCTAGAATACATTTTTAATACCTGTCCAATACATTTTCACTGGTCAACAAATAAATTATAATGGTCTAGATGACCAACAAAGATGATTGCAAATACATGTACTAGACCCACTTTCATGTATATTGTCCAGGGATTCTGACCAAAACTAATCTCTCATTTCCAGGATTGATTACTCAATAGCCAAATCTTTTCTTCCTGATTAGACTCATTTATTGTGACGTTCATTTTCTGTCTTTCCCTCATCACAAAAATTTTCTGAATGTCATATTTTAACATTCACATTCACTCAGTGAAACTTTTTTTAATATTATACAATTAATGGAGACAGGATAACCTCTCCAGAACAACAATTGAATCTTTTTATTCGTAATGGCAATGCTTAGGCCTAGATAAATAAATTGTGTGTTTCCGGTTCCCCAACCGACCCTTAAATGTATGAGCCGACCTTAAAAAATTTATCGGCAGATAAATTTCCAGGAGTAAACTATTCCAGTTTCACTATTAGAAATCCTAATTTCGTTAACTTCCGTGTTTCAGGAAATGCATATCCTATACACATTAATCAGAAATGTTTTGACAACGATTTCCCTGGGGAAAAATGGTAGCGTGCTTGCCAATAAAATATTAAAATAAAATAAAATGTTTTCCCTACCTACCTACCCTATTTTTTCTCAGGTTGGAATAGGAAACACACTATTTATTTACCTTGGCCTTATCAACAAGTTATGATGAATATGATAGTGATGCATTAATGCAGTGTTGCAAAATCAGACCAAATTTACTGTTGATTATCAAATTGAATCTGTAGCATACAATCCATCATATGGTTGATGATTTTAACTTTAATTTAAAGGCTACATTAAATAAAGTTAACCATAAAATATTCAGATATCCTCAGAAATGAAAACAATTTTTCAATACAAATCTGTGAGACCAACTTCAATTAATGCTTAGTGGGAAAATTTGTGTGCGCCAATCGCAAGAAAAATTGAGGAAAGTCCTTTGATAATGTTAAAAGATAAACCATTTTGTTTAAAAAATATATTTTGAAAAAAAATTAGCGACTATCAATTTTAAAATTTTCTATCGATTGTCGCCAATGTGCTGCCATCAGCAATGAGTTTTCGATAGTTGGCAACTATCGTAACAACACTTCAACAAAGCGTCACCAAGCATCCAGAATGTGGTCAAAAGGTCAATTAAGAACTTACCCCTACTACATAAAAGCACATACTTTTAATGTGGAAATAAATCGGTTAAGGAAAAAAAATATCAAAATTTGGTTCTCTACTTGAAAGCATTTCAGTAATTGTCAAAGCTCTTGGACATGAGAAGTAAGAAATCAGGAAAAGATAAACATGCATATATCAGTATTTCTGAATTTACTCCAAACAACCCCATTCCCAAAGTATTTTCAAACCTAGTGGCAGTTACTTTGCTTCAGTGTGCCAAGTATTTGCTCTAGTACATGGTACAATGACAAGTACATTACACATATCCAGATACAGCTCACTATCTTTTCAGAGATGATTAGAATAAATGTTGAACATCATTTTTGATAAAAAAAAATATCTAACATCATGTTCAGTTGTTTCAAATTGAGGAGATTTAAAGGCAATAGCAGCCCTAGTATATAACTATAGAGAACAGGTTCAGATTATTTATGTTTTGTTGTATGTTATTAAAATTATATGATTACATATATATGTATATAAATCAGGTAAAAATATTTTACTTTATGTAATTGCAGTCCTAGAGCATGACTATCAAGATCAAGTATTATATCTTATTGCAATTCATTGCAGTCCTAGCAGGGCTCGACATTAACGCGTGTCCGCTTGTCCGGTACCAGTGAAAAAAAATTACGGACAAGTGAATATTGCTGGGCGCTTGTCCGATTGGACAAGTGCATTTAAATGTAAAGAAGTCTCAAAATAATAAAAAGAACGACTGTCGAACGTTTACCGGTACTGAAGTTCAAAGACGGAAGTAGTATGTTCCTAATACCGAACTTAGATTCCAATATGGATCACTATGTAGTTGAGTTCATACTTGATTGGGATCGAAGTTTACTAATTGCATACTACTGCAAAGGCATGGTATTTATGAAGTTTGGATTCTGTTTGATGTTGACAGTCCCATTTATGTTGTTGTTAGGACAGAAAGTCTAGATAAAATTGTGTTATGTGTTTGTTGTATTTATCAATAACATCATGAATCAATCAAGCACATGTAATGGAATTCATTTTCGTTTTCAAGTTGACAGTATTAGATCTTTATTGAAATTTTTTTCGGACAAGTGAAGTTGAAGTTCGGACAAGTAAATGTCTTGGTCGCTTGTCCAAATGGACAAGTAGGAAAAAAAGTTAATGTCAAGCCCTGCCTAGTGTATTCATGACTATTTATATTCTGTTCTAAATGCAGTCCTGGTGAAAGACTTTTTTTGATATTTTGTTGTAATTGCAGTCCTATTCAATGATATTGAGAGAGTGATTTATTTTTGATTGTCATTGCAGTTCTAGTTTAAGACAACTGAGATAATCTAATTATATTTGGTAAGTAAATGTAGTACAAGTCTATGTCTACTTAGATCAGGTATTTATATTTTGTTGTAAGTCACTGCAGTCCTAGTATTTCTACTTAGATCAGGTATTTATATCTAAATTTGTTGTAATAGATTTTGTTACATGCTATTGCAGTTCTAGTGTATCACTATTGAGATAGGTACTATATTTTTATTTTGTTAATTGCAGTTTTAGTGTATGACTATTTGTAGTACATCATTGCTGTACTAGTTTATGACTATTGAGATCAGGTATTTGTGTTTTGTAGTACCGTTAAGTCAAAGTAGTTCTAGTGCATGACTACTGAGATCAGGTATTTGTGTTTTCTTGTACATCGTTGCTGTACTAGTTTATGACTATCAAGATCAGGTATTTATGTTTTGTAGTAAGTCAAAGTAGTTCTAGTGTATGACTATTGAGATATAAAAGGTATATGTGTTTTGTAGTAAGTAAAAATAGTTCTAGTATATGACTATTGAGATCAGGTATTTATGTTTTGTAGTAAGTCAAAGTAGTTCTAGCGTATTGACTATTGAGATCAGGTATTTATGTTTTGTAGTAAGTCAAAGTAGTTCTAGCGTATTGACTATTGAGATCAGGTATTTCTGTTTTGTAGTAAGTCAAAGTAGTTCTAGCGTATTGACTATTGAGATCAGGTATTTATGTTTTGTTGTACATGTACATCATTGCTTTACTAGTTTTGATCTATCGAGATCAGGGATTTGTTTTTGTTGTATGTCACTGCAGTCAAAGTGTATTTCATTTGCTGGATGCTTTGACAGTTTTGTAACTTCTAGAAAGTGGTCTTTAGTAGAGATACATGCTTGATAAAGCACTAGTCTAATATCAACCATTGCTGCTCTCGGCCAGCATTCTGGGCTCCGTTTGTTTGTGCCCCACTCCTTCAGTTCTTGCCATTATTCAGATTCTCGAAGATATAAAAAAAAATCAAGTATATCTATGAGCCAAGAAAGTAGGCCTTAATTACATACCTTTGATATCTTGTTCACTGTTCATCTGTTGCAAGTCCACATAATCATTACGGGGGTCAGGAACTGAAAACAAAAACTTATAATGATTACATGTAGTCTTTTTTTTTTCATTTTTATTTCAAGTATCTCAACATCCATTTCTAATCTAAATTTCACTGCATTTAATTTTTAAAACTTTGTGAGATCTAAAAATTTCAACAATAGATCAAAAAGGTTGGTATTCCAAAAACAAAAATTTTACAATATAAGATATTAAAGACTAAAGTAGCCTAGAAAGGGATGCTGATCTATAATCTTTGAAATAACACACATCAGCTAATTTTAAAATAATGTATGGTAGCTTCTTTAGAAATTTTCATTCAGAACTTACCATAACTGTGAATGAAATTTGCAAGGTACAGGTCTAATTCTCTCACAGAAACGCTTATATGATGCGGGTTTACACACAACATTGGATTGACACAGTCCATGGATTTCTCCAAACGTTCTCCGTCTGTGCTTTCAAGTGGAATAGCTTTAAACAAAATCACCATCACTAAGTCCAAACGCCACACTTTATCCGCCTGTCGCAGGCAGTCAATTCGACGCATTTTCCCCTTCTGATCAGGGTTACTTAACACACATAAAGGAGGTCTTTTGTTAGTCACACTTAGCACAAAGTCCTCACGACATTCCTGAGTAATATCTTTCCGTAATTTTGCCAACAATCGAGAAGCCCATTTCTGTTTGATTTCTGGTTTTTCATTCTGAAAACAGACAAAACCATGTGATACTTCACCAACATAACCAAACAACAAGAGTTTGCAAACTACTGCAGATATTGTAAGTCTACATGCTTCCTCTCTGATTTGTTTCTTATAGTAAATTGTACAAGTAACTTGCACTTCCTGAGACTAATGTTTTAAAGAATATTGTGTTTACAATATTTTACCAATTGAATTTTATCAAATAACTTTCCTATACTCCACAACTCTGCAAACACTCATGTATTAAAACATTCTAAACCAGTATTGTCTATAGATACCAGTATGTTGAGCAGTTCATAGTTTTCAAGTGTCATCACAGTGTACAATTGCACAGCTCCTTTCAAATCACCAGAATTCTAGAAATCTACCTTTACATACATTTATGCAGATTGAAGCAGCTTTTATTTTTGGATGAAATTTTTGAGACCTAGCTAACAAGATTTATAGAAAAGTTTGGTGTGTTGATATAAGTGTGTGCAATACATCTGTATTGCAGGAGGAAAAGTTAACCCTTGGGGTTGACTTATAAACATAAGGTTGACTTCAAAGAGATTGCTTGCCTTGTTGAATTGCCTAGTGTTTATAGAGACTAACACGTTAATATTTTTCAAAATAATCAAAATGAAATTCTTCAGATCTACAGCATTTTTAAAATTTCAGTGACTTGTATTTAAACAAAGAAACAAGTGCAATTTAAATATAAATATCTGATGCAACATATAAGAACTGTTTTGGAACTTCAGTTAAAAATGAACTTAAATAAATATGCAATACATTTATTTGTACATGTAGGTGAAACAGTAGTAGAATACAACATTTAGTATTATGTAACTAAATCTTCAGCATTTTCCTAATTTTATAACTTTCAACTAAATCCGACACTTCTCCAACACTGTGTATTGCTTTCAATTTCGAGTACTCCATTCAAGTTACCTGCAATTCTTCCTTGACTCTCCTCTCTTCCTCCATTGACATTCGTTTCTCATGTTTTTTGTAGTATTTGCGTTTGGCTGCCTGTAGATTAAACCATGTGTAGGAGAAAGCCTTCACATGAGGCAGCAGAGCCTCGATGAAGGGGTGGAACTCATCCTGCAAAGTGAAAAAATATATATAATATAATGAAAGACTAATTCACTTACCAGAAATCAATTCATGTAATGTAATGGGTTATGACTTTCACTGTAATGGCATGTAAAATTAAGGTTCAATTCTGTGCACTGAATGAATAAATGAATGAACGAAACAAATCAAAAGAACATCCACTTGTCTGCCATGGATTTTTTTTAAAATAATTAATATTTGTTTGTAACATATTCTAGCAGGATTGGAAAAAAGTAAATATGGCCCAAATTTTACCAAAGCTGGGTTTTGTTATGACAGGCACTTGCTGTAGCTGAGTTAGGGAAATCACTTTTTCCATATTCTGTTTTCAGCAAAGTTGCTACCTGATCACCAGAACACAATGTACACTAAAGTTTCTTTAATTTAAAGCCTACAACCAAATCTTTGTGGAACACTGTTTGAGCATTATATTTTTTGCTATCAAATAGTGCTAAATTTCATTTATCGGTATATTTTTTATGAGAGTAGAATTTATTTTCAGGGCTCTCGATTCTCTATAATTGGGGCCATTGAACGGCCCCATTCCCAATGCAAAAAATGTACCTTTTTTCCCAAAAGCAAAGTGTAAATTACCCAATTCTTTTATGGCAAAATATTTTTTTTAAATCTTAATCGATGAAACTTAATTGCCAAAAAGTGAGAGTGAAACAAACTAGTTCTGTGTTGAACTGTATAAATTAGTGCATGCCACCTATATTCGTAAGCTGACTCGGCTTTGATAAAGAACCAGGTTTTCCCAATTTTCCCCAAAATGACAAAAATTTTCCCAATTTGAACAGCCCGGCCCCAGTCCAAAAAAGTGGTGTGAGAGCCCTGATTTTTTATATCCCTTGTTAGTTTAATTTTTAAAGATTGTAAACATACTTATTTTAGCGGTAATCATATTTTAGAGCCTTTGGAGCTACTTTGTGTCTGCTAATACATATACACACTATTATATGATTCAAACTAATATGTGTCGTTTTCCAAGAATCAGCTGTGTTAATTTTTGGGGAGGAAGAGGACAATTGCGTTAAATTTTTTGAGTGCACAAATTTATGTAACATAGCTGATTTTTTCAATCAGATTTTCTTGATTGAAGTTTTTCCCCAGATGATGGGTGTTAAAAGCCTGCACTTCTAACTATCAAAACAATTACCGGTAGATATTTTTAATTAGGATATCTACCTGGTAGATCAAGTTTTTTGGGGGTATGGGAGTGGGGGGGGGGGGGGAGGGAGGGGTCGAGGATTTCTATGCTTCGGTAGAGATTTGAAGTCTCTCATCAGTGTCAAAGGTTAAGCTTGAAAAAAGGAGTTGATGACACTAATCTTTTCTGCATGGATCTATGTTTACAGTTAGGACTTATCAAGTAAATTATCTCATTCAATGTTTACAATTTATGATAACTTCAATACGTAGGAGGACTAGAGTATGAAATCAGTTTGAAACCTCAATATATGTCTTATGGAGTAATATTTGTAAAGACAAATTGGTTTTCAAAAACATTCTGATAAGGGCCAATGCAATCCAGCATAAACAACTGTAGTCATAATATGTTACTTCATTTTACTAAAATATGGGATCTTGAAGTTTCAGGAACAATTTAAAGTGCTTTAATAGACCTGTTATGTGATTGGGGGGATGTAAAAATTTTTTTGAAGTCATGCATGTATTAAATGTGTGCCATGTGAATGGGAGAGCTCGGTGATTTTTTTTTCTTTAGCTGACGTATGTAACTCCTATATCCTGCATGTTTACATGTACTTTGTAGATGGTACTTTCTTTCAAAGAAATTTGCAAAGAAAATACATTGTCTTGTCATGAAAGAAAACTAAGACTACTCCTCACTCATCTATTAGAATCAAACATCTGGTATATTGAACAAAATACATGTACATTTCTGTTACTTTCAGGATAAAACCTCCAAACAGTGCAGGAAAGAGATTCCTCCATTTTTATTTGTAGCAATCTCTATCAATACATCAATATGCCTGATACATCATTACAGATTCTGGTTAGCATTCATGATAAATTACAGAGAGACCCCTACTGTGAGATAAAGATCTGTGTGCTAGTTGAGGGGCAAGTAAACTTCAGAAAGTTCAGTGCAGTAGTGCAGGCATGGAGAATATCATAAAATAAACCACTAAAGAAGACTTTGTGCACATACATGTGTCATTCTACTCAGTATGATGACCCTGATTTAACTCAGTACCCAATGTTTGACAAATAGTTGGCAAATCAAGCATCATCACATATATGTGTAAAAACATAAAAAGTCAACCTTTCAAAGTTTAATGAAGGAGAAATTTTTTAGATTATAACTACAGATTATGAAAGAGTGTCTGTAACTGCGCAGTGTGTACTTCCATACACATGTCAGCATTGATATGTGCAGCCACAACACTGCACTGCCCATATCCATGTGTGTACTGTTGTAATGGATGTAGGAGGCCCTGTAGCGATAACATAGTGAATTTCAAGCCTTTTCGACAATTGCTTCTGTTGCATGTGAGAGTTTAATAATACTTTATTGCTTTATTAGCTTTTAATGTCAGTATTTTTAGTTTAGGAAGAAAAATATCAGGGAAATGTATTTTGACAGGCACGTTAGAACACGAATTTATAAACTTCGGCAGCCATTTTGAAAAAAATAATCCCTAGCGCTCTGACTGCATTTAAACGTTTCAGGTAAAATACATAGTATATTCTGCTTGCCCAAAGTTATAAACATTTGATTTACTTTGATACACACTATGAACCAATTCTTTCATCCGATAAATACAAGATAAACTTTCTCATTAGTTCACTATCAGCGCGGAGGAAACCTGAATACTTTACCATGGTCATCTTTTGCTAACTAACACATCCATTTGTGCGTTCGTTTCGTCCTCATTAGAAATTTATCCGATGTACTTTTAAATCACTGTTTTCGTGGATGATGTTTCGGATATTATTATGGTCTTCTTCTGGCACTGTGACTGGGAAATGAGCCAACGATTTCCTGACCCCGAGTTCTCCTCGAATCTACTGTGGCGTAGTATGTTTTGAAGACGGGACTGTTGTTGTTGTCGCATTCCTTATTTGGAAAATAGGGTCAGCACCACAAAGCGATTGACCAATCAACAGAGCTGTCAGAAGATGATTGACTGGTCAACGAACAAACTTGCAATACTGTCATTCATTCATAAAATCTTATTTTTAATCGAAGTTTTACAATATTTATATTTAAAGTTTGAACACAGGAAATAAATAACTGCAAATTCCTTGTACAGAGTGTTTTTGTGCATTTATATTAAAATATTGCCACTTTAAAGGGGAAAATAAATCATATTAAAATTTCCAAAAAGAAAAAAGTAAGCTTCGCACAAAAATTAGGAAATATTATCTATGCAGCTAAATCTTTTCTACTGCTTAATATTCCCAAGTCTTAATGATGGGGAAATGCACACATTATAAAACTTACAATTTAAAAATTAACACAGGGTCTAAATCGTCTCAAGTCTTCATAAATTGTCCGGGTCTTTCAGGCTTAAAAAAAAAATCTCATCGATCAGGTCATGCTTTGAGAAAATGGAGGTAAAATTCCATATAATAATTAAAAATAAAATATAGGACAGCACGCATTGTATGATTCACTGAATGAAGCGAGCGACAAGGTACGACAACGTGGTTCGGACACCCCTTCCTTAAAAAAAAAAGCCGGCGTTACATACATAACTTGACAGTAATTTCTGGTTTCTAGACACCAAAATATTATACATATGTACATACAGGATAGTCACAGAAAACATACAGTCATGCGCGCTCTTTTAAAATTTCAACCGGCAATGTCGACTGTGTGTGGCCTAATTTTATAAAAATAATCTTGAAGATTTGGAAAGTTGTGAGGATCTCACTGTCTGTGTACCTGGTATATGCGAACACTAGTTGGCTAGTCTTTCTTTTTCACATTATATTTTTTGTATTTAGACTAGTTTCTAAAAATAAAATACAATAAACGTAAAATATTTATCAACACTAACGACAGATCAGTCCCATAAAAAAATTCTTTAATTGAAAAAAATATATATTAAAAAATATCAGTCTGTGTACCAGACGACACAATAAATTGTCTATAATTCGGATTCCCAGTCAAAAAAAATTTCTAATCCAAAAATTTCTTGACAAGCAAACAAAAAAAAACAAAAACAAAACGAAAAAAAAGAAAAATCCATTTCCCAAACGCGAAAAATACCTATTTTGTGGTGGTGATGGCGGGGTCCACGTTTTCTAGGGGGGTCCACAGTCTTTTTCATTTGCTTCAGTACATACTTTTAACAACTCTGCATATTTCAGGGGGGGGGTCCGGACCCCCCTCCCCCGACCACTCCCCTCTAGATCCGCTCATGTTAAATCAAAGCATGTGGTTATGTGGCATCTTGTCAATTGTGATGGAAATAGAAATATTTAGGTAGTGATATAATCACAGTGAACTCCCCTTTCCCGTTACGATCTACGAAATCGATGCCGCTTTATTGTGCCAGCATGCTCTATAATGTATTATAATTAATCAATTTATTATTATTTATCTATTGTGGGATCTCTTGGTATATGTACTTTGTAGACTTTTTCATTTCAAAATATTCAAGTGCTTAATCTTGTTGTATGGCCAACAGTAGTATTTTCTAATTTTTTAAGGAAGCACCCCATGATCAAGTTTAATTATAAACTTTGGGAAGGGGCAGCAAAATTATGAAAAAAACATTTAATATTGGATAACTCATTTACCTGTACACTATACTGGATACACAAATGAATCCGGAAAGGAAACTGGACGGAAAGCTCTCCTCTTTATTAAATTGTTGATAAAATGGGCAAGTTAATTCACACAGGGAAATAGAACGTAAAGAAAATAATATGATATATGGTGTAAAATGATTATTTCATAACTTTCTTGTCATCGAAATAAGATCCTCACAGAACGAGTACAGTATGTAGGAACTATGCAGGTCAGGGTAACGCAGCTATCAGGTTCGTTGTTGAACCGTGGAGTTCAGACACATGCAGAGTGTCCTCAACTAAAACCAGACCCGTAGGAAGCATTTTTAATTTTGTAAAAGGGGGGGGGGGGGGGCAACTCAATAGAAATTCCTTGACAAGCTAAAAAAAAAAGTCAATCGTGTTCATTTAGGGGGGGGGGGGCACAACCGTTATTTAGTTTTGTTTCTGCTGTATATATTTGTAGTATACTCATATTCTGGCAAAATTATCTGGGAATCCCCACGGGGAGGGAGGGAGAGAGGAGACTGGTACGGGTCTGAAGACACAGCGATTAACAACGAATTATACTGGGAAGAAAGAAAAATAAACGATTTTAATTTAAAAAGAAATACAGCACCATTTTGATAAATACAACTGAAGACCAAATTTAATCAAATCTTTATGTGTTACAAACACTGACGTTTAGTACATTTTATATGATCCAAAGTGACGAGTTCGAGGAAACTATAGATATGCAAGCTATGTCATCATAATATCTATTCTATTTTGCATGGTATTTTGTAAATATGTATGAAAGGAAAACTAGGAAAACTTTTATACCAACTGCACAGAGGGGATCTAATTTGACGGTAATTTTTTAAGAAGTTAGAGTTATCTGTCCTTCGATTTAAAATGGAATAAACTGAAATCTATCGTTTAATTTAAATAATTAAATATTCTTAACATTTTATTAGACCAAAATGAAACAACTGAATACTTCATTTGTATGTGTTTTCTCCATTTAAGTGATTTCAGTTCATCAATACTTTGTTGTCTTTGAGCATTTTTCCTGGGACACAGTAGCAGGTACCCTAGAGATGTTGAAGACACCTTTATACAATATAAATTTCTCAAAGTCCAAAACTGTTTTTCATTGGTGTATAGCGGGTCCTTGCGTTCAGACGACACGCTCCTCAATAATGTATATTTTTTCCGAAAAATTTGTTACTTGTCATATATAGCTACTCTAACAAGTTTCCTCACAAATAAAATGAAGGTACATTACAAGTATTTGAGCAAGAATTTCAGGATGGTATTTCCTATAAAATCTTATTGGAAATCACGTAAATTGCTGATATCGTCATTTTTAGTTTATATGTACATGTAGTCTTTAGACATTTTGAAGACAGCTTAGAAATCATAAGATACTACTAATAATGTTTGTAAATAATTGTCCCCCGCTTTCGCGAAAGCGAGGGGGCATTAAATCTCATTCGTCTGTCAGTCTTTGTCACAAAAATTTTAACTTTGGTCATAACTTTTGAATGAGAAGAGATATGGATTTCATATTTCACATGTACATTACCCGTGACAAAACCTTTCCAAATATACTAAGATTTTTTTTAACCCATGACCTTGACCTTGAAATTTGACCCCCTTTTCAAAAATTACTAGTAGAATGTTAGTTTTAATTTTTGAATGAGAGAAGATAGGGTTTTCATATTTGACATGTGCATTACCTGTGACAAGCCGTTTCCAAAAATGCCATGATTTGTCACCCATGACCTTGACTTTGAAGTTTGACCTAATTTAAAAAAAACCCAACAACATTGGTGATAACTTTCGAATGAGAGAAGATAGGGTGTTCATCTTTGACAAGTGCATTACCTGCATGAGACAAGAAGTTTCCGAATGCACTATGATATTTGACCCCATAACCTTGACTTTAAAGTTTGACCCAGTTTTCCAAAATTTTATCATTGCTGCTCACGTTTGAATCAGAAAAGAAACGGCATTCATAATTGACATGCTCATTACCTGTTTCAAGACCTTTCCAGAAGTATTCTGGTTTTTGACTTTGACCTTAAAGTTTAATCTACAGTCTTTATCATTTTTTTTACATTGGTAACAACTTTTGAATGAGAGAAGATAGGGCATTAAGATGATCATTACCTATGACAAACCTTTCAGAAAGACATGTCACGTGTTAACTTGACATAGAAGTTTGATCTCCTTATCAAATTTGTTAGCTTTGCCCATAACTTTTGCTCCAGAAGAGGCTTTCATATTTTTTTTTTCACATGTGCATTACTAGTGACAAGACCTTTCGAATTGTATTATGAAATTTGACCTCATGACCTTGATCTTGAAGTTTGATGAAGTTTGAGAAACTTTAATCTTTGCCATAATTTTTATTAATTCAATAAATAGGTCTTTTGTATGATGGACAGACAAGAAAGGACACATGCACAAACAAGACATTTACAATGTGCTATAAGTAATTGCATCCCAGACACTAAGATACCGAAAGTGGGGGACCACAATTCTTTGAATTTGCTTGTTTTGGTATGTTACAAAACAAAAACAAAAAACAAAACAAAACAAAAACAGAAATTTGAAGAACGTGTCGTTTAACACTCTCGCTTCCAGACGGAATCTCGAATTGTCCTTTAGCTTTTGAAATTTTATATCCCTATGACTTGAAATGAATTATTTTATCCCTATGACTTGGAGAAAACCGCTTTTGATTTTGAGGTCAAAAAATCATTATTGCATGAAATGTTTTTGAAAAAAATTTCAAAAAGGTCAAACTTTAATAACAGGTATGTATAAAATGGTTCCAGGTGATAGTTTTAGTTCTCTGTAATCTTTTGAAATTATTTTTTAATAAATACCCATGGCTTAAAAAAAGACCGCCATTAGTTTGAGAGCAAAAGGTCATAGGTCAAGATCAGAAATTCATTTAATGCATTAAGTGATTGTAGATGACACCTTTGTTCTCTTTCACTTTTTGCAATCCAACTTAAGCCAGAAGAGGAAAGGTCAAGGCCAACCATTCTTTTCTATTTCCATCGGCATTTTTAAGGCCTTCCTCCTAATTTTTTTGTCCTTAAGCGGGATACAGAAATTCTCTGAATTATCTTGATTTATTGTAGCTACGCGAATAATGGAGGGTGGATTATCAGGAGATGTTTTTTATAGCACAAAAGAAAAAAAATCCTGTACACTTTCATGATTACAACTTGAAATTTATTAAATTTCATAACAGGACACGCCTTGTGCTGAATGAGGCTGACGCAGTAGTAAATTCAT